CTCATGGTGCTACTCCCGAGATATATCTAAAGAACCATCGATAGTTAAAACACAACAAACTGCTCATCGTCAGATGCTTTTGTTATCAGCCGCATATGCCAGACTGGAACGCAGTGAGCGTTTCCGGTTGAGATGCTCAGTGCTCAAAAAAGAACCATTGAGACAAAACAGTGGCTTATGTGAGATCCAATGCATGCAGACTATCGTAAGAAAAAAATTGTTTCTAGCGGAAAATGGACAACCAATCTCGGAAGGGAAAGGAATGTGTGGGTCAATGGGTGCAGTAGGTTCATCAAAAATGAAGAAGTGTATCTTGGCAACGTTTGGCAAATGCACAATTCTTTGCATCCATCTCGAGGTTTGCAACTGATCAAAGCTGGGTATATCGAAGGCTACATCGAGTTGAGGAACGTGGGTCACATTCTCATTCCCGTTCTTCATTCCATCCATATCCTCTCTGCTGGCCAGTAAAGATTCGATTGGGCAGAGGTCCGGTGGAGGTTGAGCTCTTTTTTCCCTTTCTCGGGGACTCAAATACTGCTCTGTCCCTGAAAGAAAAAAGGTGCCTGCGCGATACACATTTTTCTTTAATTCTGTTCCTCTTTCTTCATGTGTTTTCTGTCGATGTTTGTCTTGATCGAGATGATGTCCGAGTATCCACACTTCAAGTCGGAATAGTAAAAAAAAAAAAAAAAAAAAAAAAAAGATCAGCCAGAGGAGAGAGAGACGAACCAGTTTTGTTAAAGTTTCCTTTTGTGTTTTTTGATGTGGTTTGTCAGTTTTCATCCTTGACTTTTACCTCGTCACAGCCTCTCCCCACTTTTGACTTTCCGAAGGAATTGGGCTGCGAGAAAAGGAGGGAAAAAAGGTGACCAAAATAGAAAAAGTGCGCATTTGAACAGAGATTCACAAGGTACTCTCCATCCCAGCAAACAACCCAAGCCCAACCAACAAACAAAAAAAATGACAATGTACTCTTCTTGTTGTACCTTTTTATCTACACGTCCATCTCTTCCTCTTTGCTCCTGTAACCTTGGAGTTGCACCAAAAAAGACTGCCCGAAAAAAAAAGAGCATAAAGCAAAAAACATAAAAAAAAGAGCAGCAAGAGGATGAGTAGGATAGAAGCTCGGCAATGAAGATTTTTTTTTTTTTTTTTTTACTGGGGCTAGGTCCTTAAACTAAGCTTAGTGCGCTCGCTTTTAGAAGTAGGTGATTCACCCGCCAGGGCTGTTGTTCTGTACACTCTTTCTTATTTTATGTTTCTTAGCCTTGTTTGAGTTTCAAGTATCTGAACAAAAAATAGAGAACTTGTTCTCTTTGCTTCCATTATATTTCGATCAAGAAAAAAGGAGAAAAAATGCAAAAAATAGTTTTGATTGACACTCTTTCCTTGCCCACCTGTCAACATGGGATATAAAAAGAGAGGCTAGACGTTTTGTTCGTTGATGGATCATCATTTTTTTTAACGACCAGCGCAACCACACCTTCATCAACAAAACAAACAATAGGAAGTACTCAAGAGAGGTCCTCGCGAGGCGAAAGAATGAGGATGTTTCTCGCACAACTATGGACGCATGTAGAGATGTCAATTCCCATCTTATCTATTGCTGAGATCAAGAAGAGCGATGAGGCACCTACATGGCTATGTCTATCATTGTTCATTTCCTACCAAGCACAGTGAAAAAGAGGGTTTGGATAGAATGCTTAGACATGTGTTGTTCTATAATAGACCAAGAAACAGGTTTTCTTCTTTTGCCATGTTGACATGGTTATTGTTTTCTACGTCTTTGTTCAAAGTTGCCCGCATTTTTTTATTCCATCCCCCTCATTCCTTCCCATTCCTTCCCTCTTTCCCCTTTCCTACTTCCTTCTACCGTTTATCCTTCCTCCTCTTTGAAGTCCCCCTTGGGAACTGGCGCTAGCTTGTCGAGGAAGGGAACAACTCAAAAGAATAAACAATCAAACAAAAGAACCGAATCTTTTCGCTATAGAAAACAGAAGCACTGTCCCTTTGTTCTTCGTCAGCTATTCCTCTTCAGTTATTCCTCTTCTTGTTCATATGCATCGCCTCCTTTTCCCCTTTTCATGTCGTCATCTGTTCAGTGGTGTCACTGTCGATATCTCCACCTCTGAATTTTTTTTCCTTTGTGCAACGATGAAATCCTCCTGCTGCACTTCCTTCGAATCGCCATTACGATTGCGCTTGACGAACGCTTTTCTTCTGCTATCAAGAAAAGAGGAAGCATAAACAAACAGGTAGGCTGCACACCATTGGTGCCTACGAGAACAGATCGTGGACCATTTTTTCCCTCTCGTCATTCTAGACCACATTTAGACTGGCACAGAAAACAAAACAAAACAAAGTGAGGACGTGAACTAGGCTTTTTTTTGGGATGTTGATGGATGATGATCAGGTTTTTTTCCGTGGTGCAACTCCTCGAGTTGACCAGACCCGCACTTTCACTCCTCACCTCACCCCGACTTCTCTCCCTCCCTCCCTCATTCTCAACCTCTGAACCCACTTTTTTGAAACTCTACCTATTCTTCAGGTCGCCGCTATTCTATCAGTGATCGTTCTCCTCGGCTGATTAACAAGACTCAGGGGTCAAGTGTGTTTGTTTTTGTTGGTCTTTTTTTCAGGTGTTCAGAATGTCCGTTTCACTTACTGGACGTCCATGGACTTACCAAACAACTTTAGATTTCTTTTTGTGCTTCTATTCAGACAACCTTATTAGGGCGCAATTGAAACTGCGGGTTACGTCGGTCGGGGCAAGCGAAGAGAGGAGAGACAGGCGAGGAGAGGAGAGACAGACAAGGTAATGAAAGGCGGCGGGAAAAAATTGAGATGGAGCCTGAGATGGGATTAGAACCAAACAAAAAAAAAAGAAAAGAAAAAGAGGGGTACGAGGGGTATTGTACACATTTGATCCCAAACTGGGGTAAAAATTTGAAAAACGTGTGTAAAGTATGTTGTGCGAGTGAGAGACCGAAGAGGGAATTTTGTTCATCCCTTTTTCACCTCTGTTTTGGCACATATATTTTGCTCCGCAGACCGCAATGAAGAGCAAATGGACCGGAGGTGGAAGTGGCATCTCATTTTGCTTGATGGTCTAACTTTGTGTGGTTCCAAAACAACATACAGAGATGGAGGAAAAATAGGGTACAGAAATACATACTGACAAGTGCAAGAACGACGCGGATTTCGTATTTATTAATGTCGGTAATTGATTAAAGCGAGAGAGAATTGAAGGAGGTACCAGGGCTTTGTTGGTCGGTCATGTGTTGTCATATTTTTTCTTCTTTTCGTCAACAACAACAACGAATACAAACACGACACAACTATCATCGATTGGGAGAGCAAAAAGATGAGCAGCAGCAGCACCGAAGGAAAAAAAAAGAAGTGGCTCCGTTTGCTCCTTTTTTTCCTTTTTTCCTGTCCAATCCTCCCAGCGCCAATCGCCTTTCCTTTCTTCTTATCATTTCCACGGCAAGCCCTGTCCTGCCGAGCTCCGCTCTTCAATGCCTTTTTTCTTCCCTACTACTCTCCCACTCTCACATTCGAAATATTTCTTATTGGTATTTTTACCAGTCTTTGTTTTCAAAAAAACCTGAGAGCATGCCGAAGGTCAAATGCACAAGAGAAACAGAGAGAGATCGAGGGACACAGAGACATGAGATGATACAAGGGAGAAGAGAGAGAGAGAGAGTAAGGTTGGACAGAAAGAGGAAGGACGAGTTGAAGAAAGAGAGAGCACGCGTAGAGAGGTGAGCATCTGGAGTAGGGAGGAAGGAGAATTGGACCATATTTCTCCATGGATCCACCAAATTTCTCACTATTCAGTTCCAAACAAACACAAACACGCCTCCTCCCCTCACTTTATCGTTTTCTTTTCTCTCTCATCTCCTCTCCCTCTCCCTCATGCACAACACCCAACAAGCGTAAAAAGGGTATGGAAGACACTCTTAACCCGTCAAAACACTACTTGCACCAATAGCATTTCAACTTTGGGTTTGAATAGTGCTTACTCCATTCTATTTTGCCTATCTTCTTGCTATTTTTCAAGGAGATCTGGCACAATTGTGCGATCTGACCCCCTTCCTCTTTTTTCCTTCTTCACTCTCAACTTTCGTCTCTTCATGCAAAACTGTCGAAGCTTGTTTTGGTCGTGTTGCCGATCATGGTTTGTCGGTTCGGCTAAATAACAAACAGGTTAGCAGCAAGGAAGCAAGCGCCCAATTCAGCAGACAAGACATTTCAATGATCATCTTACTTTACTTCTACTCAATCGCATGTCGTTTTATTTTATGGTATATGTACAACAAAGGTTAACATTGCAATCACTCGACCAGCAGCATGGTCTGCCCTCCATTTGGATTTTCTCACACTTAGGTACTCTTGTTGTTGTTGTTGTTGTTGTTGTTGTTGTTGTTGTTGTTGTTGTTGTTGTTGTTGTTGTTGTTGTTGTTGTTGTTGTTGTTGTTGTTGTTGTTGTTGTTGTTGTTGTTGTTGTTGTTGTTGTTGTTGTTGTTGTTGTTGTTGTTATCGTAGTTGTATTTTCAACGATGTCCCCTCATTGGTCCCAAGCTATGTCTTCTGCTCGAACCATCAACACTTATTTACTCGATGAATAAACAGAATGAGAGAATGCAAATATCTATTGAGTATCTATCGATAGACAGGAAGTAAGGCATGCGCGCGCCGTGCCGTCTAATTTATTAGCAACCACATAATTTGGATCAAGACACTCGGCAATTAACTAAACAGTCTGCATGGTGGGAGGACGGTGGAGGGCGCAAAAAGGCGCATTGACACCAACACGACGATGATGGTGTTGTTGTGGATGTTGCCCGGTTGAATAGGATCGCTCTTCTTCATCCCCTTGTTCCATGCCCATCATCACCGCCTGCAGTTGGCGCTGTTCCAAGTGCTGTAATTCTTGTTCATCCTTCGACAGTGATGTCGACGAGACCTCTCCTGCCCCTGCTCCTGAAGATGCTCTAGATTGTGCCCTTGACCTCGTCGCTGTCATCGGTCTCGACCTCGACCTTTCCGAAGAAGAACAACCAGAAGTCAAAGAAGATTCGACAAAAGAAAAAGATGACGAAGAGATCAAGTACTGACAGGCGATAAAGTTGATGAAACAGATGACGCCGATGAGATAGAAGACACTGGTCGAACCAACGAAAATACTGTTTGTTGTAGTTGAGTCGTTGTACCGCCATGATGTCGACATCGCCAATACCTTGCCGAACAGTGTGGGCTCCTTGCTATTGTTGTTGTTTGTGAGAGAAGCAGACTGTGATAACCGAGAGTCGGGGTACATGATGTGCTGTTGATTTTCCATGGACGAGGCGGAAGAAGAGGATGAGCCTGAAAAGGGAGGCACATGATGAAGGCCCGTGACGGTTGAGGTTGAAAGGGCTCTAGACGTGTCCACCAGCGACCAGAGAAGGCTATGGAGTACATTTTTTGATTTATGGAAAGAATGGTACGTTGTACATGTTATTCATTTTCTCTTTTTTTGGTTGAATGTTTGAATGTTTGTGTTGTCGGGGTATCAATTGGCAAACAAACCGAGCAGAATGTTGTCCCTCTCAATCCTCAACTCAAAAGAATATCAAGAAGGTACCGACCGGTACGCATAGACGTAAATAAAAGCGAGTCAAGGGAAAAAGTGAGAAAACTGTATCTCAAACACGATAAACTATAACCTTGCTTCTTCCTGACGATGCTCGTGAATGATAATTGCATATTTCGCCGTTTGTTTGTTTTGGTACTCGTGCTTGTTCGGTTCTCGGATCCAAGGAGAAAAAATGCAAATCACTTCATTCTTGCGTTATGGCCCTTCTTCTTATCCTTCCCTTAATATCTCCTTTGTACATTTCCCCTCATCCCCAACAAACATCAACTTACCCTGCAAGAACGGGACCCGTGAGCCGCATGACATTGCCCGAGACCTGAGCAACACTCCAAAGTACCCCACTTCCTCCTTGTTGTGCTCCCGGTCCTGTCGCTCCTGATCCTTCTCCTGCATTGTTGTAGTTGCTGTTGTTGATTCTTGCCTGGCTTTCTAAAGATGACGCACTATCAATTGGGGCATTATATCCTGTCCTTCCTGCTCTTGCTGTTAATGCTGTTGATGTGGCCCCCTTCATGCGATCGGCACTCTTTCCAAACTATATCGGAGGCGAACAATGCGCACCATGCAAAAAATGTAAATGCAAGATATGTTAATGAAATGCAAAGGAGGTGTTAGTTCCGAAATGTACTTTTTTCCTTGTCGGGTATGAGTAGAGAAACGCCCGCACATGCAGTTATGGTTAGGGAGTCACTGGGAGGGGCGAGGGTAACGAGTGTTCTCTTGCGAAGTACAAAAATGGGAAAAGGTACGTTACCAGGACCAGGACGGACACGTAGCCTAGGACGTCCCCCATCGAGATCAGACTGAGACAGAGCAGGATGACTCCCATGCCTACCGGGGTCTTTTCATTCTCCTCTCCTCTTCCTCCTCCTCCTCCTCCTCCTCCTCCGGCGGGAAGATTGCCTCCTTCACCGCCAGACGTTTTTGCATCCTTTCCAGCAGAACCAATCAAATCGACGGAGGAAGTGACCAACGCACGGTTCCTTGTCGACTCCTGCTGAGCGAAAATGGCCCACGGTACAAACCATCCCAACCCAACGACCGAAAACACCCCAATGACAATAACGCCCAATCGCAGACACTTCAACAATCCTATGCGTTTCACTATCCAGGGGTATCCGCACAGAGTGAATCCGAGCTTGAGAAACCCACGAAGGGTCAGGATCTGGCCCAGAGTCTTTGCAGAGAACTCGAGACCACCTCGGAAGGTGGGCGATTGGGTGTAGAGCATGACGAATTCGCTACCGAGGATTGAAGTCAGGACTAAGAGGCTGTAAATAGCGAGGGCGAGGTAGAGTTCTGTTGCCGGCGAGAGTTTTGATGGTAGCGGTGATGATGGTTGACGAGTGTTGCTGTTGTTAGAACTGCTGGAACCGTAGTAGGCAGGTGGCAGTGGTACTGGCTCCGTTGCGGGTTCGTGAGGATGACACGTGCAGACAGCTGTCGGTGGGGTGATTGTTCCTGCTCCAGCTGTCTGTCGAAGCCTGGGTCGTGTACCCAGCGTCGTTGTCATCGTCGTCGTGCCTCTAGCGCTCAGACTAGCCACAACATCTCCTGATTCAAAATCTACTGTCATCAACCCTGTATCCTTGGTTGCTGCCTGCGCCGCCTTGTAATGCCGACTGTTCTCATACCCAGACCGTCCTCTGCTCATATCTCCATCCTCCTCCTCCTCCAATTCTTCCATCTGCTCAAAACGCGACGGGTTCTCAAGCGTTTTTTCAAGCTCTGAGGCCTTTGCCCACTTGGGATGTGTCTCGTCCAAGATTAGGCCCACAACTCCAGTAATAAAGATACCAACAGCCGAGGCAAAGAGACAAGGCGCAAAGTAAGGGAAATCTTCAAATCCTGGGATCATCTTCTTGGTTAAAACGCCTCCAGCCAACGGTCCCACTATTGGAAAATAAAAGTAGGTGAACGTAAGGTAATGTTGGTTATCTGATCAAAGGAGATAAGGTGAGCGACAGGTAATGGGTCCAAATGTCAACTTACAAGCAGCGCCTAGGGCAAGGGCAACAACAAGAGCCGAGTACCCTTTGGAAGCAAAATCATAGTGCTCATTGGCGGTTGCTGCCATGGTCAGATCGTTCTCTGATTCTGCCCAATAGACTAAACCAATCGTCTTCTCGTCCAATCCATGCCCCCATTCCGCTGATTGTTGCCGACGTCGCTGCTGCTGTTGTCGTCGTAGAAGTCGTTGTCGCTGTTGGATCAATGCTATCTCTGCATTATGGATTATCTGTTGTCGATTGGCCAGTTCGCCAATAGAGCATTTGGAGACTGGAACCAATCCTGTGCATGCTCCTTGAATGACCAGCGCCCACATGGCATCATGGTAGCAGGTCGAGAGGCCGAGGTAGACTGTGCTGAGACTTGTCATGAAGAGCCCAAACAGCATGATCGCCTTACGCCCATACTTGTCTATCAGTAGAATGTTGATTGGAAACGAAGAAGCATCAGTTGATGATCAATTGTTAAATTAACTGAGACCAACAAAGTCCGGTTTCACATCTGTGCAAAGTGCCACGAGTTACCGGAAAGGTATCCCCAGAATAAGGTGGTAGCCAGGTTGGCGCCCCAAAAGCCCGTCAAGAGAAGGCCAGCATAGTATCCGATCCACTTCTCGGCACCTACATGAAAGTCACGGACCATGTAATACAGGAAAGGGCACATGATCGCTTGGGCGAAGGCCTCCCCCGTGAGACATAGACAGATCGTCGCCACCTGGACATTGTAGCTGTTCAAAAAATCTAGACAGCAGTTCCGGAGAGAACGTTCCTTGTTGGCGCTGTTTCTGTTGCTGTTGCTGTAGGATGACTGTCGTTGATGGTGGTGACCATAACGAGGAGGAGACTGCGACCGACGCCGGCGGTGGTGATGTCGAGAAGACGATGAGGTAGGGTCTGATGCGCTTCGTGATCTCCGATTTGACGAACCACTGTCGAAATGTAACTGTGACGAGACGGTGGGATGTTGGTAAGACCGGAAATGGTGCCGCCGATGAGTGATGCGATGAGGATCATTGGTATCCTGATGAGAGTGTTCAACGTGCAGTTGTTGACTATGTCGATGTCGCGGAGTGTGAAGAAGTCCTAATTTGCCCAAACAACCCCGTCCGACTGCGACACCCTTGGCAAAGAATATTTTTGGAAAGAGCAGAACACGGAGCAGGACAAAAGTGCAGCTTCGCAGGACAGGTAGTTGGCGAAGATTCGACCCTGGCGTGTCCTGCTGTTGATGCTGTTGGTGTGGATAGGCTGGATGATTCTCTCTACTCCTGGTTGATGATAATGACGAGAGAGAGACTGCCGCAGGAATAACCATAGCCGATGCAGCAGAGTACGCGATAGCAGATGGTTGCAGTTCAGAGGGAGAAGGCCCAAAGTCTTCAACCATAGAGAGTTCGAGTAGCAAGGGTGCGCCAGTTTCTTTTGGTCGTCTTGATTCAGGCTTCGGCGCTGGTGGCGGAGGAGGAGACGAAGACAACTGTAGTGCTACTGCCGTCGTTTTTTTTGCTGTTGCATAGTCGACGGGGCCGTCGCGGACCTCCTGCGATGAGTTGGTGGGACGTGTTTGGGCCATAGCGTGAGTATGATTTGTCCTATGAGGTGTGGATTAGTCTGCTTTCGTAACCAACAAAGACTGAATGTCTAACAACCAAGAAAATGACGAAGTGTGGTATCAACGCAGTCAGGTGGGAAATCAAAGTGAAGTGAAATAGAGGCGTTTGAAAATGAGGCGAGTACATGCACAAAAAAAAGAGAGAAACTTGGACCGAAGACAGCGAAGGCAAAGTGGCGGTGGATGTGATATGAGCCAAGGAAAGTAGGCGAGAGAGAAAGCGAGTGAGTACCTGGGTTGTAGGAAGTTGGTGGGGAGTCAGGAGTAAGAAAGAATAGAAAAATAAAGAGGCGCGTTTTATTTGGATCGGGAGGGTTGCATTCCAGCGTGCCCTAGTGGACCTGGTGGAATGTGTTTTCTCGCCAACCCTTTTTTTCAGTAATATGTCTGTGTGAATGATTTGTGGGGCATGGTCCATGCCAGACCGCTCTCTCCATTAGCTCGTCGATCCGTAAGTGCCCACAGAAATAGGAGTGAAGAAGGGAGCGAGGGGAAAGAAAAAGAGAAAAAAAAAAGCATGGATCGAACGCAAACTTAGCACAAAGAGATGAAGGGCAAGAGAGGAAGAAGGAAAGAGCCCTAATCCTCTTATTTACTTCTACTGCGCACGTTCTTTCATTGTTTCATCATTTCAATGCGCAAGAAATACCTCAGGCTCGACTCTGCGCTGCAATCGGTACCACACCAAGAGTCCTTGGCTGTGTGCTCTTTCAAACAAAAGGATAGCCACAAGGGGGATGTTCATCTACACTGTGGATCCGTTTACGTCACGAACAAACAGAAGTCAAGACAATAATGTTCACCTTCCTCTCAGGAACCAACGGTGCATTTAAAAAGCTGGTTAACCTCCGATTTTTCATTTGGCACCAGCTGTCTGCCTGCTCTCGACTTCCCTTCCTCCTCACTTGGTGCCTACACCATCGCTTCTTCCTTCCTTCCTTTTCACTCACATTCACACCCTGTCCTTATGATTTTCAGTCATGCCTTCTACAGTATTTTCATTTCTGAAGCGTCGAATCGCCGGGTTATTCCGTCCCACTTCCTCGTTATCCTCGTCCTCTCCTAGAACCATCACCACTACCACAAATCACCATGATGGTAATACCGCCCAAACTGTCATCATCACGCCAAACACCCCTCCCAATAACCACTCTCCCGACAATCACTCTCCCAAGCGTTCCAAGTTTCTCAAGAACCTGCGTTTGCCTTGGAAGAAGAAGAAGCTGCCCCACAAATTGCCTGCCCAAATATCCCTTCAGCAGCTTAAAGACCCTGAAGCCGCATTCCAGGATCCTCTACAGCCTCTGCAGGCCATCCATGGACGCCACTACGAGCATCAACACCGTCGCATACTCTCTCGATGCAGTTCTGGAATCACAGTGGGCACGGACTACCATAGCCTGATGGATGCCCACAGCGAGTTCTCTGTCCTCTCACCTCGCAGTCCTGTCTTCCGATACCGCATGCTATATGGCCCTAGTATCGAGAACATCGAGAACATGGGTGAGATTCACCACCCAGACGACAAATACGAACACCATCACCTTCTCACAGCCGAAGACGAGTTCGTCAAAGAAATGGACAAGGAGTTGGCCCAAGCGAGCGTCCATGTCATGAAAAAGCGCAATGCAAAGCAGCTCCGACTCCGTCTTTCCATCGAGGGCATCCGCCCTGGCAGCGGTAGCATTGTTTCCACTGCTCCCTCCACACCTGTCTCTATCATTCGCTGCAAGACCTCTCGCGGGACCTATGACGCTTCTTGTCTATCTTCACCTACGACTCCTACCAGTAGTCGTTCCTTCCTTCGCTGCAAGACCTCTAGAGGAACTTACGATGCTTCTGTTCCACCTACACCTACAACTCCGACCAGTGCTCGCTCTTTCTTGTCGTCGTCTTTATCCCTCAAGTCTCCTGGTTTCTCTCAGCGATTCTCCAACAAAGTTGCACCGTCACCATCGCCTTCGCGTCACGCCAGTCCTAAGCCTCCACCTCTTTCTCGACTGGCCAGTTTCTCAGGTCTTCAAAACCACGAAGGACCTATCATGCTGACAAAGAAGCACATTGAACACATCCGACGGATCGAGAATCGACTTCACGTCCTCGAGAATTCGGCGCCTCATGTTGCCTCAAGTGAATCTGAGCAGCAGCTTCAGAAGCAATGTCAACCTATCATCGATCACACACTTACGCCCACACCTGTCCGCGAGGAGCCAACGACGAGTCGCCATCAGCAACACCTTCGTACAAAGTCAAGTCTTATCAGACGAGTGGACCCTCCATACGATTTCAGGACCCGTATGCTGCAGCAGCGACGAATCTCGGCCATCGGTAGAACCGACTGTCAATCTCCCACCAGCCCCAGCTTTCCCGACTCCGCATTAAGTCGACCTTTCTCCTTCCATGACTGGGGCTCACGTTGGAGTTGCACTGCTGCCACTGCCGCCGCCGCCGCTACAGCTGTTACAAGAGCATCTCGGCATAGTCACGAGGAACCGGCAGATAGGACGGAACAATTGCTGGAGAAGGTCAAGGAACGAGTGGCGAGTAGGATCAGACTGGAATCGGCGCTATGGGAGACTGAGGCCCTGCTGCGTCAATATGAGACATTGGTTGTGCAGGACTGGGAGCTCAGACTAGACAGTCTCCGCACGAACGCTACCGCCACCGCTGCTGTCACCGGACAGGAGCAACAGCAACAGCAACAGCACCAGAATTACCAGCAGATGAACGAGAGGAGGGTCAGGAACCCTCAAGAGTTGCCTTGTGAAGTGAATTAGATATGTATTTTTCGTTCTTTCTCATGTAAACAACCAAAGAAACATTAAATCACATGGATCGATGTACTTGTTGTGAAAACAAAGTCATTTGCTACTATCAATACTTGCTCTCGTTGTCATTGACCGCGGATGTTGTTCAGGTAGGGCAGCCGCCTGTGAAGTGTTCCCTTGAAGTACGATTGATTGATCAGTTGTTTTAAATCAATCGATCAATTGGTCACGTGGGACATATCAAACCCAATCCGAGGCGGACACGCAACAAAAGGGGAAGGTGTGTTGGCAAGTTTTCTTAATTAACCACCTTCGCGTCGACGTCCAGGACATCATCCTTACCACTCCAGCTTCTAAGAGATCTCACCCATAGCCACTCTTTGCCGACCAACAACCGACCAGCCCGTCAGCTAGCCAACAATTAGCTAGCGCGCCAATTCAACTAACTTCACCATGAACAGTCTGCAGAACAGGGCCAATGCCGTGATGGCATTCTCCATCTCGGCCATCTTCTGTCTCCTCGGGGTAACATACGATATTCTTATTCACATCCCTTTTGTTACCTGAAGTCTGACCAGTCTGGAGCGAGAAATGCAACGACAGCAGCAGCATCAACTGACAAGGAAGTTTAAACTAATGGCGTCATGGTTGTCTGTTTTCCTTCTTGCTTCTAGGCCATCGCTTTCAGCGCACTCATCATCCCTTCCAACCCTTCTGGCGCCGTCGCTCTGGATTCCATCAAAGTGTAGGGGAACAAGTGCATCGCAGGAGCGGGCTGACAACGGCGGACACTGGGGATATTGTCGCGTTTGTATTGTGAACAAACGACAGCAGTTACAAGAAATCTAACCGATGCAACTGTTTTCTTATTATTTAGTGTGACAGGAAGATACGACAGAAACTGGGTTGATTACAAAACGCGAAACAATGAGTTCGCCAATACAGTCATGAGAATCGACGCCGGTACGCCTCATACTTTTCATTATGTTAATATACGAAGGGAGTGTCGAGTGATCCATCTCGTTTGACAACTGTAACAACTGGCTGACTTCATGCCCTCTTTCTATGTAGATTTGTCGTCGTTGTTCCATTGGAACACCAAACAACTCTTTGTCTATGCCGTTGCAGAGTACTCGACCCCCACACACGTATGTTGAACATGTCTGGCAGAGCAAAAGGAATTAATCACATGACGAAAAGCTGGCAATAAGGAAAAAGAGAACACTTACGCTTGGTTGCTAATCCGCAAGGCCATTTCTTTGTATGTATCCAACTAGCCCAAGAATCAAATTGTGCTCTGGGACACGATCATTAAGCGCAAGTCGGCTGCTGTCATAAGCAAGAGAGGCCTCAACAACAAGTACAGCCTGATCGACGTGAACAAGAAGTGGACGTAAGTTATCTTTCACGAAGACCAGGAGTTGAGAAGTAATTGTTATATTTAATAATGAAAAAAGGGCGTTCTTGTATTTGAATATCTGACCTTGGTTGTTTTGTTTATGTGTCGTTAGCGATATCAACGCCAATGTGTCCCTTCACTGGAACATTGTGCCCTATGTAGGATTCATGACGTATGGCCACTCCAAGGCCAGTGAGGGGTACGCCTTCCCATTACCTAGCGGTATTCAGACGTAGATTAGCAGAAGACGACGAAGGCTTGTTTGAAATAACCGATTGCTGTGTTCTTTCTATGCCGTTTGCCGCAAATCTGCGTGTGTGTGATATGTGGAGAGTGTCTGAGTTATGATGTAGGGAAACAAAGTCCGGCATTCAATATCGCCAGGAGAGAGTAGGAATGCCCCTCCCTCTTTGGTTCAAGTGCGGATGGTTTATCCGAAGGACCGAAATATGTGTATGTCCCTTGAGGGCTGACATGGGCCATCGCTCTCTCTCTTTTTCCCTCCCTTTCTTTCTCTTTCTCTTTCGTCCCCTCTGGCTCTCTCACTCTCTCTCCTTTTTCTTTTTCTTTTGTGCTCTCTGGATCCCTCTCTCTCCAGTACAAAACCTCCTGAGAGACGACATACAAAACCTCCTGTTCACCCTGCTTTGCAAGGTTGTTCCTTCACCCCACCCTTTCGTGCCGTGTCGTGTATTCTTTGAAGGCGGTTGGATGTGTTACACGTCGTGGAAAACAATTTCTCTTTGCTCTTTCATTCATTGAACCTCCTATTTCTAATCTGGCGCATTTTAGATCTGAGGAGGGAGGAGAAAAAAAGGAAAAAGGAGGGGTGGCGGTGGTGGTAAAGGAGGAAGAGGGAGAGGAGGATCACAGAGTGGAGTGAGAATGAGCCTTTCAGAAATGTGCACCCGTACACACGCACGCACGCACGCACGCATGCGCACCTGCCAACAACAATTATAGATCTATCTCGGTTGCCTCCTTCCCATTATGTGCAGTTCGCGATTTCTTGTATTATTTTCCCATTCTTCTGGGGATAGAGAGCCGTTTGTACTTTTGCAGCTCCAAGGGGATGCTCTATCACCGGCAGCAGCAGCAGTAGCAGTTGTCGCTTTCGGCGATAAAAAAAAGGGACGTTATTCGTTATTTGGCGCGCTTTTTTGTATGTAGCGTGTGTGTGCGTGCGTGTAAGAGTGTTTTCCCCTCGACTTCACGTCATGAACGCTAATCGCGATTTCGGTGTTGTTGTTGCGTGCCTATTTTCCTTGCCTCGTTGAAAAGGATCATCCATGCGCGCGTTGAAACTACCTTGGAGCTGCGATTGAGGGAAAAGCGATCTGCACCTGCCAAAAGAGCAACTGACGCGTAATGGTACATTGAGCCGCCATTGGGGTCATGGTGTTTGAGGGACATGTTGGTCCTGTTGGGCCTTTTGTTGTTGCTTGTATCCCTCTTACTGCCTTCTTTGACAAACTGTTGTTGTTTTTCCTCTCCTCTATCCTTCTTCCTCCTCCTTATCCTTCTTTCTCTACCCCTTCTTCTCTCTCTGTCCCTTTACTATCTCTCTCTCTCTCCTGAGTCAATAGCATCCTTGATGGCTGTCGCCTTGTTAGGACCTCCATGAAAGTAACAGACAGAGAGTAAGAGAGTCAGTGTGTGCGAGAGAAAGAGAAGGTCAATGACAGAGAAAATACACAGACAGAGATCCAAAGGAGGACTCTCTCATAGATAGCCTCATCGAGCAAGTCAAGCACACTCACATACCCCCTTCTTTAGGTTGTCATTTGTGGGGAAAGAGACATGCAACACATCGCCAGCACACAGATACACAGACACATAGAGCAAAAAGCTAATGAGAGTAAAATCGTCTTTTGAGTTGTCTTCCCTTTAGCAAGCTGGTCCCTTCAATAACATTATTTCCCTTTTCGCCTCCTTTCTTTTCGCCCGTGTCCCCATCCCTTTCCACTCTCTGAGTTTGTATCCATGCCGGTCCGTGTTTTCGAATACGTTTGTTACCCTTGATTGTCGGTTCCCCAATTGGACGCCTTGAAGTCGTGACGATATCTTCCAGTTGATTGTCTGTCCGTCTATCCGCCTGTCTGTTTTCTCCTTCCATACGTAATGTCTTCGTGCTTCGTGAATGTATCCTGCTCTGTATAGCTACAGTGAAAACGCAAGGGCAGCTTTGTGTACAGTTTAAATTTCTTTTTTATGTACCTCATTCTCTTTCTCTGTCTTGTACAGCGTGCTGTACACACGACACTTCGTACTCTGTTCTGGCACACGCCGACACATATATTCTAATTAGCCATTGGCAGATCTGTAGTCCCTCGCCCCTTTTTCAATTAACCAATACTACAACAACAACAAGGTGTGTTACGCCCAAATCGTCTTTGCACGGTATGTGCTCACAATCTCAACTTTTTTTTTTTTTTTTCATCGTCGCTGTTTATCTAATCCTAACCCGCTTTGAGCACTGTTTTTTCAACAAGAAAACCGATAAAGGAACAAACGAGGGCGTAAGAAAACAAAGACTAACGCTAGCCTTTCTGTTACACCTTGACGGGCACCAGCTTATTTCCCACCAGTTACCAGTTTTCACCTGCGACTAACTTTCACTTTACTCATCCGGCTCCCAGCACGAATCTGCAGCCCCAGTTACCTTCTTAGCACCAACTATCGGCATATCTTCTTTCTCTTCCTCCTCCTTCTTTCCCCCTCTCTCCTCTTCTCTCTTCTGTTCCTTTCTGCTCCCATCTTACACTCTCATGCTGCCCATTATTATTATTATTTCTTTCTTACTACCATTGCTGTACTCTATTTGTCCCTTGTTTAACTCTCCATTCTCTTTTCATTTCAAATCTTGTTCTCCTTTTTTTTCCGTTTTTTCCATCCCTCTCTTCTTTTATCTCACCTTCGTTTTCTTTCTTACTTTCTTTCTTCTTTTCCTCTTCTTTTCCTTCTTCTTTTTCTTCTTCCTCTTCCTCTTCTTTTTTTGCTCTTCCTCTGCGTCCATTTCATTGCGCCGGCCTGACCTCCACACTTCGCCTTGAGATATCCCACTGCCTACATTCGTATTCCCTTTCGTCATCTTCCTCCCTCCCTCACCCTCTTCTCTCTATCTCGTTTTCTCATCACCCCAGATACCCTACTCTCTTTCATATCCACGGCGATCATTTTTATCCCTACTGAACATTGATCCACGCCCATAACTCGTACCCTAAACCTTCTTATCAGTACGTCCACCGTCATTGGCCAAAACGCGACTCAATTGCTTGTCTTTGCCACACACAGCCACTGGTCACGTCTATTTTCAACATTCGTCCCCTCGTTTTACACATTAATACTATCCCTACACGCATCCACATTGCGTCTACCACTCTCACTCTCTCTGCCTTTTCTTTTTCATCCTTCCTTTCTCTTCCTTCCTTCCTTCCCTGCCTTGCCACCCACCCTTCTTCGACCCTCTCTGCAACACTCCTCTTCACCTCTCCATCAACTGAGAACACTCATCACATCATAACCTTAACGTGTCACTCCATTCTTTTTCCATTCCTCTATACCCATTTCATCCCTCTCCATCCTACTCCCTGTCTTCCTGCACACCTCTCACATACTCTCTCTTATAGCAGCTTCAAATACTCCGTTTTCATTCCGTCCTTCGTTCCATCACGGATATACGGAAAAACGTATCACAAGCAGCTGCCGCGACATATTTTTAATCTAATAAGCAATGGAGGAAAGCTACATCTGGGTCAAATTACAAGACTACTACGGCGAGACCAAATACAACGGCTCGGCAAAGTCTATCCAAAACGACCGATCGATCCTTGGGAAGCCCTTCAAACGATGGTACATTGCTCCAGCGGCCATGGTCTTCCAAGCCATCTGTGGATCCGTCTATGCCTGGTCGGTGTTCAACCTCCCCGTCGATAACGCCATCTATGGATCCGATCAGGTAAAAACATTTTCCATGGGGTCTATTGAGGAAGAAGGGTGATGCAGAAAGGAAAAGGGAAAAAGGAGAAGGAAGGAAAGGAATGGTGGTGGTGGTGGAGGTAAAAGGGGTGGCATTGTTCCTACCAGAATTTTGTATTTCAATACCACTTTATTGTCGCCATTTGGGTGGGTGAGGGAAGAGGAACTAAATAAAAGTGAGGTCTAGTAAAGGGGGAGGAAGGGGTCAGTGAGAAGGAAGGGAGATACAGCGAGTGGTTAGAGATGACATTGCCGTCTTCCTCATCGCTATGAGTCGCCAGATACTGTGTTGTGGTTATGGATATGGCGGCTTGCTAACCAAAAGAAGGTTCAAGGGGCCAGTAAAGACATACAAGGTGTAATGCAAACGAAAAAATATGAAGGGTGCGTACATATATTGAAAAAGAAAGAGCGAACGAGCAACACTTCCTACATGAAAGGCGCCAAGATATTAACAACAACCCATCCATCTCTTCCTTCCCCTTGCGTTCGTTTCTCCCCTTAATTTTTCATCTCCTCTCCCTTCCTCTCTCTCTCTCTCTCTCTCTCTCTATTTATCGCTCTGTTCTTCTTGCCTGCCTTCTTCACTTGTCCTTACATTGTTTTGCGTTGCTTCCGCTTGCTTGTCGCCCATCTCTATCCATTTTCTATCCGCTTCTCTCCATGCGGTTCACAATGTATTAGAAAGTGGCTCCTATCACCTTCTACATCAATATTGGATGCCTTGGAATTGCCGCTTCGCTACTTGGTCCTTGGTTGGAAAGGAATGGTCCCAAGAAGGCTGCCACAATCGGCGGGACTCTCTTCTGCCTTGGCCACTGGGTTGCTGCCCTCGGCATCCATCTTAAGGTAACGCCCTCCCATCCCGCCATTTTGAAAAGGTGGTTTGCTCTCGCTTTTTTTTTATTCAAAACCCTGCACGATGATCCTTTTACCTTTTTCTCCATGCCGCTTATAATTTTTTGCTTTGTTGGGCACGCTGTGTTCACGACCTGTGCCCTGTGTGTCGTTTGAATTGATTGCTGCTCCATCTGCGGGCTCCTCTACTTCACCTCCGCTCTGCCTCCTAATGAAGCAATGAGCATTATTGGCCAATGTCTGTGTGTGAGATTTTGCATGCCATTACGTCGTCTTCCATCCCTGCATACCATCAACCGGCACATCGACAAACAACCCTGCTCCCTTGCTTCTTCTCTACAGCACCTCCTCACATACCAATCCCTATCTTTTACCCATACTCCTAATCATCAAAATACCTACCCTTTCTATCCTTTTGTGCTCTTCAATTGACCTCTCCTTCTCCTCCTATTTGGAACTGTGTTTATCCGAGTATGCTAACGTTCCTATGCGATTATCATTTTTTACCCTTTTCCTTGCACAGTCGATGTCTCTTGTCTTTTTCGGATACGGAGTCGTTTCAGGTCTTGGCCTTGGACTTTGTTACATCAGGTATGGTACCTGTCATCGAAACACACCACTCTGTCTCCTTCTGTACCCTACCCTTCCCTTCTCTTCCCTTCTTTGCCCTCTTTTCCTACTCATCTCCCTCTGCCTTCTCCTCCCCCGATGGACTCTTTCGATGATATCAAGAGTCACCTCCTTCGTCCCTTATCCTTTCTCCTACTTTCAGTTGAGATGCATTAGCCTTTTATTAACACAAGCATTCACATTGAGAACGAAAGAGTGTCTAACAACTTGTACTTTATTTTTTCTCTCTCTTACCCACTCTCCTGTTCATTGTACACAACACCAGTCCTATTTCTGCACTTCAAAAGTGGTTTCCTGAGCGCAAGGGGTTCGGCGCCGGTTTGTCTGTCTGTGGTAAGTCCTTTACTGCTATCTTTCATATCTATTTATTTTTTGCTTGCACATGTATCGCCATAGTCTCCAGCATTCAAGTTTACTAACGATGGTAAACCTCAAACGCGGTTCTGTATAATTAGGATTTGGTATTGGTGGTTTGATTTGTGCAAAGATCCCCCTGCCCTTGATTAACGCCATTGGGTTAACAATGACCTTTGTGGTCATTGGATCCTGCTACTGGATCATCCTCATGTTCTGCGCCTTCATCTTCCGGTTTCCTCCACCCGAGAGGACCAAGATCCGAGGCCCCATCTACCGCAACGGCACACTATTCATCACCCGCAAGCAACAAAAGCCCGGCTCTGCTCAAGATGAAAAGTCAATGCCTCCCGTCATTGCCGATTCCAAGACTCCCCCCCAGAACCGCATCGTCTTTGAGCCCGCCATTGACCTGACTCTTCGCGAGGCCTTGAGCACGTACGAGTACTTGGGCATGTACATGATGTTCTTGGCCAACCTGGTCTCTGGTCTGGTCATCCTGTCCCGTCTTGCGGACATGTGTATCAACGTCTTTGACAAGAGCGCCGATACGGCCTCGACTGTCGTTGCTATCAATGGTGGCTTCAACTTTGTCGGGCGTCTGATGTTCTCGTCTTTATCTGATGTGATTGGTCGCAAGCCCTCGTACCTGGTCATGTTGGGCACTCAGGTCATCATTCTCGCGGTCCTGCCCCTCATCTTTGTCACCAAGAATTACTGGGCTTTCCTCTTAGCCATCTGGACGCTGACCTGTGCCTATGGAGGCGGGTTCGGTACCATCCCCGCGTTTATTCACGACCTCTTTGGCATGCACAACATCTCGGGTCTGCACGGTATCCTGTTGACCGCATGGAGTATTGCCGGTGTTGGGGGCGGTATCTTGTTCACTCTGATCTACAACCACTTGATCCGTAACCGCGGCTATTCCCCTGGATCCCCGGAGGTCTACAACACCAACTTTTATTGGCTCTGCGCCTGTGCGGCGACTGGATTTGTAGTTTTGCTGTTTGTCAGGTCGACTGTTAAGGATCGTCTGTTGCCCCGTGTCGGAGGTGAGGTCACCCGTATGCGTGTCTTTGGCCGTATCCTCCGCTTTGAGAAGACCGGCACCTTCCGCTTCAAGTTCAAGTACCTCAAACCAGAGGAAGAAGAGAAGGAGTGGACATCTTTCTGGGCTGTAAGTTCTCATCTCTATTATTTTTTTGTTGGCAGTACGAGAATAATGGTCCTGCTTACTATTCAAAGCACTATAACCTAACTCCCTTGGTATCTTCATTGAACTAATTAGAACATCAAATACCACGAAGAGACGACGGTGGTGACGACGACGGGCTCGATGGGAGACGTCATGGGCGGAATGGACCGCGGCGAGCTCCCATCTGCAGCAGCAACTAATGGCGGTGGCTTGACTGTTGGAACTGGTGTTGGCGGCGAACTTACCCGTGCAGAAACGCCAAGGATTGATAACTCGCGCAATGAGCCTCTCTCTCGCCCCGATATCCCTCGAGGTGACGTCCCCCGCGGCGAAGTGAGAGCGGATCTTGTCTGAGAGAGCGACCTATCATACTACTAGACCCAGAGGATTCTCCTCTCCACTACCATCACCATTCCCCAAAAGCACTCACACACATAACGCACACCATGCACCCTTTTATCCCTCCCAGGCACCCATCCATAATATCCCTTCCCCACCCCTTCCACTCATATCGTTAATATCTATCCACACCTATTTATTCCCTATTTGTTCTTGCTTTACCATTTCGTTGTTTGGGAAAGGCCTGTATCCTTCCTTCAGATTTGTATATTTTTCTTCGCCTTTCTATTACCGGTACGCCGCCTCAACATTGCAAGTTTGAAATAAACGCGTTTTGAAAGTGTTCATGACTGGGCCTCAGTTGGTTGAATAATGAATAACTAAGAGGACGTCATCTCCAGGGCGGCATCGTTGTTGGAAAAATAGCCAGAGTGAATATGAAATGGGCCCTTGAGTTGTCGTATGAAATAGGGCACATATTCTTGACGCATGATACTTAAAATCCACCTGGACAAAAGCAAAATAAGGGAGGTGGTCGTCTTGAACCGATGGGCTATAAAAGAAGGAGGAGGAAATGGGTAGCTAGTAGAGAGGGGAACCGCTGATGGGATGTAGAAGAAAACGATGGTGTGGCAGGACTGAATCTTGTCCTCCTTGCCCTTTTCCTTGTATATTCAAGGACCATTACAATTGACGAATGATCTTTGTTTTTTTGATTCCATTACTCTTGTCAAAAAAAAGGGAGTAAATGGAAGGTCGGAGCGACTTTTTTTGTGTTCATGCGTCCCTTTGTACTTCGCCGCCGCCTCTTCACTTTCCCCTCAACATAGTCTCACACAACCATAAAAAAAACCAAGGAGGCATTCTTTTTTTCACTCTTCTCTTTGCCTTCGACATCTTGAATGTACTTTTTTTTTATTATTCGACTCCTATAAAACTAAGGGTGCTCCGCCTGTTTTTTCCCTTCTCCATCAAAAACTCATCCAAAAAACCACTACACAACAAACAACAAACAGCAACAGATATGAAAATCACCGCAGCGTTGACAGTCCTCGCAGCCATCGTCTTAGTCCAAGCGGCACCCCAACACCCCTCCATCCCTCGCGGCGAATAAATCACCTCGTCCTCCAACACCTAAGTTATGGAGAAGAGAGCACCCTTCGTCAGACCCAACAGCGGCATCTCAGGAGAACACCATATCCAGCGTTCAGACGACCATCACTATCTCAGGAAGCGCACGTTCAAGAGCGTGGGCACTCCTAGATCCCTCCTACTCGACCCCAGTGGTGGTGTTGGTGGTGAAGGTAGCGGCGACCTCGGGAAGAGACGTGATCTCAGCTCCAGTGCCAATAACATCAGCAAAATTGTCAAGAAAAGTGGCGGGTATAAACCTAGTAGCCCACAGGACGGAGAAAGTGGTGGCCATGGAGAGGGTGGGTACGGAGACGATCTCAAGAAACGCAGAAGCACCAAGAGCGACACCTTCAGGTAGAGAGAGAGCGAGCTGGATCCTGTAGACCTGCTCGCTAATGTGGTAAAAGGTGGCGCCGATCTCAAGTAAACACGGGGAGGAGGCGGCGGCAGCATCAGGGCTGGGACGACACGTTTGATACCGTTATTCATAATAGTCCGTGTAGTATTTTTATTGATAATGAAGAGATCGTACTAGATAGTTCGACAGATCTTATTTTTTTTCCGAGATTTGCCTCAGGGCGAAAAAGAACGCATCCAACAGAAAGGAGCTACGGCTCTATGATGGCGTGCTCATAAGAGCAACACAGCGCAAGGAATGTCATTTGTTTGAGGAAAGGATCTTGACCCCATCTCTGATAGGGTGTGCAAAATCTTTGATTCCTTGCAGTATCTAATTGTTTCTCGCTGCATTCCAATGACAGTTGCAACTCCTCTCGAAGACATTTTCTCTCTTCGTAATAATACCCTCAACTTCATTCATTTCATGGTGGAAAAATAAGCATGGGGAAAGGGTGGAAGGGCGATGCGGCGAGATCGTATTTTTATTTATCCTTCACTTTTTTTTCCTGTGGTCTTCCACTATGATGTTGTTCTTCGCTAACCAATGTTCTAAGATATATCGATTTTCATATAAGCGAAAGGGCAGGCGCCAATCCGTTCCTCACTTCGCTCTTTCTCTTGCCTTTTTCTCTAAAAACACACATACACACAACACGCAAAAAAAATGAAGAAAACAGCCGTACTGACAGTCCTCGCAGCCATCGTCCAGGTCATCGTCCAGGTCATCGTCCAAGCAGCACCCCTTCCCGCCTACCCTATCGAACAATATCCTCCGAGGTCCAAGTCACAAATAAAATCCTCCGTTCTGGGGCGTGTCAACTGGGTGATGACACAAGCTCTGCTACGGAGCCCGTTCCTCCTCGACAGAAGAGACTGCCTCCGATAAATCTGGAGTTCAAGAGGCGTGACGGAACTGGCTCTGGCGTTTGCCCCAGATATTGATATCGGTATTGAGTTGAAAATGAAGAGAGCCCTTACTGCAGTTGGTGATGGTCAGCTTAGTGTCAATAATAGAGGTCCCTGTCCTTCAGGCGTCGAAGGTTCTGGAAGTGATGATGGCGATGTGTACGTTTAGAATGAGCGTGGATAGGGGAGGGCTCTACATTTCGCGAACGTGATGATGGTGGCGGTATCTGATGAAGGAGAGAGTAGAGTTGGTGGTCTAACGTATCTCTACGCGTAAAACATCTTCCCTTTGACGCGTACAGTGTTTACATTTCGAACAATAAAAGGTACGCGTTTCTGTCCTTGCACATTTATTTCGCATCACATGCTCAAGGTATTTCTTTCTATGGTTTCACTAGAACAAAAAACATGGCGCAATAGTCTGTGAGAGTGCGCCTATTTGATATTGCTGGGACCTGGAATTACGGGAGTCATGGAGTTTGTTAATCCTTTTTCTTCTCACTTGCCTTTTCAACATTCACGGAGGTTGTTGCAGTACGGTGCTAAAAGCAAAACAAAAAAAGTAAAGTATGGAGGATCATCTAAAATAAAGGGGAAGGAGAGAGAGATGGGTGGGGTCAAGGAGAAATACACACGGATACGGACACAGCTCAGTGCACAAAGATAATTAGTGTGCTCACACACACACTAACTGATCACAGGCATCCAGCAGTAGTAGCCTTGGTATTAGCAGTAGAGGCAGTAAAAAAGAAGAGCTGAGAGTGAGTGGTCAGCTTAATCTGATGGGATGGGCGCCAAGCGTGGTTGGTCTAATTTTGTGGAATTTATGGGAGCATGGTAGATAGGTGGTGCGCGGATAGACAATAAACGAAGGGGATGTGGGTCGGCTAGAAAAAGAAAGAGGCGAGGTAGAAAATAGACATAATGGGTCCGATGATCACCCCCCCTTGTTACGGTTCCGGTTACCACATTGGCTGTTGCATGCTTTGTTTTTTTATTTTTGGCCTTTGCTTTCATGCTTTGCATTTTCTTGATTGACGTTCAGCAATTGAAGGAATTTGAGCCGGCAGTTTGGGTGTATCTCTCGATGTAGGCTGCAAAGTGCCAACTCTGGCTTTTTTTTGTCCAAAAGCAAGGATGCAAAGAGTGCAAGTGAGTGTAGTGCATCAATGTCACGAATGGGCTAAGAGAGGCACGCGACTGGCCTACAAGTTGTTTTGACGTTTGGCACTTTTGATATATATGGCGCGTTCTGGGCCCGTGCCTTTTTTTATTTTGTAATGCTCTCGTTTTGCTTTTGTTGGCTCTCATTCCCACTTCTCTCTCTTTCACTCTTTTCTCATTCTCGCTCTTTTTATCTCACTCACTCACTCTCACTCTCAGTCTCACTTTCACTCTTTCTCTTTCTTATCTTTCTTATTTCTCTCCCTTGATTTTGTTTTGATCTTCAACACTTCAAACTCTCCACTCGTTTCTCCTCCTAGACTCTTTCGTTTCGTTTCAAGCATTCAGCACCCATTTTAAGAGTCTTGGTTCGATTTTTTTTGTCGGCGTGCGCACTCAACAAGGACGACTGTCTTTTATTGCTAGACGTGATAACGAAGCAGGGTAAGTTTGGACTTCACAAAGCGCAGCCAGTCTCATCAGAAATGAAAGAGGCCAAACCCTGTGTTTGTATGGTGTTGACGAAAAGATCGCCATAATGTTCATCATCCAATGGCTGGTTATGGTTCCTTATGAGTTCGTGAGTGGAGAAAGAGAAAAGGGAGCTTGCTTTGGTCTGTCGTGAGGTATGACATGATCCCATGGACTTGTGGAACTTGCACCTGCCGCCCCTAGTTTTAGGCGAATGGGGGCCTGACTAAAGAACGACAGATAGTTGATGAAGCCTTGGACAAAAAAGGAATCGACGTCTAAGGTCACACAACCGTACTACGGCATTCCTCTTCCTCTTTGTCGTTTCCACGGCCTTCTCTCTATCTCTACATTCTTCCTTTATCTGTCACCCGAGAACACACACCTCATTTGTTCTTTCATTACATCCTTCCGTCCTTGTTGACTCTCACACCCTTCACCCTCCTCCTCTCCCTTGTGTGTTCCTCCTATCCCATGACATCAAGAAGGGGTACTTACCTCTTCCTGGTTCTGGGTATCGTCATTCGACTCGCCATGTCCACTTTGCTCTCTACTCTGCACAGGTTCCCTTTCGGTTTAGTGCTTTCATTCCTTTCTTTGTCCTTTCTCTCCTTGTAACTCTCTCCTGGCCTCCTTATTTTACCTCTACCTTTTTTAATACCTCCACATTTCGCACAAACACAAATCGCCGACCTTTCTCCTTTTCTTCTCCGGAGAGTGTTTGTTATTACTCTTATTACTCTTATTACTCTTATGCCTCTTCAGTTACCAGTCGTCCTTCCTGCCTTCCTTTCCTGTCATCTCTCTCCATTGTCTTTACTTCGATTTCACCTACTCACGCCAATTTCTCTCTGTCGCTCTCTAGCTATTTTCTTCCAACTTTGGTAACACGAATTATTCGACAGACATCTCAGAACGACCGAGGGAAATAGAGACCAAGTTATTCACCATGGATACCTACGTCCCCAAATCGGTCCTCAAGGACAGCCATATTACTGCTGACAGCCAACAATCACAGCAGCAGCAAGTCCAGACTCCGGCCATTGTTGTCTCCATTGCAGCAGCCACAGGACCATCGACCGCCACAACGACAATTGACGATGGCTCCTACCAAAAAGCGACCCTTCCTTATCCTCAATCATCGGCATCAACGAAGAACAAGAATACCTTGAGCAGCAAGCTCCTCCTAGGCGCCAAAGGAAACCGCTACTCCAACAACAACAACGCCGAGGAAGATGAAGAGGTTGAGAGGCGCAATTCGGAGGATGAGGCAGACGAGTATGAATACCAGGAATACAAACGGGCTCGGAAATTCAAGAAGCAGCAGAAGCAAGAAGTCAAGGAGTTGAAGGCGGCGGAGAAGCAGAGGGAGAAGCAGAAGAAAAATGATCGGAAACGGGCGTTGAAGAAGGCCAAGGCTGGAGGGAGACGGGTGTCGGTTTCGGTTTCGGATAGTAGGAGGGGGTCACAGTCATTAGGGTCGTATAGCCACGTCGCGTCAGGAGGGCGTTTAGGGCTGGGGATTGTTGGTACGAGGGGAGGAGAGGAACAAGAGGTGGGTGAGATGGTGAGTCAAGGGGTTTCGACTGCGAGGAGGGAGAGCTTAGGTGGTGGTGGTGTGGTTGCTATGAAAAAGCGAAGTCGGGTTGCGAAGCTGTTCCTGAGAAAGAAACCCGAAATGACACAAACACCGGCGTATGCGTTGATGACGAAGGCCACGGAGGAGGAGGAAGAAGAAGGTATTGCATTGCAGCCGCTCGAACGCGGACAGGGGCAGGATGAAGACAAGCGCGAGCGTGAACGCGACCGACAGTTTAGGTACGGTGGTGAAAGCTCTTTATCTCCTTTGCCAGGGTCCCTCTCGGCATCGACGGACGATTTACCGCACCAGCATCCAATGCAAGTCGACAACCCTTCCTCTTCAACATTCAGCTTCTCGTCAGCATCCGTAACACCATCATTGAGCTCCAAACCACATCGACTGGACCTTTCATTTGGCGAAAACAACGGAGTCGGGGGGAAGAAAGGAGTGAGGGGAAAGGGAGGTATAGCCGAGACAACGACGGCCCTGAAATCTCCGGCATCGCCACACGGTGGAGTCGCAGGAGGTGGAAACTGTGGTCGATGCTATTTACGCCGGGTTTGGTCCAAAATCAAGCATCCTCAAAGGAACAGTAACAACAAACAGAAGCCAGGGGTGGCAGCAGCGGTGATGGTGCCGGCGATGCTTACCAAAAAGTCGTTGGCTGCATAGACGTAGGAGTTAAAAAAAAAGCCCTTTTTTGTTTTACAATATTGTGTTCTATTTTCTATTACATGAAGTCCATTTTCATCTTATACCTATACTCCGTTTTATTGGTGGTTTGTGAACAATGATGCTCCTTTTGAGCTAAGTTGAACTTGGGGGTAAAAGAAAAGAAAGGAGGGAGAGAAGAGAGAGGTGAGAAGGAGTTAATTGTTAGGTAAGGGTTTGGTATGCTCTTGTTGCATTAGGGTTTGCTGCCCAGCCTCCGATGCTTCATACATGGCGCGTCAAAAGAAAAAAAAAAGGGAGCAGGAGGATGTGTCAACAAAAAGACCATGCATAAGGGTTGCTGATGTTGAGTATCTGTTACAAGGGGTGCATATCATATCAGAAGTCGGAGAGGTACGTCGAAACAGGAGCAGAGGGAGGAAGGGGGAAGCAATTGACAAATTTTGTTTTCGGAGCATGATATTCGACTGGATGCTGGGTTGGATGAGAGTCTTCTTCATGTTGTCATGTTGGAGCCGATCCGTTGGCTGGAGAAAAAAAAAGAAAAAGGGGAGGGTCTCGATGAGGGAAGAGAAATAAAGTGCGAAAGGAAGAGACGAAGCATAGTGTGCTCTTTGGGCGACGTCGCATTTTCGGATGCATGACGCCTAACTGACCGATGAGCAAGAGGGCTTACTTGACCCAAATGTGCGATAATTACACCTACCCAGGCCCCATCTATTCCCTTGTCCTCGTCTATGTACATTGCGCACTAATCACGTTGCATCCCACAGCAGTAGCCAACCCTTGCATCTTTGTTTTTTTTCGTTCGATCCAAACCCCCTTCTTTTCTCTTGTTTTTCGTTTTCTACTCTCCCTGTTCTCAACTGACTCCATCTTTTCTTTTATATGGCCCTCCTCTTCTTCCCTTTCTCAGTCTCCTCCTCTCTCCTCTTCTCTTCTCTCCTCTTCTCTCCTCTTCTCTCCTCTTCTCTCCCCTCCCTTCCTTCTCTCCTCTTTTTCATTTTCCTACTGTAACCCTCGATCTGTTGTTAAACGGACATCACCCACCCCATCTCGTATATCACGACCGGATCCTCCTTTCTTTATGCACGCCCTCCTCCTATAGATAAATTCAAAAGACCATTCTACTACCACTTCTTTCTTCCTCCAACACCCTCTTCCTTCAACTACACTTTTTCTCCTCTTTCTACTCTCTCTATCAACGAGCTTCTTTCTTTCTCACTTCATCCATATAACTCATCCCTTCGTTTGTCGACCACTTTTCATTCCACAACCGAACACCACAACGCGACGAAAATAGCAGGAATGACAGGCGGCCCGAGGGTTTCAATTGTGGTGGTGGGCGATGGCGCTGTTGGCAAATCTGCTATGACCCTGCGCTTTCTTCGAGACCAGTACGTTCCCATCTTCCCTTACCCCTCTCTAAAAGATGAAAAGAGCAACAGAGCTCCAGTGTAACTGAAGAAAGAAGAGGAGAAGGAAGTGTTTTGCATGTTGCATCTTGCATGTTTACAGTTGCAAGGGGTAGGGGGTTGGAGTTGAGGTTCTTTCCTTGAATGTATGGATGCATGAAAATGATTACATTGGTACATGGTCGCTAATAATACGAAACAATATTTTTTACTGTCTACGCACGCACCATCTGCCCTCGTAGGTTCCACGATGAGTAAGTGCAGCAGTGTCTGTTCGCACCCCTTCCTCTTGCCTCCTTCCCCTGCCTTCCTGTATTATTTTCTCAACCGTGCTTTCCTATGCCATATGCATTGACTAACATCTTCATACTTCTGCACGTGGTGGATGGACTCTTGTATATGAATTAGATATGATCCGACGATCGAAGATTCGTACTGCAAGCATGTTGAGGTGGATGGACAAGAATATACTCTTGACATTATTGATACTGCGGGCCAGCATGAGTACCGGGGTCATTGGAACGACCAATTCATGCGGTAAGTTTGTCCTCATTCTACTCTTCTCCTTCTTCCCTACACGTTTATGTTGTTCAAATCAAAAGACATTTGCTTATACTTTATTATTTTCGTTTTCCCATCATCGTTTTCCAGGGCAGGGGATGGATTTATTTGTGTGTATTCGATCGCATCGATGGGGTCGTTTAATGAACTGGCGGTTTTCCGGAACCAGATCTGGCAGGCCAAGGAGTCGGAAAATGTACCGATGATCGTGGCGGCGAACAAGAATGATTTGGACGATGCCCGACAGGTCGCTAGTGAGATTGGTATGGAATTTGCATGTCTCTCCAATGCGTCCTACATCGAGACCAGGTAAAAATATGATAGTATGTGCGACAAACAACGGTGCAAATGAATATGAAATTGAAGACATGGATGGTGATACTGACACGCGCATTTTCCCCCTTCTTCCTCTGGATGCTTAACAAAGTGCAAAGACAGGGTTCAATATCCATGAGATGGTACACGAGCTGGTACGTGAGATTGTGCGATCTCGTCAGCGTGAGGGGTATGCAGACATGATAGATCATCACCAGCACCCTCTTCACCAGCACCAATACCAACAACAGCAACAGCAGCAGCAGTCAGATAAAGGGGAAGCGTCGCTGGCGTTGGGGTATGTCAAGAGTCCGACGCCTGCGGGTCCGATCGGGATGGGTATGGAGGATGATGAGTCCGAAATAGAGGATAAGCGCTGTTGCTGCATCATCATGTAAAAAAATATTGACTCGTAACTCGCGAGATGGATGAAAAAAAGTAAAATGATATTAATAAAAGGACCTCACGGACGCGTGTTTTGGCTCGATACGTTTCGCGTTTGTATGAAATATAATTGTGAGACCTACCTGGGATCTGATTGCAGAGGAGAGGAGGTGATGACGGCAGGAAAATGATCAGTGGCGATATATGATGATGGATCTGATGATCATTTCTTGTTCCTTTTTCGTGACGCATAGTGTCCGAACTGGCCACGCCCTCTGGCAAAGACCTTGAGTGGATGGTAGATACTGTATCCCTATCAACCTTTGTTTCCCGTTAGTCAACTTGCCCCATCCCACAAGCACTCACTGGACCCTTGTCGTCTTTTCCCACCCTTGCTTGCATCACTCGTTCTCCTTTAATGGTTTTTTCATCTTCCGCTCTCTCCCTTTGTTCTATTCTTTTCTTTTCCTCAATCGACCATCCACGCCTTCTCCTCATTCTCTTACTTGTCATCACTCTCCCTCATCCTTCTTTTTCTTCTTCCACTTTACATTCACACGTATACCTTCGTGCCCTCATCACCAGTCTTCACTCGTCCTCACTTCTTCATTCACCAACAGATCAATTTTCACTGACCCCAACAACTACAGGTACGTCCTCTCTCTACCCCACCCTCCCACACTTTTTTTTTTTTGCCTTATTCTATTTCCTTCATGTGCAACAGCAACAGTAACAGAAAAAAAAAGCCAAAGTAAAGGCAGGACACGACCCCACGTTATTTTTTCGTGTCATACATACAATTTCTGTCGTTGTTGAGCTACTTCCTTGTTACTCGTCATCAATTGAACCTCCTCTCTACTTCCCACATAACAGCAATATAACAACAATCAAACCAACCAGCTCCATTATCAACCATACACTCCCTCTGACTAGTTTTCCCCCTACCCCTCCCCCTCATCTTTCTCGTTCCTCTTTATTATCGTTCTTTTTGTTCTCTCACATCTCTTCGTACCCCTATTTCTCGTGTGCATTTTGTTTACTTTTTTTTTCCCAAAGTTTCTTCTGTTTTCTCGATCCAACGCTCTGTCCACTCACTCCTTTTCTATCTCTTCTATTCTCTACTCTTCTCTTCTCTTTGCTTCTCTTCTTCCCTTCGTCTTCAATTACACTATCAACTCGCCAATTCTCACGATATCCTCACAAAAAAGACAGCGTTCATCCAGAGTCGAACATCAAAAAGAAGAACAAAAACAAGGGTCTTCCCTCCCTACCTTCCTCCCTCGAACCCATAATGCCAATTGTCTTTGACAACCACACCAGAGGAAACAACGACAACAACAATAGCTGCGACAACAATGGGCATCAATCATTACTGCTACAACAGCAACAACAGCAACAACAGGACGAGGAAGGGCGTATCCTGAAGTCCGGTCCTCTGCAACATCCTCTCAAGAAGAACCCCACCACTAGTGGCTGGCCCCTCCATACCCCCTCGCCTGAGCACAACAACAACATCAACGATACCGATTACGAGCAACAACAATCACTGCTTCTTTCCTCTGGTAACGACACCTCCATCCTCCCACTCTCTTCCCTCCCGGAACCGACAGGAGCACCAATAAAGGCTTCCTGTCTTTCGACGAACCTGGACGAGGTCTCATGGGCTGCTGCCTCCCTACTAGACCATCATCAACTCCATCACCGCCCCCAACAACAAGAGCAACAACCTCAGCAATTGCAACAGGGGCAACAACGAAGCAGCATCAGAGAAGCGACAGCATACCCTCCCCGCCTCTCTGTCAGTACACAGCAACAGGGACGTCTAAGGGGCTATTATAATGGAATCGGTATCGAAAACAAAAGCAATAACACCGGGGCACAACAACAACGACACGAGCAAAAGAAAAGCGACGAGGGAGAGGAGGATAATAGCTCCTATCCCATTGCGACAGCAGGAGAGGCCCGTCGTGGATTTGATCGTGGATCGCCCCTTTCCTCCTCTTCTTCCTCGTTGTCCTCCAGGTCTTCCAGTTCCTCATCCTTGTCTCCCTCTCCCTCCTTCCCACCTTCTTCGCCACTTCTCTTTTCCTTTACTTCTATGCCCTCCTTGGCTGACAACAACCCTTTGCTGCCCTCCCCCCTATTACTATCTTCATCATCATTTGCACAAACTTGCTCGCCATTGTCTCCTCCCGATAGTGCGACCACTGCCCACCCTCCACTATCGGTCTTGTCATTTTTTCCCTCTCGCTCCAACTCTTTGACCGCGGACGATATTGATTTGGACCCCGCGTGTGTGGTCCGCCGCGGGAACGTCGTCTTGTACACAAGCTCAAGCACAGGAAAAAGCGGCTCAAGCGTGGCAGCAGTATCATCATCACCTTCCCTCTTCTCGGAAAACTCAATTTCTTGCAAAGGAGAAGAGCCCTCCCCTGGACAGACAGATCCCGTCATGCATTGTACTTCTCCCTCACAATCATCCTCGCAGCAGCTCTACCACCAGCAGCAACCGCCGTCCGCGTTGCCGTCCTCTTTTCTTCCTTCCGTAATCCCTCTGGACTATACTCCAAGTAGCCTTGTCGCCGTCTTTTCCCCTTCCTCTGGTGAAAGACGGGGTAACGAGAGCAGTATACACGAACAGAGGGCCAGAAGATCAATGGAAGACAACTCTAGCAAAATCAACAACGACGGCGTTTCCTCTCCTTTTCCCTCTCCTATCGAGCCAGACCACTCCTCTTTGTCATCGTCGTCGTCGTCGTCGTCGTCGTCGGCTTCCAAGGGGCTTGTTGTTTGCAAGGCTGAACCAACATCGGAGATAATGAGCCCAAACCCGACTATGGACAGCCGGATGGCCTCGACTACTACTGGAACAACCACTTTTGTCACTGTTGAGACCGTATCGTTGCCCGTCGAGTCGTCCGAGAAGATGGCGAGGAGGAGGAGGAGGGTGTCTGAGGGTCACAACACCACACCTGCTGCCAAGTCGACTAAAAATGCCGAAAACCCCACTAGCAACAATAACAATAATAGGCTGGAGCGAAGGAAGGCGTCTTCTTCCTCATCGGCTACCTCGTCAACTGCCAGACCCGCTTGCTCGTACACGACGATGATCATGGAGGTCTTCCAGGCGTCGAGCAAGGTTAAGCTGGACCTGCCCGATATCTATAGTGGAATCATGGACAAGTACCCCTTTTACCGCAAGGCAGGCAAAGTCTGGCAGGTACGTTTTTTTCTTTTCAAGGACCCCAAGCCGCCATTCAAATGCAAATCGTGGAAAGGCATCTAGTGGGTAGGGATAATCATCAACCCATTGCTAATCATGTCGTTTATTATTGTTCATTGTCAATAGAGCTCTGTTCGACATGCCCTCTCGCAGAGCAAGTTCTTCTGCAAGTTAGAACGTGGACCAGGCGAGCCTGGCAAGGGCAGCCTGTGGATTATCGACACCGAGAACAAGCAGACCTCGAACCATTCTCGAAAGAGAAAGGCTTCTGGCGGTAATCTTGGTGCTAACGACTATGTATCTGCCTCGCCTTGCCCAACCACCCACTCCAGGATTGCTCATTCTCCCAAGTTGGCCTGTACAACTGCTACGATTGGAAAATCTTTTGACGATGAAAAGTCGCGTGGGCTCCATTCCTCTGCAGCTTCGATTCCTTCCCCTGCGGCATCAGATGACGTTGATGATGGCGGTACTGTGCGTCGAAGCGGGCGTGCACGGAGACCACCGCGAACCAAGGAGGCGGATGATTACATCACTACCGCTTCTCATAGTCGAAAGCCATCATTGGTCACTGGCGCCTCGTTGTCGACACCGCCATCTTCGCCTGCTCCCCAAGACCATCCCTCCGAGACGAACGCAAGGATGACATCACCGCCGCCGCCATCAAGGAGGCGGTCCAGCTCGATCCGGTCAGACAGGAGCGTCACTGGCCCTGCCGTCTCCCGCATGAGTCATTTCACCATCGACCTGCCACACTACAGCCCAACGATATCTGTGCCAGCTACGCCCACTGTTTTTCCTGGTGCTCATCCTCGCAGGGCTCTGTTGGATCAGGAACTTGCCAGTATTCCTGGAGTAGTGACTTCGCCCCGAGTTCGACGCCCTCCTCAGAAGTTGGCCGAGTTTGTGTCGTCCGAAGACTTTAAGGCTTCTTTGGTTTCGGCTTCCTCGTCGTCTTCCTTGACATCGGGGAATCAGGATCGTGCTGCAACAGCAACAGCAACAACAACGACGGCGCCAGGAGCAGAGTCAGGTCAGCGGATAGAGAGGAGAGGTAGGAAGCGAGCACTACCAGATGGAGATCAATCAGCGTCGTCTTCACAGCAACAGCAAAAGGGCGTTAGTGATGGTACTGTTACCCGCAGCAACAAGAGGGCGAACACTGTCAACGGCGGCAGGACCAAAGATGCGGCGGCACCAGCCCGACAACAGAGTGCCTCTTCGCTCCCCGCTCCTGTGCCTACTGCGCAGAGCCGTGTGGGTAGCATCACCGGTAGTGCACCCGCGTTTATCTCGCTCAAGGATTTGGAATTGAGTCATGCTGCGTCACTGGAGGAGGACTATGACGACGAGGACGATTGCTTTGGAGCGGGTGGGCGCAACAACAACAGAGGTGGTGCACGTGGCGTTTCTCTGAGGCGACACGGTGGCTGTAGACCTGTCTGTCATAACGAGACGTATGAGCAGAGACGACTTGCCGGGATTCAGCAGATTGTCGTGGCGTCACTTGATTGGTACGATGAGTCTGATTCTGAAGACGACGAAGAGGAAGATGATGGTATGGAAGGCGACTCTGATATCGACATGGGCGACATCAATGACGAGAGCACGGCGGTAGTTGGAAGAGTTGGTGGAGGTGGCACGGCTCGATCGGGTTGTGACTCTGGGTTCGATTCAGAGTCGGAATCCTGCAAGGGGTTTGTTCGCGAGGCTGGTTGGATGATGACGGCGGAAGCTACGGAGCTGGCTGAGGAACTCGACATTGACAATGCGGCATCCTCACAGGTTCTTGAACGCTGTCAGAGTGAGGCGTTCGAGACTGTGTGTATTGCACCTGCCGAGGTCTTGGCTGTTGGAGGCGCTGTAGCGTCACACTTTCTGGATCTTACAGGAGCTGGTCTCGTGGTTGATCAGGACGGTGATGGATTGCAGCCTTCTTCGGTTGCCGTTGACGAGTCGTCACTGCTGCCTATTATTTCTGGGGACGAGCCTTCACCATTGGCCGACATGATCGAAAGTGGTACTGGAGTAGTCGAGTCAGGACAGCCGGCTCCAGCCTGGACGCTGCCTATGATCCCTGGCGGAGTTCTGAAGGAGTTGGCGGCTGTTACAGTTGCAGCCCTTGAGGTGAGCGGCGACAAGTCGGTCAGTGGAGTTGAGGACATCGCAGGTCCTACGGAAGTTGAGCTGGAAGAGAATGGCGGCGATGCAACTGTACATATTGAAGCAGCAACAACCACGGTGGCAGCAGCAACAGCATCGGAGACGACGGAAATGAAGGCGGATAACTACATGGGCTGGCTCAACCTCTAGTCGCACCACAAGTTATCTCCATCCTCCATTCATACACAAAAAATATCAAAAAACAAAAAACCATTAAAATAAATCAACTTGTATTTTTATCAAAACAAACAACATCGCAATACACCATAAACCATGTACAGTACCATGCCATATCGTTACTGAAAGACTGACAGTGAACCAGCAAGTTTTTATTTTTTAAGAAAGGAACAAAAAGAAACGAAAGACTCAGAAGCCAGTTGCAAAAACAATTAGTGTAGAAGATGTAAAAGTCAGAAGCGAAAGGTGGGAGGAGTGAAAACAAGAGTCGCAAAAACAAAACTAAAAAACTTCTGGCGAGAATCCAGCAGCGATGTTCCCATGCGGACTGACGAGCAGGTTATACCTTGTGCAGGGGCACATCCTCGTCGGTGGTCATGCTTTCATCATCGTGCCGAGCCTTACTTCCGTTGGCGCCAACCGGCGACTGAGTCCGATGCGGTCTTTCCTGTCTCTCGTCGTCATCAAAATCTTCCACGTCCACATCCACGTCCTGATCCGCTAATTCTGCAGTTGCAGCTGCCTTTTCTGCAGACGTTCCGTTGGACTGACGTTGCAATTTGCCAGCCTGAGGAGACCCCGACTCTGAAACTATCTCCTCGCCACCATCCTGGACATCGTTGATCTCCTTGACCGACAGGGAACCAGTAGTAGACGGAGGTAGTGGGGAATTGGACGACACCAGCGCAAAATCATTGATGCCTGCCAATCGAATCGCAGGCATTGCCACAGCTGTCGCCGACAGTTTCGTCTTTTTCGTCTTTTTCTGCTTGGTGTTGATTGCAACATTGGCGCTCTTGGGGTCACTGGGCTTACTCAAGGATCCAAGAGACGCGTACTCTTCGTCATCATCATCATCGTTTCCACCTGCTGCTCCTGTCTCTCCGTCCGCTGCATCGTGTTCGTCGCCATTATGATCCTTCCCTGACTTTGCACCAGACGCCAGAGCCGAAACCTTCCGCTTCCCCGTCACTCCTCCTCCTCCTCCTGGGGTCTGTCCTGCAGCCCCAGACCCAACCCCACCAGCCAAAGCAGATCCTCCGGACCCCGCAATCTCCTCAAACTGCTGCATCACATACGTCGAGCACTTTTCCGCATTCGGAAGATCCTGGATCATCTTGGCAATCGTCGCGTTCGAGAACCCAAAGTAATCTGGTCCTGAGGCTGAGTTGGAGTGGTCCCGTTTCCGAATGGCATTGGCTGCCTTGACAATATGTGTCCATGCGCCTGTTGCCGTTCCTGCAATAATCGGCTTTCCAGGCTGATCTTCTGCATCAATTTGAAACTAATTAATCAATTAAGAAACGTTACTCGTTAGACAAAGCTAGCATATCTAATAACATCGTGTCGCAAACACGTCAAAGAAACGTACCTTGGGAGCCTCACCGTCATCGATGACACTGCATGTGTAGGTGGTATGGGTGGTAGGGTCGATCATGCTGTTGTAGGAGCGCGACATTTTGTATCCGACGGGCCAGATGTAACGGTCATTGTGGAAAGCCTCGCGGTCATAGACGACGTGTCCAATGCTCAAGATGGTGATGATTCCGACCGTGACAGGGAGTTTAACGTTGCCCTTCTCGTCTTTTTCAACGATCTGGACTTTACGCGCCTTGGCCAGTCCTGGTCTCTGTTTGTTGGTTTGGTGAACGCGCTTGGGTTTTTGAGTAGCAGAGCCAACATTGGTGATGGTTGATGGGACTGCAGCAGGTGTATGAGACTTGGACTCTTTTGGCCCAAGCCGAGCAGAGGTTGACGCAAGGGTACCAGGAGCAGATGGAGATGAGCGCCTGACTCCTTTCTTCTTTTGATGTTGCGTTGATGACACTGCCTCGCCTGCTGATGTGGTTGCTGCAGAGTGAAATGTATTTGCAGCAGCGTGATTGGGTCCAGATCCACGGCCTCCCTTGTTCCCGTTCCCCTTTACGCTTCCTGGCCCCTGTTTTGAGCCACCTGTCCGTTGAGCGGGACGACGCGACTCGTCTGAAAGGGAAGAATCAGACGATTCGCTATCACTGCTCAGAGATGAGACCGAGTCACTCCCAGAGCCTCCGCCCTGTCGTTGCAAAGTACAAAGGCGATCTAGTATGAGACTGAAGAATTATAAGGATGTCAGTTGGGCTTGGTTTTGTCGTTTTCTCGATTCTTTACTCCTCCACTCTTCTCTCCCCTAATAAATCCTTGTAACAAATCCTTGTAACAAATCCTTGTAACAAATCCTTGTAACAAATCCTTGTAACAAATCCTTGTAACAAATCCTTGTAACAAATCCTTGTAACAAATCCTTGTAACAAATCCTTGTAATAAATCCTTGTAATAAATCCTTGTAATAAATCCTTGTGATGCGCCTTCTTTTGTCAAAGTCCTCTTGCTTTTTCTTTTCTTGAGGGCTCAGTTGTGAAAACGCTGAAAGAATACAACTCCAGCCGCGAAAAGAATTTTGGGCGCTTCTTGTTCTTGCACTTACTTCTTCTCCCGCCGGAGGTGCCTGACTCTTCGATGGAACTTGTCCAGCTCATGGCTCATTCGCTCATTGTCCTATAAGGAAGAGATAACAACGACAAAACCAAACGGCGTTTTTTTTATATTAGTGTTGTTATTCGTTTGATGTACGACGAACTGGTGTAGACAAGACCAAGATGGCACAAAGAGTAGAAAAAAAAGCCCAGCCCAGTTTTTTTTCTTGTGTGTAGTTACCTCGAGGGCAAGTTTGAGTTTGCGTTTGAGACTCTTGTACTTGTCGTCGGAGAAGTGAAGGCTGTCGTCGTCATGGTGGTGGAGGTGATGGTCATGCTCGTGGCAGTCAAGGTCCATGCCCGAGAGGTGAGACTCGTGGTCATCTTGGTCGTGGCCGTCGTCGTCGTGTTGGTCCTCCGATTCGTCGCGTTCGCCGCGGTCGAGGTTGAACCTGGTAGTCGTGTGTCCGTTCGTGTTTTTCGACTTGCAAGGAAAGGGAGAAGGAGATGGGGAGTGGATCCGGATATCCTGGCCGCTGTGCTTGCCGCCGTTTTTTAGGTTGCTGTTGTTGTTAGCTGCTGTGTCCGAGAATGGAGCCTTCTTGTTGTCCTGCTGTCCATTTTTCCCAAGAGTGGGCGACGGTTGCCCACGGTGATTATCGTCGACGACGGTATATCTCTTTTCGTCGCTGCTATGGCTGTGGTTATGATGCCCGTTGACAGTGGAAGTGGGAGTGGTGGTTGCGGTTGAGATGCTGATGACACCTTCCATGGAGGAAGAAGGGGCTGCGGAAGTTGTTGATTCGAGCTTGTTGGTTATCGTAGCTGTGGAGGCGTGACCACCTCCTCGTTCTTGTTCTGATTCTCCTCGGACAGTGGATGGGGAAAGCTGTTTTGGTGGCGTAGGTTGTGAGTGGCCCCTGTGGTCGAGTTCGTATTGGTTATGGTGGCCTGTGGTCGTTTTTGTTTTTGCCACGCTGGGGGAGGCGTGCTTGCCGTCTGTGGTAGGTTTTGTTGCTGAAGTGGAAGTAGGAGAGTGGAAGAGCAAAGAAGGGGAGAGTGGTCGCATGAACTGGGGTGTGAAAGATGCTTTTTTTTTTTTTTTTTCTTTTTGATGAGTGATTGCGTGTGTGTGGGTGATGAGAGATCAAAAGGAGGAGTGGAGTGGAGTGTGTGTGTGCGTGTATGTGTGTGTGAACAAAAGGCGAAGGGAAAGAAGGAAAAAAAAGTGGAGAAGAGGAAGGAAGGAAGGAAAAGAAAGACAACTCGGAGGAGGGGAGTGTAAAAAGAAAGTTTTCCTGCCAAGAGAGAGGAAAGTCGAAGGAACAAAGAGAAGAGGCTAGAAGGGAAGAGAAGAAGCAAGGACTCGAAGGAAAGGACACGAAGGAAGAGAAGAGGAGGAAGAGGGGTGGGGACAGAGAGGGAAGAAGGGGGGAAGGCAAAGGAGAGGCAACAAGGACCGAGAGTCAAAATTTTAGTGGGTGATGAGCGAAGCGAAGTGCGAGAGCATTGGACACAGAGTAGAGGAGAGGGAAGGGGATGTGGGAGAAAGAATAGGGAGCGCACTGTTGTTGGTTGCACACAAGGAAAAGATACACATAAGAAAGACAAGAGACACAAACAAACAGAAGAAGAGGAGTTAACAAGAAAAGCCTGCTTTCATCCTTCGCCCTTCTTCTCTTCCTTCCTTCCTTGTACCGGCCTTGATGATGAAGGCGTGTTGCAGTGTTCAAGAGGAAAGAAGTGACCCATGGACAATGAACAAAAGAATAAAAAAATATATATACTCGGCCCGCCTGTTCCGATGGGCTGCTGCTTTCTTGTAAACTTTCTTTACCTCCTTCTCTTCACAGGAGCAACCAAGCGGAGGAGGGTAAAATCACAGCCTTGTTAACAGAGCATGTACCTTCCCCTATCCCTTCTTCCCCGTATGCATAGTTCCCTTCTGTCCTGCCTTCCTCAGTCGGTCCCTTTTTCTCTTTTTCTTCTCCGCAAAACCGTAGAAACGTCCTTGTCGTCGCAGTCACACAGCTCTTCTTTTTTCATTCTACTTCAAATTCGCGTGTTCTCTTTTTTACACTCGTTACCTTCCTCTCCTTCTCTCCTTCCTCCTCCTCTCCTCACTTTCCTCCTTTCCTCCTCACCTTCGTCAACTTTCGCATTACTTCGATCCTTAACACTCTTCCTCTCTTCTTTCACCCAGCCACCTCCTTCCTGCCTCTCTTTCTCTTTCTCGTTCAAACAAACAAACGTACAACCAATGAGCGGGATCTTCAACTTCAGGTACATTCCCTTCAACAATTATCCAGCATTCGCCCAAACAGAGATATCGCTCTCTTTGTGCAACAACTGTGGGCACTTGCTCTCTTTCTCAACCACCATTCTTACTACCTTTCACCTCTTTCGTACACAAATGAATACAACAAACATAGCAAACTGGGTGGCAGGATTAAGCCCAAGCGATCCATCTCGGCCATCCGCCCTCTTTTCCTCTGCCAGCCCTACTGCAACAACTCCATCGTCAAGGGAAACTTCAAAACTATCGTCCAACTCCCCAAATACGTCGACCCCAACGAATGGCTCGCCGTCAATGGTAACCGTTTCTTTTGGTTCACGAACAGCACTTCTGGACTCTCTCTTTTTGTCTCTACGTTTACTACTTTTTTACTCGGAAAGGTGAAAAGAGGAGTGAAGAGAGAAAATTGAAAACTGCAAAAGAGGGGGGGAGAAAAGAGAAGGGAGTGTTGCTCTCGATAATTAGCATTTCTTTCTAAGAGCAGGAGCAGGGACATCAAACGCGTTTCAAGTTCTGGAGGACACACAGACACACAGACATTCAGAAAGGCACAGTCCAATTTCAGCACACAGTTGTTTCTTTCCGAGGCAGAACCAGCAACACACTACCACATCATGGCTTCATTCCCATGTATCCCGCTTGCTCGGTCCTTTTCATCCTCATACCCTTCACTGCTCCAAAAACGGAATGATGCTAACGGTTGTCTCTTGCCTTTCTCATAGCATTCGACTTTTACAACTACGTCAACATCTTTTACGGATCCATCTCGGACTTTTGCACCCCACGCGAATGCCCCAACATGTCTGCAGGATCAGGGTAATATACTTCTCGGTACAATCGTACTCACCCCAACGGAGGAGTTAATTGGAAGTGAAGGAAAGAAGAGGATGGAACTGCCCGACGCTAACGTAATTTCTTTCCTTGAACCCCCTTCTCTTTTTACTTGCTGCCCCTCCTTTTTTTAATTCACTTGGTAGATGCGAGTACTTTTGGATGGATGGGCAGAAAAAACCGAGTAAAGTGCCTGCCTCTCAATACATCGACTTTGTCATGAACTGGATCCAAACCCTCATCAACGACGAAAACACTTTCCCCACCAAAGATGGTACGCTTTCTTTCCTCGTCTTTCTTTCAATTGATGCCCATCTAACTGTCGTTGTTAATGCCCACCAAAATGGACCAACTCCTGACATGTTTTTTTCGATACGTGATCATATCCCAACATAGGACGCGATTTCCCACCAACGTTTGTCCAAACAGTCCGAGCAATCTTCAAGCAGCTGACGCGGGTGTTTGCACATGTGTACCATTCGCACTACGACAAGATGCTCTCGCTCTGCCAGGAGGCTCATTTCAACTCGCTCTTTGCACACTTTGTCAGTTTCGGACGCGAGTTTGATCTTCTGGACAAGAAGGATATCGTCCCCATGCAGGAATTGATCGACATCATGGACAACAATGGCATCCTCTGCTGAGAATTGGATAGATTGGATAAGAAATGACGAAGGGGAGAGCATATACCAATGTGGAATTGAAGGAGAGCGAGGAGGAGGAGGAGGAGGAGGAGGAGGGAGGAGAGGTTGACGATGGGGGTCGCACCTTAGACACTTTGTCATTATTTACAAATACAATATTCGTTTAATTTGACACCGTCAACGACTCTTCGCAAAAGTTAAGTCAGCATTCGTCTAGTGTTTGTTCCTGAGGGTTGCTATTCACGCCAAGTACACAACTGACGACGGTTTCTCCTAGAAAAACAGAGCCATCCTGATCCCATTGACGTGATCCTCTTGATGACTTATTCCGAAGCCTCAAGTGCCTGGACAGCCTCCTCGTACTCCTTAGTTCCCTTGACATCTGGGCTAGCATTTGTCTATATATCGTGTCCACAATGAGAAAATACATTGGTGTGAGGTGAGTAACTTCTCGGGCCACCTTAACCATCCTGTGAAATCTGGTTATTACCCATGGTGACATTTAGTTTTAACTTACGACTACGTTGGCGAGATCTTGGCGGGCAGCCTTCCTCCTTCTCTCGACATCGGGAAACATATCCAACGTCTCCTCCAGCACCTCACGCTAAAATCCATGTGAACATACATGTATAATAGATATGACATGAGTAGACGGTTCTGCAAAAGCGCAGCAGGTGTGACATAGGCAGGGTTAGAAGAAAGAGCAAACAAAGATGATGAAGGGTACCTGCTTCTTGATCTCGTAGTCTTCGGGGTCCTTGGCGACCATGACAGCGATACGACCTTCCTGATGCTCCTTCTCCTTTGTGTAAAAGACTACCTCCTTTGTCACTCTATATCCGTTAATGCGACAAGGGAATAGTAAAGGTGAGAGGTTTGTTATACGTACGCGCGCTTGATAGGGTTCGCGGCCACCGCTTTTTTTTCCTTTGTCAGACAAACGAATGTGCTCGGCATTCTTCCCAGGAACGAGGTGGTGATGAGAGACGCGAGTTGTTGTTTTTTTTGGGGAGGGTCTAAAGACTAACTAACCTCTTGAGGACGTTGGTCTTGATGGTGAAATCTCTCGTGGACATATTTAACTGTGGCGTTGGTTGTAGATGTTGGTTATGAATGAAAGAGATCGCTGTGTGAGTGTGAGTGTTGGAGAGATGGTCGATGCAGGGCTCTTTGTCCTTTTATGTCCATGGCCCGTGACTGTTTGCCAACTAGGCTAGCTGGCCTCCAAAATGACAAATGTACAAATGACAACTCCGCTGCACTTCGCGTTGGAGTCGCAAGGAGGCGCGCGTTCCTCCTATCTGGCATTGTTTGCTAGAAGCATCCATTAATCCCTTGACCAGCCCCTCCTCTCCTTCCTTCTTTCATCCTCTTTTCTCAGAAGAACAACGCCTCCAGGCAACATAGCGACACAACGAAGGAAGTAGTTTTCAGTATTATTATTATTAGTAGATGGAAGAAGACAAATATATGCAAAAAGAGTATGTACAAAAATCTAACGAAACGAGAAGGATCCCCCTCCAATGTTTAGTGCATGGTGTTACCAGCACTGTGGGAAGTGCCATGGATAGCGTTACCAACAGTATTGTCAGCAGAGTTGACACCGTGGCTGACAGCGTTACCGGTGCCATTGGCGGCGTTGTGGACACCGTTTGAGTCCGAGTCGAGGACACCGCCGGCACGGGGCTGGGTGTTGTATCCGGTATTGGCGTTTGTGGTAGTGTTGTAGGTGGGGTTCGACGCGCTGCTATAAGTGTTGACGGGGACGGTGTTGTTGCTGTCATAACCAGTGTTGGTGTTGTTGGTGTTATAACCAGTGTTGGTGTTGTTGCTGTTATAACCAGTGTTGGTGCTATTAGCGTTATAACCAGCGTTGGTGTTGTTGCCGTTATAACCAGAGTTTGTGCTGTTATAGGTGTTGCTCGAGGGGTTCGAGTAGGTCGTCATTCCGGGGGGGACAACGTGGGTGTTGGTCGTGGGGACGGACCTGACAACTACAGGCTCGATCTTTTCAGTGACAACCGTGCGGGAAGGAGCGCGAGCAACGTTGGTGTCGACAGAATTCGTAGAAGGGTTGCTGTACAAGGCCGCGTGCTGAGCACGCTCCTTTCTCCAGCAAAAGCCCAACAGACCAGCAAACGCAAAGGCTGCAAGGGAACCGAGAACAGTACCGGCGATCGCACCACCTGACATATAGTAGTCCTGTTGGGCGACGGGCACCACAGTCGGGACGGGGGTCGCAGAGGTGGCCTCAATGGGTTGCGCAATGGTAGTGGCAATACCAGACCCACCGGAGGCTGAGAAGGTCTGAGTACCCTGACCGGGGCGGTACTGGTAAGGGTTGCCAAAGGGGTTGGTCAAACCGGCAACACCGCAGCGGCGGAGGAGGCCATCGACGTTGACGGAGTGCTCATAGAAAAGGGTGGGGCTACGACGGCATTGGCAGGCGGCGTAGTTGTCGATGTAGGTTTGGGTGCATTGCTTCTCGTTGCAAGCGGCCACGTTAACTTTAGGGTTGCTACACAACACTATTATGCGAGATATGATGGAGAAAGTATTTTTTTCTCGGTTAGATTTTCTTTTGCTATGCTGATGTGAAATATAAGCCATTCATTGTGTGCGGGAAGAGACAGAGAGAGGAAAGCAGACTTACGAGGGACGACGCCGATGGCGGTACAGGCGGTGTTGATTGCAGGGGTAGCAGGGCATGTGAAAGCATTGACGACCGCGACGGTCGCGAGGAGAGTAACAATCACCTTCATTGTAGGAAAGGTTGTTGGGACGAATGGCTTATGGGAGAGGAGAGAGTGAGTATTATAGGTGATATAGGGGAGTAATGACAGCGAAATGGAGAAAGAGAGAAGAGGGAAAGGTCGATTTGCGATGAGGAAAGAGAGGGTAAAAGACGAAGAAGAAGAGAAAAACGTTGGAGGAGGGAAGACTGATGTTAAATACCTGGCCAATCCAACTCTGGCTCTTAAAGACATTGTCAGGTGGGGAGTTTGGCTCTCCATTGTTGCACACGCCACTGTGGACAATAGCAGCAGCAAGGAAGAAAAAAGAATAGGGTCGATCCTACCCCATATTGTTCTTCGAGACAACTTGTTGTGTTTCTCGTGTCTGATTCTATCTTGGTCTGACCACAAAAAAAAAAGCATAAGGCGCGTGAAAAAAAAAAGAAAAAAAAAAGCCAATCGCCTAACTCGATTGCTTGCATAAAGAAAAGAAATCTCATTCGGTTCCAAGTCAGCCTTGTGCCTCTTTTTCATGATGAGTCGATACGCGTCAAAACGGCCATATGAAAGCTAAGCTTCGATTTGCCAACGGAACGCAAGACCATGGTTTCATGTCGCGTTGTGCTTCAGTTCTCCCAATCAGAACAGTCAAACCTCCCCTATTGCATACTCGGTGGATATCCATAAGACCTCAATCACGTGGTCAAAGCCCTTAATAAAATGCATACATATTGGGAGAGGACCAAGGAGTTCGCATATGTTAGATCGATAGAATAAACAAACTAAAATAAAGAGGGAGGGTGAATGAGGGAAGGAGTGCTACAATAAAATAGACCCCTGGGCGCCGGCTAATCCGTAATGTATGTTGACTGTTGCACCGCAGTCCGCCGTTAGACGATAGATCGGCCTGTGGTCGGGTGTTGGGCTGCAACAGCGGAGGTCTGGCGGAAACGTCGGCAGGGCGAAAAGTGGATAAGGATAGGACAGAGAAGCTGGGGAGAATAGAGGAAAGGAGTGCTAACAATAAAGTAGACCCCTGGGTGGTATGCTGGTTGTCGCGCGTCCCGACTGCTCGATCACCCGTATGTCTTTTCACGCCTAGCATTGGTCGCGACATGAGGGAGGTCGAGAATAAAGGGAGCGCTGATCCTGATTTCAGTGGTGTTTGTTCAAAGGAAACACGTCAAAAGAATGGATCAAAAAGAGTAAGAGAAAGGAAGCACCCCGAGCCCAGTCGAATTATTTTATTATCATTTTCTACACTACAAGATGGTGGCCACAAGAACGCCACTAAAATATTACTCAAAAAGCAGATCCCCATCTACATCACCACACCACGGAGATGTACCTCTCCTCACCGGTTTTACCGTCTGTGCTCTCAGGGAGTGAAGAGAAAATAGCACCTCTTCAAGGAATTGCCTTTACTAGGAAGAGACAAGGAAAGAGAGTAAGTTCTTTCAGCCGCTACTTATCTGTTTGCAAGTAGACTCTAATATTTTGTTTGGTCAATGCTTCTATCTATAGGGCAAAAAATACACCTTCACGAACGACCAACGAAAACGACTATGTGACAGGTTTATGAAGGGCAACTTGACACAAAAGCACAAAGGGTATTCTAGATGCCATGGTTCAACCCTCCCTCACCACATTTTTTAAGCCCTCATAGAATATGCAACCCACTTGAAAAGTAAACGACTCAATACCACATTGAATAGCTTATAGGATATTGCAACAGACCGAGTATGCTATAGGAGAAAACGATGGGATATCCTATAAGCGAGCCTGGAACCTTATTATTTTAAAAAAAATATGCTATGAGAGGAACATCCTATTGGGGAATATCCTATAGGGGAGGTTCGATCAGGGAAACGCGTTTACATTAGAGGGTCCTTTTATCTGTTCCAATCCCAGAAACCCAAAGGTCACAGGCATAAAATGATGAATGCAGAGAGGGCAACAAAGTTGAGGAGCAATAAATATTGTACTATTTGATAATATTGCTATGCTGTGCGTCCCATGACCGTTGGGAACAAATGTATAAAGATAGATAGAAAAGATTTGAGAACGAAGAAGGAGACTGACAGCGGACGTCAATAAGAGAAAATGGCACTAGCCCTTCCTTTAAGGCGACAGAACCTTGGCGTTGTGGGCATCAACCTTAACGGGAGCCTTGACGCAGACCTTGTTCCTGCTTATATCCGTGTTAATGAGGCCACGCTTGCGACGCATTGGAGCAACCCCCTCGCTGGATCCCTTGTGGTGAGAGGCGACCATGGGAGCGGTGCCAGAGGCCTTGTCCTGGTAGGAGGCGATCGATGCGGCGGCAGCCTCGGTGTGGATCTTCTTGCCGCTGCCTGCAGGGATGGGGGCGGGTGCAGCCTGGACTAGGGCTACGATGGCGAAAAGGGCGATGATGGCGGAGATCTTCATGTTGATTTGTGGGTGAGGAGAGATTATTGGGGCTGTGTAAAGAGGCGAGAAGGACGTGGATGGATTGTGGATATGTGAGATGTGAGATGTGAAGAGTGAAGAGTGAAGAGTGAAGAATCAAAAAAGAGACCAGAAAAGTGCAGGGTTATAAACACTTTTTCTCCTTCGTCTTGTTCTTGCTCACGAACATCAAAGGTACTCGTGTCGCGCGTTGGAAGAGGGAGCGAAAATAAAGGAAATGTAGTGTGTCTAACCTTCCGATGCATTGAAGGATTCATATGGAGTAGATACATGATACAACTCACGGAGATGCAGTCGTCTATTCCCTCCTCCCGGCCCATGCAGAGAGGCACAAGAAATAATATGAAAGAGTGAGTTGGAAAAGAAGGGAAGGGAGGTGACGAAAGGGATGTGAAAATGGGCTTTCAGAAGAAGGATGACGAACCTTCCTTTTTGCCGACCTTGTCTCTTACTTTTGCGCATCGTGATTGTTCACATTATCACTTCAGGAGTCCAAGTACGACAGGGTGGCAAAGAAGGGAGAAGAAAGGGCTCTTTTTGTAGACAGAAAGAAAAGATAAAAAAAACCATCTGTTACCAAACAAATGAAATTAAGGAGGCATCCATGAAATAAATGACGTCCACACGCAACACCAAAGAGTTCATTCGACGGAGTGCGACAAAATATCCCACCTCCTGTAGAGTGTTACTAAGGTAGCCTCTAGTCGGTGTCTTTTCGTTGCTCGCTAGTGCGGACGTCAAGCAAGCTGTCGCGGTTGCCAGTATGGATTTGAATCTCACTGTTCGTTTCCTTTGTGTCCCTATACCACCACCCCTTCACCTTCTCTTTGATTGGATTAGCCCAGGCCAGCAAAAAAAAAAAAGCGCAAGCCTCTCTCTTGACAATAGTCATTGCGCGAGATGTTATCTCTTTACTCTCGGCAGACAGGATCAAAACACAAGACGCAAGGTAACTAGTTGTCGCCGATTCTCTTCATGATCTTGTCCTCACTTCTCCTCTTCAATGTTTCTTTTTCCTTTCATAATCCAAATCGCGCTAGAAAATCAATAAGTGTGCCACAAAAGTAGACGCGTCTGTATATGTCCACAGAAGGCTAGGTATAAAAAAACGCCAATGTGTATTTTCTTCGACCATGATAGAGAGGAGTATCTTGTCACACAGTACAAAAAGATGGTGAGAATCCACCACCAAGCACAAAGGGTACTAGACTGGCCAAACGTGAGTTGGTTTACGAGGGAAGAGGATAAGGGATTCTGGTATGTGTTCTCTTTGGTTGTCAGCCCTTTTGGAACCCTACCGTGAAACTAGACCAACCCAGCTCCACCCCATCTCAAGACGATCCATGAATGCGTACCCTTGTTCTTCCTGGATGCAATGGATCCATAGCCGATATGTGTCTCCTCCCCTCTTCTCCCTCGTTTTGCATGTGCATTCCTTGATCCGGACAGTTAGGTAAAAGTGACAAGGCGAGAGCAATCCTGAAATGTATCCATGCGCTAATCCACCATCTGAGAACAAGCGAGAAATAAGCATTGACCTGTGCACAGAGCCTCCTTCCCAGAAAAAAATGAACAGATCAGTCCTCTAGACCTTCTTGCGATACCACACGCAGTAAGTACTGCCCTTGACAATTGCTTCCCAGCATTGAATGATGAAGACATGGCCACTTGATGTTGATATGGTTACCTTTCATTTTTGTTTCTAGTTGTTATCTTCGAGTCGAGGATCTGGAAAGAGTTCGCTGAGTACCACAGTCGATGACGACGTCCTTTCTAATGTCACAGCTCGAGTTGTACGAGGTCCTTGAGAGTTCGCCTGTGCCATCTGAACAGATTGTGTTTTGCGCCACGGGCAATGTTGTAACGAAAGTGCTCAAGCAAACAGATAGGCTCCAAGCGAACAGCTGTTCTATGCTCTTCCCCAGTAATAATAAAACAATGCTTCCTCTTCAATAGTGATATTTTGTTATCTTCTTCCCGTGTCCTGGTGAAAAAGATCAGGTGCAGTTGTACAGCCTTGTCCGATTCCTTTTTTTCAATTTTTTTATTTTGCACTCTCTGATTTTTTTCTCCGTACTCATGATGGTGACTGTCACCCTTGGTGCCTTATTGTGTCATCTTTTTTTTTCTGAATGCATCGATTTTGGTTGCACGCATTCACCGCCTCAATATCAACTGAACACACAGGTTGCAATCAACAGGCGTTGGGCTCTGCATGATTAATAATATTTTTTTTTGGCGGATGTCGCCGATCATTCAAGTACTAAGTGTTTACTCGTCTCATGAGTGACCAAAATCTCGGTGACATTAGGCGCGTGCTCTCACTCTCTTATTTCGGTACGTTCTGGAGAAACGAAGAGATGGTAAGCGATAGACTAAAATGGCACAATGCAAATAGAACAAATAATCATACGCCCTGAATGTAAATGTTCCTCCGCCATCATTGGCTCTACCTATATCTCAACGCAATAGAACTCGCTTGCTCACCCTGCTTGCTGCTCAGTATAGATAAAGTTATAGATAATTCTCTTCGTCTTGGACAAATCACTGCAAAAATAAGAAAGCAAGCGTGTTCTTCGATATGATAGATTATCATATTTGTTCTAGTTGACAGTAAAACTTGCTATGTGGCAATTGTAGGATGCAGTGTTGTTTAATCATCCTTTTCAGCGTTCTTGTCCGTGCCATCTCTGCCCTCGGATCCAGCATCACCACCATCGTCATCGCGCTTATCCACGTTGTCCTTGGAGTCCTCATCACCTCCCTTGGTACTGGCTTGGTCACCATCGCCGGTAGAATTTGTGTCGGAGCCATCGGTGACCTCGGATTCAGCATCATCACCTTCGTCACCACCACCGCTGCCCTCGGATCCAGCATCACCACCATCGTCATCGCGCTTATCCACGTTGTCCTTGGAGTCCTCATCACCTCCCTTGGTACTGGCTTGGTCACCATCGCCGGTAGAATTTGTGTCGGAGCCATCGGTGACCTCGGGTTCAGCATCATCACCTTCGTCACCACTATCTCTTCCCTCGGATCTAACATCACTACCATCGCTGTCCTCGAATCCAGCATCACCACCATCGTCATCACGCTTGCTCAGATCGTGGCCTGAGGAGGCGGGAATGGCTGGGAGACTGTGGGCGGAGGCTTGATTGACGTTTCTCTTCAAAGCTAATGATGAGGAGGAGGAAGAGACTGAGGGGACGGGTGCGGCCTGGACCAAGAGGACGGCGGCAAGGACGGTCAAGACAGTGGTGATCTTCATGATGATAGCGTGTAGTATGTGGTGTGTATATAAAGTATAGATAGGAGTAGATAGAGTTGGTGAAGGGGGGTATGGCGTTGAGAGTGTGTGCGCGTGAAGATGAAGGTGCTGTTTAGTAAATAATGAGAGGAGAGAAAGAAATAAAAATTGGGATGGATGCCATTGCTTTTATAGGAGTTTTTTCATATTTGAATTAGTCTCTCCTACATTTACTTCACTTGGGTGCCTGTTTATGCTACCGCGTTTGTGTGGTGTTCACTTTCTGTCCGGCTATTCTAATCCGATGTTGACTAAGTGTGTCTACTCGAATTGAGTGATATCCATTGAAAGTAACAAAGAGAACATGAAAATAAAGGAGTGAGGGAGAGAGTGGCAAGAAAAAGAGGAGGCAGGAGGGACACGAAGATTGCAAAGCGGGGTAATGATTGGAAGGGATCCTAGGGTGGAGCCCCTTCGAGTCGTCTTATCTTTTAATTATGCACACGTTTTCAAGGTGATATGGGGACTGAACTCGAGCTGGAGAGGTACCAGTTCGGCTGTTCTGCAAAAGGGAAAGAAGGAAAGAAGTAAAGGGAGGGGTGAGGAAGATAGGAAGGGGAGGGGGGAGTCGATGAAGGATAGAATGACTCTTCTCATTCCGTCTCTCTGTGTATGTATATGTGTATGTGTGCGAGAGAAAAAGGCCTGTGGGTATTCAATCTAGTCTAGGATGATGTTTGAGCTGGCCCCGTCAGGGCTTGACTTGTTGAATGGTACCATGTAAATCAAATTGACCTTTTAATAAATATATTAAGAGGCATGAACTGGGAGACCCAATGTGACTGACTAGCTGACCAACTAATACATTTCGAAACTCAATGCAATGTGTAGGAGCCAAACTGGTGGAGAGAAACATAGGATAGTGCCATGGTGGATCAATGGCGTCTTTTGTGTCGTTTGACACTATTTCCCCTCCCTCCTGGTCCTCTCTCTCGCTTCACGGTGTAGTGGGCTCAGGGTACGCGTCGCAAAATGGATAAAGCCGCATCCATCGTCTTTCCAGCTCAACCATTACTACTTTGTACTGTACAACCATGATTTTCCTCATCCTCCGTCGCCCCTTTAGTTTTCTCCTGCGATGCCATGAACACAAGAAGGACGAACAAAAAAAGAAATAGGCGTCCCTCTAGGAACGTGCACCATCTGGCTGATACTCTTTGCAGACACTTCTCGGAGCCATCGGCGTTGATTGGACAGTAGCGCCAAGAAAAGAAAGGGGAGGGTCGAAGCGAGCGCAAAAGAAACCCAGTGAGTCTTAGCCTTGAGTTTTTTTGTTCCCAGGGAGCCAGGGTGAAGAAGAGGCCGGGAGGGGAAGGAAAAAAGCAGAAGAGCTACGCGCCAAAAGAGGGATGGACACACACAGGAGGTCAATACTAATTCAATTCTATGTGTGCTTCCTTTTTCTTGGCATTGCAAAAGTGTTACACCATGTCCAATTAACGAGAAAGAAACGAGAACCTTTGCAAGCTCCTTTGTTACCTTGGTAAACTCTTCTATTTTTTCTGTGCACCACATGGTACCAAACTTAGACTTCCTTTCTGTTCTGCCAATTGCACTAAAAACAAAGAGGAGAGGAAGCCAGCACGCCATAGTATCATAGGAGAGGGGCTGGTTCTGTTCCAACCCGTCCTCCCATTACTTAGCCAATTTATGAAGCGAAAAAGTTCAAAATGAAAAAAGAAGGAAATGGGATGTGGGCCCGCACGTACGTCTCATCCACCCTCTGTCTTTGGAACGAAGAAAATGCCCACACGCCCTTGAATTTCTTTTTTAGGAGTCGTGCCCCCTTTACCGCCAAAGAAAAAATGAACTCACGAACGTCGTCCTATCCGTTCCCAATCGCTTCTTCACGTTTTACGTTTTCAGTTCTCGTTCTGGTCAGCAGTAGAGCGCAAAAGCAGAGGAAGAACAAAGTCGCGAATACTGTACATACTCAGGCAGCGAGGAATGAGTCCTTGGCACTGAGAAAAGAAAGTGGACCTCTCTCTTCGTTCTTTCTTTTCATGCCTTTTGCATCCATCCCTCCTCTACCTCCTACCTATGCATAGCGTCTTCATTGGGTCCCCAGTCCTCTCTGACGCTCTCTTTCTGAGACGCGTCATTTTTTTTTGTACTAGAAAGAGGAGTCCAGCATGGTCTATGGGATTAAGGAGGAGTTCGTACTCTGTACTCACAAAAAGGACAATCCTAATATTGATAACACTGGCGGCTGAATAGGAACAAAGAGCAAAGGAAGAATGGGAGCATCGAAAGATTTCCCTTTCCTATGCGCAATGAACCCAGTTAATTAAGCAGACAGCTCTGTTATCTGTTGTCTCCCACCTGCTAATTAAGCACACAGCTACTACCTTTGCCTCCCACTTGCTAATTAAGCACACTTTGATGGGTACCTTTGTCTCCCTGAAAGCCCATTGTTTTATGAAACGAAACGGTCATTAACTATACAAGCATGAATAGACTAGCATAGCGTTTGTACAAAGGTCTTTCTCCAACCTCAACCACCTCCTACTATTCATTCCCAACTACATGTATCCAAATCAAGACTCACAAAAGGGTCTCGCCCAGAGCACAGCGGACCAACGAGCATCCAATAGTAACCGTCTGGAAAACAGACTCATCATCCTCCAACGTCGGATTAACCTCCATCAGATCCATAGCGACCAAACACCCCGTCTCATGAACCGCCTCACAGATATAATGCCCCTCCCTAAACGTCAATCCCCCTCTCACAGGCGTTCCCGTCGAAGGCGCAACTGAGGGATCCATCGCATCGACATCGAAACTCAAATGAATCGGTCGGGAACAATTAGGGGACACATGGTCGATGGCCATCTGGACGACTTTTGCGATCCCAAACTTGTCGACCTCGTGCATCGAGAAGGCCTTGATCCCGTGTTGTTTTAGGATCTTCTTCTCGCCTGCGTCGATGTCGCGGAGGCCAATATAGACGAGTCGGTCCGGGGTGAGGCAAGGTTTGACCCAGGAAAGTTCTTGGACGTGTCCTGCAATCCCGAGGAGGAACGAGACTGGGCAGCCGTGGATGTTTCCGCTGTCTGTCGACTCTGGCGTGTTGATATCCTAACGTGTCAAATTTTTCATGTTGGAAGAGAAACAGATGGTCAGCAAATTTTTGGTTGCGTGGTGGTCTTGGTACAGTATAAAAAGGAAAAAAAAAAAAACTTACAGCATGGGCGTCAACCCAGATGAGGGCGGCATCCGGATGAACGCGCGCAGTGCCCGAAAAAGTTCCCAGAGCAACCGAATGGTCCCCACCCAATGTCAACGCCAACGAACCCCTCTCCAGTTGAGCCTGGACAGAATTTGCGACCGATTCTGTGACCGCAGAGACGTAACGGGTGTTCAACAGTTTTCCCACAGGCGGGTCGGAGGCAGGGCGGAGTTGGGTGTAGTCACGGTGGCCGTCAAAGTGGACGATCCAGCCGAGTTCTTTGAGTTGGTCCAAGAGTCCAAACTCGATGATCTTGACTGGTCCATGATCGACTCCTTCACGTTTCTAGTTTGTATTGTTAGTTGTTGTAGGATGGAGGAGGGTTAATTGATCGGTTACACACATAGCCACCCCAAACCCCGCCTTTCTTCTATCGATCGATCGAATGTATATGGTATTAAAATAAATATTTATATCGAAGCGACCGTTGGTAAGTTACAAAGCAATTGAACAAGCAAACAAACGCCTTTGTTTGTTATTTCTGAGAGCAGTTGATGCGTGGCGGTGAGAGGAAGGCGGTGGCGGTGATAAGTAATTTGATGTATTTTTGGGACATTGGTGCTCGGCTCTCATTTTCTCCTAATGGCAATGAGTTTCCTCCATTGCATGCAGAGGAAGAAAGGAGGCGATGTTGTTGTTGTTTACCTGGCCGCCGGAGAAAGGCACAGGGATGACACCGACCGACTGTTTTGGTAGGAACTTGTGCTTATATATCGACATAATTGTTCAAGTTGCTGGTGTGGAAGCGTATTGTGGATTGGAAAGAAACAGAGAGGAAAAAAAAGGTGTCTTGTATTTGCAATTGAAAGAAGGCCCAGACCGTATGCAGCATCTACGTCCCGAAAATCTTCCATCTAACAGGGAGGAATATCTGGTACTATTGAAAAAAAGGTTTAATGGAAGAGAAAAGGAAAAAGTAACTATCGCTTACTGCGATCTCGTAGGTTACGCGAGCAGTGGAAAGGAACAAGCGTCGGGACAATCGTTCGCCACATCCTCGCAGCACTTTCGTCCTCTGTCCGCACCATGTAGCTCGTGCTGCTCGTATTTACCGACGTGCACATAAACACATTGTCTATTAATACACATTGAATGCAGAAATGGAAACGTGTTAGATGTCCATCGCTGCCCAAAAGTAAAAGTAATGCCTGCACAGTAGGCGAAAAATCCTTACCTTCGCTAGTGTTGCACACACTGGTGAGGCGAGAGACAGGCTCGACAAGCTTAAAGTTCCAGGGAACACCCTCCTTCCGATGATACCGACTCATCACCCGCTTGGTCCATAGTACAATATCCGTAAACACAAACACATGATACTCGGCCTCAATATCCGTCGAATTCTTGATCATCCCCGGTAAATGCAGAGCCGACGAGGATGTGTTACGAGGATGGCCCGCTCCACCAATGCTCGTAAAGTTAGAGAAACTGGACGAGAGGTTGAAGTTGTAATGCGAGACCAATTGTGACACCGAAAGTTGTTTGGGTGGAGAGTTGTTGGGGATCGGGATTGGACTTGGGGCGGATGAGAGGGAGTGGAGTGTTGTTGCGGAAGGTGGGGAGGATGGGCTCTGGTATGGAAAGCCTGATTTCTGGAAACTGTCATAGTGCTGAGGGTCGATATAGCTCTTGGCTCTAGGAGTAAACAACTTGTTGCCGCTTGGAAAGGGTGATGACAGCGTTGTTGGCGATGCCAGACCGGACTGAGACGACGACGCCGAAGAGGCCAGCGATGAAGGAGGGGTGGGCGAGAAGGCTGGCTTGGCGTGCTGATGATGGTAGTCCAATTGACTGGGTCGATGGATGAGAATTGGTGCTGCATCATCTCCCGCGTCAAAGCCCAGTCCTGGCGTCTTGAACCGGTCGCGCCATTCCATAGACGAAGAAATGGGCAATCCGTAACCCTCGGACTTGTGACTGCTATGCTTCCCGAACGAGAACTTGCTTGACTGGCGAGTGGCGACGCGGTAGACAGGGCCATCCAGGATCAAGTAGCGATGTTTTTCAACAAGTGAGAAATTCTATTGTAAATGATAGGTGTCGCAACATGGTTAGGATGGGTTGCCACAAGATCCATATAGCAGCGAAGAAAAGAGAAGAAGGAGTACCAAGATGAACAACGTACTGAAGGTAGTCCTTTGATTCGCTGCTGAAGATCCTTCAACATCTCATTGTGCTCCTCAACCCATATCCGATCGTCAATCTTGGTCAGGCCCTTTTGGTGATTGCTAAGGGCGTGTTCCAGCTGAGCGTAATCTGGGTCATCCTTTGGCGTCAAGTTCATCAAATCCTATTGCACGAGCAAGCATCCTGTTAATATCATGCTCTCCTTGAGGTAACATGGCATTCTCCTAGGACACAATTTGAAGATCATGATTATTACCTTAAAGAACAATGGGTATTTTTGGAGACGCTGGATGGGTTTGAGAAATATGCCTTCCATCGACAGAGACTTGCAGACTGGGGCCTTGAGGAGGTTCTATGACAGAGAGAATTCGCATTTACGAAGGTCAGATAAAAGTGGATCCAGGCTAGAAAACACTAAAGGGCGTTGCGATACCGTCTCTGAAGTAAATGTACCCGAATGATCAGACAAAGCTCAGAGTTCCCGGTAGAGATGTGTTGAAAGTCGCGCGACGAAGTAGTGTACTGAGCAAAGTACGAGTCGTAGATCGTAAACATGTAGAACTAGTACACATGAATCGATAGACAAAGAAACGATATGTTCGTTAGTATATTGTTGGTTAACACAGTATGACGCTGTCGGAAGGGTGATAGCATTTAAGCGCTTACACTCTCGAAAACACTGCCAATATCCTCCACAACTGGCGATTCGCTCTCCTGTTTGTTCTGCAACGACTAGAAGAGGTTAACACAAAAGGCAAACAAAGTATGAGTATGGTGTTATATATTAGCAATGTCCATCGAATGCTAAATGCGCTTGCAACTCACGCGCAATAACGACTGGTGTCCGTTCCATAGATCCTTGATGTGAGAGAGCAAGCGGGCAAGTCTCTCGTACAACTTCACGTCCGCCTTGTCGGGGCTCGATCGCTTCTTCCTCCGTGCCTCTGCCATCTTGACATTCAGTTCCTCAACAAAGAGCTAGCCATGTCACAAGCATAAATGTATAGAATGTTAGATAAGCCGTTCGATCGTCATCCTGCAGATGCGTCCTTCAAAAAAAAAAAAAAAAGAAAGAGGCAAAAGCACGGAGCATGAAACAGACAACAGCCATTTGTGTTTACCTTGTGCATGTTCTTGAGGTCGTCGAGGTACTCTGATTCGGTGTAGATGAGTTCAAAGATTGTCTCCTGTTTTTGGATCTCTTTAGTCGTGAGCCCGAGTGCACGGATTTGATCAGCGTTGGTGCGCGTATGCTGCCAAAGAGGCTTACATGGGCCCACGCACATGTTCGCAATCGACGGCTTGTTGGTGTCCACAGACACTGACAATCCCGCTTTGGTTGTTTGTGGATCGCTTACTATGACTGCTTTGGCAGCAGACTCGGTCTTTGAATAGCTGGTACCTTTGTTATGGTTGTTGTTGAAGCTGTTGGGTTGGGATGGAAGTTTCTTGCCGCCGGAAGTAGGAGTGGTGGCGGTGACGGTAGTAGTGCTCGCAGGAGGAGTAGTGGGCGTGTTGTTCGCTGTCTTGGTCGTAGTTGGGGTCGTTGGGATGATAGTCGGTACCCCCCTTTCTGACTCTAGTCCATTCACACTTGTAAGGATGTGAGTCTTGTTGCTGTTGATGCTGACAAAAAGGGCGGTGTTCCTGCTGTCTTGGGACTGAATAGTATTGCTATGTTTAGAAGCATCTCCGGGAGAGTTCTTGTCTCCTACTCCTCCTTCTCCTCCTGCTGATGGTCTGGTTTCGTAGGAGTGTATGATCTTGCTAAGGCGCGGGCTGACAATTTTTGGTCGGTTACTATTATTGTTGTTGCTTTTGTTGGTGTTGGTGTTGTTGTTGGTGATATTGATGGCGTGAGGGGTGTTGGTGGTGGTAGGGGAAGAGACAAGTGCGGTGTGGAAGGTGGTAAAGCCCTCTGAGGGGAGAAGAGGGTTCTCAGTCTCCATGATGATGCCGTTGATGAGCGCAGCGGGCGTTTTGACCCTGAGTGATTTGGAGCGACCGACGAGTCGTTGGAAGGGCGTGAGGGTCGTTGACACTCTTCGTTGCGGGTGACTGGTGTTCGACCGTTTGAGGGACGATGATGCTGTTTCTGTATGGGATGACGCTGACGAAGAAGAGAACGATGAGGCGGCTGAGGAAGAAGGAGTAGAGGGGGGGTGATGATGTTTGTCGGCAACCTTTTGGAAGGTCGTGAGGGTGAATCCTTTGGAGTAGTGACCCTCTGGGATGGCTTGTGAGGGGCTCCAACTGACGCAGCGATTGGCGGGTTTGGAGGAAGAAGCCGAGTAGGGCGAGCGTTGACCGCCTTTGCTCTGGTAGTAGTAATAGCCGTTTGTAGTTGGAGTGGTGGTATTGTTGCTGTAGGGCAAAGCAAAGCGGGCGCTGATGTCTGGGACGACGGGGACGCGAACGTGGAGTTTGGGCAGAGCAGCCGGCTGTCTGGGTAAAGAAATTCGAAGTCCGGGAGCCTTTTCTACGAGGGACAGAAAAAAGAGCGTCGAGCGTGTATGAGTGACTTGGTGTCAAGGAGTGAATGAAATGGAATGAACAAAGAAGAATGTTGATTCCATTCAGTGAACTCCATGGCAGTTCATTCCAACCCTTGAACACGACAACAAACAACAATAACGAAAGGAAGGCGGCTCCTTTTTTGTTCGACTAATAGACAGGGTATATCTTTTCTTTGTTCATGCCTTCTCACCCCATCCCATCCGCCTGTCCGTGCTGCAGCAAGTCAGTTGCCCAAGTAAAAAGGGGTGAGGGTGAGTCCAGCGATGACAAAGACTTGACACTCTCCGTCCTGTGTGGTGAGTTGTGTTCGGGGTAAAAAATAATAATAATGATGATACAAGGATAAAAGGGGTGTTGTGTTGGTCAGGCTGCTCTTTTCTCTCGCTCTCTCTCCACTCGCTTGCGCTCCCACTTCTTCTCAGCTCAAGATGTAGCAACACTCCGCCTCTTCTTCCTCCTCCGTCAAGTAAAAAAAGAGTGTTGCTGAATATAGGGGGCTGGTCTTTCTACTAAAACGGCATCATCGCTTGGTATTGGTCCCCACCTTGTACAGCATTAGTGTCCTTTGTCGTAGATGAAAAGGTAGGTGGTGCTGTGTTATGAGCCACCTTTTGTTTGGGCGCATGCGATGTTTTAGTGTGTGTCATGATAGTGGCCGTTGTTGTTGATGGCAGCGTCGCTGCTTTGGGTGAGGGTCCCCTGCCAGCAGGGTGGTGAGTAGAGCGCAAAGGTATTGAGCTCTGGATATCGATTGGGACACGGGCGATGGGAAGGTTGAGTTGGTCTCGCGCTAGCCCGCGTTTGTCGTTTACCACGGATGTGTAGTCGTATGCCCTCATCGTGTAAGAAAACCAAATAGGGTCAGTCAGGGGAAGAAGGGCGTAAGGAAGAAGGTTGAGTTTACTGTCGTAATGTTAACAATGTGTGTCTGTAGGTGTTGAAAAAAGAAGGCTGTTGTTGCATGTGCATGGATCAAAGGGAGGAATGAGACAAAGCAGAGGGAGAAGGTGGAGGCAGAACAGCTGAAAGCAACTATCAGCAACAAATGACGAGCAAGGAGACAACAAGGAAAGTGTGAGAGGGAAAGGGAAAGAAAGAGAGAGATTCCATTTAACGGTCGATGGTGATTCAAACAACTGACATGGATGGACGGACATTGTGGATCCGCATCTGTCCTGGGATGGATGGTTCGTAATGCTTGTTGCTTCATCCAGGACTTAATCTGGCCTGTACCTACATACATATCTATGAGCATACTGGCCACTACTGTAGGATGGATATGTAGCTCCTTATTCTGCAACAGTTCCCATCAATACGGCGCGCGTAGAAGAGTCGGGGGCTTGTTTATTGATCACTTTATCTAACACAGACGCGCACTGATGAGACCTAACGCGTTTCGTTTTGGGTGTTGCTTGATTCCAATAGGTGAAGAAGGGGCTCGACCCTACAGACTTCCTCAACAGCAGCATGGCTTTATTCACCCCCGATCACATCGAGGGTCTTTGCTTTTAAACTGTCGTAGGACCCTTCCAAGTCCTGCCAGTGTGTCTTTGTGCCTCTATCTCTCTATCTCTCTGTCCACCTGTCTGATTATCTGACTGTCTGACTGTCGAGCGCCCTTTTGCCCTTCGAGCGAGACAACAGCTCATCTCTTTACCGTACGCCATAGTCATCTGTTGACGTCTATTTGTTGTTTGCTGCTGCTCTCTTGACGGTCGATGCATGTTGAAACCAGGGCCTTGGTTGATACTATGAATACCCCTTGAGCTGAGTGCACTGCCTCTGCATTACCTTGTTTCTTTTTTTGACCTCCTTACTTGCTTACTTGCACGTTCATACCGAACCATGTCATGGGCGCTGCTTCGCTCTTGTCTCTTCATTTATACTCTAGACCGGTCTAATGAACTGAAATAGCACCGCCTCTGGCCACTTTGTGAGCAAACACAGCTGAGAGAAATGAGAGAGAAACACAAAGCTATTATTGCTACCCTTTTCCGATCGACATTGGCCGCTGCCACTGCGAGCGGCACCCGCGGAGTAATAATAATGCCACCATAGTAAAATGCCACCCACATTTGTCCCTGCCTGCGCCCTTGACAGCCTGAAGGCTCCCATTTTTTTTTCCAAAGGCATTTCTATAAAAAGGTCGGTTGGAGATCATCTTTGTCTCTCTCCATCCTTTCCTCTTCTCTTCATCATTCTTCAAAAATATATAGCCTCAACCCTGTCCTTTCCCATTCCTTCTTTCTCATCCACAACTCGACAACACAAACGAAGTGAACGACAACAATAACCTCAACAGGAACCTCAACCAACAACTCACAACACATTCAGCATGTCGCTCTCACGATCCCCTGCTCGTAAAATGAGGCCAGCACCACCACTCTTGCAATTGAGCTCTCCATCCCTCTCGAAGCATGTCACACTTGCCCCTCCACCCGTAGTACATGTAGGTTCCCCCTCAACCCTGTAAAACGGAATCCCAGGTTCCCTTCCATCTTCTTTCACACCCTGCCCCTGTCTCGCCTCGAAAAACCTTGTTTTTTCTTGTGTCCCCACATATTATTTGGTACCTGAATGGAGTGTCTATTTAGTCTCACTACTAAAGCGCTTCTCTTTTTTGTGCTTAATTGAACAGAGGCCACTCATGGATTACCTGGAGCGCAACCCTCGAGACCCCACGCGCGAAAACCAATACAACTTCGGTTCTGAACCAGGACAGATCCCCAAATCCATCCGTAGTATCCCCGAAACCCCCGGCGGAACTCGAGGCCCAGACCCTCTCCAGAACCATACACTTCGCCCTGAGGATATGCTGATGATCAAGAAATTGGGCGAGGGCTCCGCGGGAACTGTGTGTAAAGTCAAGCACGTTCCTACAGGATTCGTCATGGCTCGAAAAGTAAGTTCTTATTCTTTTAGTGTCTGCCGCCCCCTCTTTCAACAAGTTCTACCCACGCATTGTTTGTTGACATTCTCGGCAGCATGAAAGGGTCAGGGTGAAAGAACGAGAGAGGGGTGAGGGCGAACTCACTTTGTTGGCAAGGACATTGTCATTGACACGTTTTATTTTCTGTTCTTCCGCTGTCTGCCTGCGCCCTTATGTTTTCCGTTGTCCCGTTATAGCATGTACGATGTGACCCCAACCCCGACTTTCAAAGGTTACTTCAACGGGAGCTCAAGACCTTGGATACTTGCAACTCGCCATGGATCGTCACTTTTTACGGCGCTTACATGGACGACGACGAATTGGCGTTGTGTATGGAGTACTGTGAAGGAGGCAGCATGGAAACCGTTTACAAGCATGTCGCAGAGCTCGGTCAGACAATACCTGAAACTATTCTTGGGAAAATCGGTGAAGCTGTCCTAAATGGTCTTGTCTATCTCCACAAGATGCACCACGTTATCCACAGAGGTGAGTGAGCAAGGCAATTTAGCTAATGAATGTGTTTCATGTATCAACTAGAACATGCCAAAAATGAAATGTCTACACCCTGAATGGTACTAATACCGAGATACTTTTTTTGTCCTTTGTTACCCTGTTTAGACTTGAAGCCATCGAACATTGTGGTAACCATGAGTGGGCAGATCAAGCTTTGTGATTTTGGCGTCAGTGGAGACCTTGTCAATTCCCTTGCAGAGACCTTTGTCGGAACGAGTTACTACATGGCTGTAAGTTTTTGGAGCGTTTTGCTATGGATCTCTTATCAATGAGCACGAGATTCTTGGAATGAGTGCCTAACCACTTTTACTTCACCCCTTATTTTAGCCTGAGCGCATTCAAGGAGGAAAATACCCAGTACAGTCGGACGTGTGGTCGCTAGGACTGACGATGATTGAGATTGCGCAGATGAAGAACCCCTTCCCCCAGAACTTGCCCGTGTTTGACCTCTTGGACTACATTGTTAACCAGCCTGTGCCCACACTACCAGAGGATGAGCAATGGTCGTCTGATTTGAGAGATTTTTTGAATCAATGGTAAGGGAAAAGGAGCAGGGGAATGAAACTTTATTTTAGTGCCATGTCCAACATGAATTCATGAATTTTTAATATTACAAGCAAACGTTGGATATTAATTACTATTTGCTCCGCTCTCTTCTATCTTTTCCAATAGTCTGACGAAGAATTTTATAAAGAGACCCACGCCCGAGCAGATCATGAGCCATCCCTTTATCGTCGAATCATCAAAACGGTCAGATCAGGAGGTCAATGTCCGGACATGGATCGAGAACATCTGGGATTTCAAGAGTCCAACAGCTCATACGCCAAAGTACATCTAAGGCAATTTTTTTTCCAGGGTCACCACCGGTGCTCAATCGACATTGCCCGGATCTCATATTCCACACAACCACACAACCCACGCAACCCACTCAACACTTTACGCGCACGCAGAATACAAGGCTACACCATTACGCGTACTGCATATAGCTTGCAGGATTGCCTTGCCTTGGTTGCGTGTGGCCCAAGCATACTTTCGACAAAATCCATAGATCATCACTCTCCCAACAAAAAATTCATAAATACCATCGTTCATATTGACATTTTTCATGTTATCCTGTATTTGTGAATACAAAATTTTCTACTTCTCAGAGGTAAACTCCTCAAGCATAAAAAAGACCTTGGAAGCAGGGAGTCCAATGACATTCCACGAACATCCATTAATCCCCTTGACCAAGATACTTCCAGTAGTCTGGTATCCATAAGCGCCCGCCTTATCCATAGGCTCCTTGGTAGCCACATAAGCCTCAATCAATTCACGAGAGACGGTTTGGAACTTGACTTCGGTTCCCTCAACATCGGTCAGGATCCTGGGGGGTTTGTCGGCGCCCTCGACCGAAGGGGCGATGAGGGTGACGCCGGTGTAGACCATGTGGGTCGATCCTGAGAGGCTGGCCAACATGTCGATGGCGCCTTCTACTGATGCGGGTTTTTCGAGGATCCTGGGTCCGTGGGCGACGACTGTATCTGCACCGATGACCAGATCGGGGGTCTTTCCTTCGGCCTAAGTGTGGGGAGAGGTGGGGCGTATTTGGAATGTGTTAATTGTGAGTCAGAGGGAGGTTCGTGAGAAAGTGTATTTAATCGTGGCTGCGGCTTGTTGAATTTCGACGTTCAACGTTTGTTTTTTGCTTTTCTTCTTCTGTTCCAGTTCGTAACCGAGCTTTAGTATAATCGAGCGTCCAATGGTGTCTCTGTTGTTTTGTCTGCTCGACTGTGCATTCCTTGACAATCTCTCCCAGCCCGCACGTGCTTTCCCATGACACGCAATAAACTTTACAAGAAAAAGGGAAGTGGCCAAGTTACCTTCAAGCGTTCATAAACCTCGAGTGCCTTTTGGAGGGCGTTTTCCTTGACGTAGTCGGAGGGGTGTTCGAAGAGGGACTTGTCGAGGGTTTCGGGGAAGGTGCTGGGGATGACGGTGTATTTGAGACCGAGCTGGGAGAGGATGTCCTTACGACGGGGGGAAGAGGAGGCGAGGACGACGTTCTTTGTGTTGAGGGAGTTGAGCCACTTGACGTTAAGGACCTGCTGTGCGACCATTGTGTGCTTGTATGGGTGTTTGTATGTGAAAGGAGGAGTGATTGGTAAGTAAGAGGAAGGGAAGAGAGGAGAGGAGAGAGGCGCAGGATGTGTTTTTTTCTCCTGGTTGATCCAAGACTGCCTGCACGTGAGAGTAAGATATCAGTCGCATTTGCTGCAATCAAAGATCTGAACAAGAGTTGTTCCTTGCCCTTCCCTTTGCTTCCCAGTCAGCTAGACAGCAGCTTAGTTGAGCCCTTCTTTTTTTTGTATCTCCCTGTCGTCCTGTGGTTGGTCCTTTTTTCTTTTCTTTCCTTCATCACTTTTACTTTGTACTTTTTTTCACTAACGGCCCATCGTCACCATCAACCTAGCAGTTTGACCAAACCTCACTGCTGAAAACATGTAAGCAGCCTGTCTCTTCTCATCAGGACAAGGCGACACAGGACGTACAAGCAACTAGTCCGACAACACAGCGCCATCCTGCTCAGAACTGCAAACACCATCAACATCGAGACGAAAGAGACATCATCGTACCACGGATGACCCTTTTTTCGGGCACAGACACAAGAGGCAACAGAACAAAGGCACATCTCAACATGTGGAAGTAAAAAGGGACACCAACAATAATAACAACAACCTTTCAACAAGAAGACACATTTCCTAACCCACCTTCTCAACAACTTCCTCTATCTGCATTGTCATCAATCAATAGGGCGCCGGTCTCACTTGTCCAGACGAAGCTGATCAAAGCTTCGTCGCTGCACTCTCGCCTCCCACGGATCCAACATGCCTACGCCTGGCCCTTCCTCTTCCTCTACCCAGCCTGGGCATTCATCTACTATTTCAAATATGACGAATGGATCAAGTCAGAGGAGATCACCTTCGTCACCCTCGGACTCCTCCTTACCACCAACGCCATGCTTTTCTTGACCTGCCAGTGGAGCGTCTCCGTCAAGGCCTCGCTTACCTGCAAAAAGGTACACTTACAGACAACACACCAGATGCCATCTAATGTTTTCTGTCCGTCAAAGAAAGAAAATTATGGGGCATGGGTGTACTCGATCATGCAATGCAAGGGATCAAAGGCAGAGGCTAACAATTCTTTGTTTTTCTTTCCATATTATCTAGGAAACTGATGTCAAGAAGGCGACTATCATCCGTATTGTTCCCGACAAGCACCGTGGACTCGGAGCTCTTTGCGATCTCCACCACGAGGTAACACATATAACCGGATTTGAACACGAAGAAGAAGAGGAAACAAAAAAGCGATCGAGGGTGATTGCGTAGACAAGACAAAAGACGTGGCGTGGCACTTCATGACTGGTCGCTAAACTTTTTTTTCATACATTTTTTTTCTTACCATGCTAACATAGAATGGAGCAACCTACTTCTTCTTCCAAAAGAAAAAGTATGTATTCAACGACGACAAGAAGATCTTCACAAAGATCAAGTATCCCTCCGATCTTGGCTTGACTATGGGCGAACTCCAGAAGGCACGCGGATTGGGCGAGGAGCAGACCATAACCTCGACTGCCACTTATGGCATGAACAGATTCGACATTCCTCTGCCAAAGTTCATGGAGCTCTTCAAGGAACACGCTGTCGCACCCTTCTTCATCTTCCAGATCTTCTGTGTTGCTCTCTGGTGCTTGGACGAGTACTGGTACTACTCCATCTTCACCCTCATCATGTTGGTCATCTTTGAGTCAACTGTCGTCTGGCAGGTATGTTGTCGTCGGCTATGCCGGATTTTTTTTATTCATTATCTGTGCGTATGCATGAATCAAACAGCCTTGTCGTACTTACACCCGCTGCCAATTTACGATTACAAATAATAGCGCTTGAGAACCATTGGAGAGTTCCAGGGCATGTCGGTCAAACCATTCCATGTCAACGTTCGTCGCAGCGGCACTTGGATCAACATCATGTCCGACGAGCTCTTGCCTGGCGATCTTGTTTCGATTGTTCGCACCAAGGAAGATTCCGGCGTTCCTTGCGATATGGTCATTCTCGACGGAACCTGCATTGTCAACGAGGCCATGCTTTCTGGAGAGTCGACCCCATTGTTGAAGGAAGGCATCATGTTGCGTGAGGCTGACGATGTCCTGGAATTGAACGGCGCCGACAAGCTGAACGTTCTCTATGGAGGCACCAAGGTCCTTCAGGTCACCTCCCCTACATCGTCCTTGAAGGCCCCCGATGGTGGATGCATCTGCTACGTTGTCCGCACTGGATTCGGAACTGCCCAGGGAAAGCTCGTCCGCACCATGGTTTACTCGACCGAGCGTGTCACCGCCAACAACTTGGAAGCCCTTCTCTTCATTCTCTTCCTCCTCATCTTTGCCATTGTCGCCGCCTACTACGTCTGGGTTATCGGAACCGAACAGGGACGCAAGCGCGGAAAGTTGCTTCTGGACTGTATCTTGATTATCACCTCGGTTGTTCCCCCAGAGCTGCCCATGGAGTTGTCGTTGGCTGTCAACACTTCGCTGATCGCCCTTTCCCGCCACCACATTTTCTGCGTCGAGCCCTTCCGTATCCCCTTTGCTGGAAAGGTCGATGTCTGCTGCTTTGACAAGACTGGAACTTTGACTGGAGAGGATCTCGTTGTCGAGGGTGTCTGCGGAATTGATGCCAGAGAGCCCGAGAAGTTGATCATGCCCGACCAGACCCCTATGTCATCCCGCCATGTCCTTGCTACCGCTCATGCTTTGGTTCAGTTGGATGAGGGTCTTGTTGGTGACCCAATGGAACGCGTCACTCTGGAGGCTTTGAAGTGGAAGGTTGGCAAGCACGACAACGTTTACCCCGACAACCCCTTCAACAAGAACGAACACCTTTTGATCCGCCGCCGTTTCCAGTTCTCGTCTGCCCTCAAGCGCATGTCGACTGTTTCCACTTTGACCAGCCCCGAGTTCCGGACCACCAAGCTGTTTGTTGCCGTCAAAGGAGCCCCCGAGACTTTGAAGAACATGTACACCAAGTTGCCCCAGCACTACGAGGAGACCTACAAGCAGTTCACTCGCCGTGGAAGCCGTGTCTTGGCCCTTGGATACAAGTACTTGCCCGATGGATTGAACGCCGACCAGATCAATGCCCTTCACCGCGACAATGTCGAGTGCCAGCTCATCTTTGCCGGATTTTTGGTCTTCCACTGCCCCCTCAAGGAGGATTCCGCCCAGGCCATCAAGATGTTGAACGAGTCCTCCCACCGCTGCGTCATGATTACCGGAGATAACCCTTTGACTGCCTGCCATGTCGCCCGCCAGGTCGATATTGTTAACCGCGATGTTTTGATCATGGATGTCCGCGAGGATGGAGCTGGACCTGAGGATCTCGTCTGGAAGTCCGTGGACGAGACCAAGGTGATCGCCCTCGATCCCACCAAGCCCTTCGATCCCACTATCTTCCGCGACTACGATATCTGTGTCACTGGACCCGCCATGTCCCAGTACGAGAACAAGCCTACATTCTCTGAACTGGTCCGCCACACCTGGGTCTATGCTCGTGTCTCTCCAGGACAGAAGGAGACCATTTTGACTACCTTGAAGGCCGGCGGATACACCACCTTGATGTGCGGAGACGGAACCAACGATGTCGGTGCCTTGAAGCAGGCTCACATTGGTGTCGCTCTCTTGGACGGAAAGCCCGAGGATCTGGTCAGGATCGCGGAGTACAATCAGCTTCAGCGTATCAAGAATGTCTACGAAAACCAGCTCAAGTTCACTGCCCGTTTCAACATGCAACCTCCTCCACCCCACGCCAAGATCGCCCACCTTTATCCTCCAGAGGTCATTGCCGCCAAGCAGCAGGCTGCCCGCGAGGCTGCTGGCATCGGTGCTGTTGATGAGAACGGTCGGCCTGTTGCTGCACCCAAGCCCGCGTTGGATATGAGCGGTATCGCTGACATGATGGAGGACGTTGATGAGGATGCACCCCCCACCATCAAGCTCGGAGATGCCTCTGCCGCCGCCCCCTTCACCTCCAAGTTGTCGACCCCCATGTCGATTGTTAACATTATCCGCCAGGGTCGCTGCACTCTTGTCGCCACTATGCAGATGTACAAGATTCTCGCCCTTAACTGTCTCATTACCGCCTACTCGCTCAGTGTCTTGTACCTCGACGGTATCAAGTATGGTGATTTCCAGGTCACGATTACCGGTATCCTGATGGCTGTCTGCTTCATGTGCATCTCCAAGGCCACCCCTCTCGAGCACTTGTCCAAGGAACGTCCCCAGCCCAACATCTTCAACTTTTACATCATCCTGTCTGTTCTGGGTCAGTTTGCGATCCACATCTTTTCGCTGATCTACATTACGCGCGAGGCTAAGTTGATCGAGCACGACCGTGTGGTGGATTTGGAGAAGACGTTTGAGCCTGGTCTGTTGAACTCTGCGATCTACCTGATTTCGTTGTCGATGCAGGTTTCGACATTTGCGATCAACTACAAGGGCCACCCCTTCCGCGAGAGCTTGAGGGAGAACACGTACCTATACCGCGGTCTGTTGGCCGTTGCCGGAGTTGCTGTTGCAGGAGCGACTGAGTTTATGCCCGAGTTCAACGAGTGGCTCCAGCTGGTGCCCTTCCCTGCGGACTTCAAGGTCAAGCTGATGGGTATCATGGCGTTTGATTACGTTGGCTCCTGGATACTTGAGATTGTGTGCAACACCTTGTTTGGCAACTTTGCAGCCAAGGACATTGTCCGCAAGTAGACTTTTCTTTCTTTCTCTATTTTTTCTGTTTATTTCACCTATAAAGTTTTCATACAAGGATTCATAATTAAATCTCATTCCTCACTGCTTGTGTGTCCCGCGCGTGTGTGGAGTGAATGCATGTTCTGCATGATTAGATTGGAGAATTTGTGGCTTGTCGCCAGTTCGCGCTCGGTTCCACGGAAATTTGGTGTCCTCTCTCCCCCCCCCCGGAGAACACGGAAAACCACGATCGCTTTCAACTCTCTCCTCCACAAACATTCACCGAACCAGGAAGCAGGAACCTCAAGCAAGAGCATTCACCCTTACGACCCACTCCTATTACACACTTTCAGCTTTTACTGAACACTCATTCAACGGAGCCCAAGGCAAACATAACAACCTTACTGCATTCCAACAACAACTACTACTTCAACAACAGGAACGAAGAGCGTCATGGGAAACTCGGCGTCAAAGAGCAATGCATCCGCCAAATCAGCAGCGCGTCATTTCCCGTCTGCCAAGAGCGCGATGCAAGAAAAGGCTGCGGCCGCGGCTGCTACTGCTGCTGCGTCAACAAAGATGAACGCCACTGCCGCGTCGACTGCCTTCAAGGCAACAGGTGCAGGAGGTGTGGGAGGAGGTAGTTCACCGAAGCAGGATTATCTGGAGCAACAGCGGAGGTTGGAGGAGGAGATTGCGCGGTATGATGAGGAGATCAAGGAATCTGGCAAACTAGGTATGTTCAACAACCCTTCACGCAAGACTCTGCTGAAGGAGCGGATCAAAATCGTGGTCGACAGGAAAGAATTGAAATGGAGACCTGTGACACCTAACGGATACGCTATTGTTTTGGTTCTAATTCTTTGGACGTGCATTAGATGGAGAGAGTAGGCCGTTAGAGGATACGCCGTCAGCGGCAGAGATGCAGTTCTTTGGAAACTTGAATACCATTGGACAAGTGAATGTTGCTAACCCAGATCAAGTCAAGCATCGTGAGGTATGTTGGCGAGTTCATTTCTAAGTATTCACTGCCGCATACCCCAAACCCGTCAAGATGTATCGTCAAATCGGATCACCTTGCCAATACTTACTCCTGTTTGCTTTTCTGCGCTCATACTAGGCTGAGGCGATTCTCAAGCGTAAACTACCTTCCAAGACACCTTCGTCGTTATCATCATCATACAGCTCAGGATCCAACAATACTTCAGCAACGTTCGCCCAATCCTCAGGACTCTACGCCCAAACCTCCGCTTCAACCGCCGCAGCAGCTGCACAATCCGGTTCAAACCTAACATCCCTCAAACTGATGCAACTCCTCCAACTTCGGAACCAAGATCCCTCGATCTGGACAGAAGATGTGCTCGCATACGAGTTTGGGTTGAAGAAACAGGATCTCCGGTCGTTGACTCAGTATATTAACACGTACAGTATCTTGCCAGGGAAGGATGCTAAGGGGAGGGAGGCTGGTGTGTGGTGTGAGGATCTGAGGGGCGTTGAGGTGTTAGATAAGCCAAGTTCGATTGCGGATGCTGAGGCGGAGGCTGGGATTGAGCAGAAGAAGGGTGTCAAGGGGCAGGGGAAGGGTAGGACTTCGTTGTTATCGGATTCGTTGTCGGCGGATGAGACTGCGGCGGCAGGGAAGGGAGGGGCTAGCCAAGCATCTTCACATGGCGGACGAAAGTAATCATAACACACAAACAATACATCTTGTCGTTTGCATTCATTTTTTTTTATTTTTATCCGTATTGTGGTACTGAAAGATGATAGGGCACTGAAAAGAAGTATTGCTGTTTGTATAGATGTATATGACCATGGATTCCAAATGTAGTCTTTTTACCCACGCAAGCAGACTTGACCGGCATGAAGCCAGATGGATACGGGAGTTGGAGCACCTTAGTCCGCCTCCGGAGAGGGTGGTGTAGAGAGAGCAGGGCTAGGTTGTTGAACTCGCTCCAGAAGCCGCTGTTGATGCGAGTCTGCCACAACCTGCTGCGTCTGCAGGTTCTCCAACAACACTTGATGCTGCTGGTGTTGTTGGGTCCATTGTTGCATCATCAGTTGCAGCTGTGCCGCCAACTCCTGCTGCTGTATCTCTGTGTCCGACTCTTGTTGGAGTTGGGACTGTTCAGCCTGTTGCTGGAGTTGAAGTTGTTGAACTAAGTGCTGCTGCTCCGCCAGGAGCTGTTGTGTCTCGGCGAGTTGCTGTTGTTGGAGTTGTTCGATTTCAGCTGATTGCTGGTGCTGGTGCTGCTCTGTCGAAGAGTGGTGCTGTTCTTCCGATTGCTGTTGGGGACGTTGCCCTGCCTGCTGTTGAAGGGGCTCCAACTTCTGTTGCTGCTGCTGCTGTTCTGCTGATTGTGATTCTTGCTCCCGCACCTGCTGCCGATGCTCCTCTCCTTGCTCTAGCTGCTGCTGCTGTTGCTGCACTTGTTGGACCTCCTCCGCTGCCGTTTGCTGCTGAATACGGTCCGCCAAATATTGCAGGCTCTGCTGGTGCTGCTGTTGCCGCTGATCCGCTCCCTGAATCTCCACCATCCGCTGGATCTCGAACCCAATAGCTTCCTGTTGCTGCTGGTCAAACAACGGCTGAAGGGCCTGCTGTAACTGCACCGCCATCGCCTCTTGTTGCTGTCGCTGCTGCTCCCTCAACAGCCTTTCAACCTCCAACTGCAACAGAATCTCCTGCTGCTGCCTCGCCGCAGCCTCCTGCTCCCGCCGCCTCTGCTGATCAACCAGCGCCTTCTGGCAAAGGATCCTCACAAAAGACCTCTGCCTCTCACGCTGGACATCTCGTTGGAGATCGACAATGTGTTGGTTCATGAAGGGGAGGTCGAATTGGAGTGGGGTAGTAGGCGAGTTTTTGCGATGGAATTCCATGATTTGGAGGAGCTCGTGGCGCCACCAGTTATCGTCGGTCGAAATGACTTTTAGGGCCCTACGGTGGAGGAGGGCACTGGTGCTGGCATTCATGGTGAGGGACGGTATTGGTTGGCGGAACTGAAGGGGTGGTGGTGGGCGTTGTAGAGGGTGGAGAGGTTGCTGAGGATAAAGAGGTTGCAGGGGGTGAAGAGATTGCTGACGTTGAAAATATTGCTGGGGATGAAGAGGTTGCTGATATTGCTGAGGACGAGGAAGAACTGGAGGTGGCCCCATGGGTCCAGCCAAGATAGAGCCTTGGAAGCCTGGACCATAACCGGTGGTGTGAAGCTGCATATATTGAGGAGGGAGAGCCTGAGTCGCCAGCAATGGGGTAGTCGAGACAGAACCCTGGAGGGTGGCTTCGCCGCTGGTTGTCTGCAGTGGGATGTATGCAATGGGCAAAGGCATGGGTGTAGTCGATGCTGAGATCTGGAGGACTGATTCAACACTAGTAGTTTGGGCTTGCATGTGTGACGGAAGAGGCCGAGGTGCCATCATGGGGGTAGTCGAAGCAGAGGCCCGGAGAGCTAGGTCGACACTGGTAATTTGGGCTTGCATGTGTGACGGAAGAGGCAGAGGCGCCGCCATGGAAGAAGTTGAGGCAGAAGCCTGGGCGGCTGAGTTCCCGTCGATGTTTTGAAATGGAATGTGTGGAAGTGGCATAGGCGCCATCATGGAGATAGTTGAGGCAGAAGTATGGAAGGTAGGGCGGCCGCCAGTGACCTGCTGTTGCATGTGTTGACATGGAGGGGGTGGCGGTCCACGCGGAGGCAGGAGAATACATAGGGGAGGAGGTCCACGTGGTTGCGGAGGAGAGGCGCGTACTCCGGGGACTTGAGCTGGCGCTTGCGCAGGGGGGTTAACCATAAGTGCCAACGGGAAACGAGGGTCTTGGGCAGCCATGACGACCTCATCCTCAACCATCTTGGACTCTTGGTAGTCAGCACGACTTGAATCAAGCTGATGCAAGAACTCATGATCTGCCTTAATCGTATCCAGGACCTCCTTCGGCGTCAACGCCTCCAACGACTCCTCCGTAACCTCGACCTTGACAAACCAACGGTTCCTCGCGCGGAGATCGACAAAGTCAGGGAAGAACCTCTTGGATGCGCGGAACTCGATGACGGGGGATGTGCGGGCTCGATGCATGTCCCAGGTCTTGAGGAGATAATCGAGCTGGGCGCGGGTGTCAAAGTCGTCATGGACGATGGGGCGGTAGGGCATGGTGTCGATTTTGTTACGCGCGTCGGCTTCGCGGCGGATGCGGGTCTCCTTCTTGATGCACCAGAGGAGGAGACGTTGTTGCTCATCGTCGAGGGAGCGGAAACGGTGGAGGACTTCGTAGACGGGGTCGCCTGGCTGGGGGTCGTCGTCTGTGTTGAGCCACCCGAAGCAGCTTGGCATGGCTATGTATAAAGGGTGAAGAAGATACGTCATGATTAGAAATGAATTGTGAAAAAGTGCCCCGAACCCTCAATTCATTTCGCATATTACATTCACTATCATCAAAACCTTTTTCTTACCTTGCATGGTCCGCATGAGGTCAAGTCGAAAGTGCAAGTAATAGTTCAACCGGCTCATCTCGGAAGGAGTAGCCTGGACCAAGAACCCAAGGAGGTTCCCAATAGAGATCTGCAGCCAATGCGCGACCTGATCGGAGCGCAGGGTATCAACCACCTCAGCCTTATCCCATTCACGGTCCATAGCCTTGAGAGGCAAGGTGTAGAGATCAAACGTGTCCTCGGGAGTGTTGTCATCGACGGTGGTAGGCATCCAGTAGATGACAAAGGACAAAGGGGTGAGGAGATACTCTTTGCTCTCCATAAACCTCTCAAAGAACTTTCTCATCATCCTTCCCGCATATTCTCTACCTGTCAAAGGGACATATACGTAGTCCTACGTTCATGGGATAGTTGAAAAATGAAAAAGGCGGATGAAAAGAAAGAGACAGTTAGATGGATGTGATAGGTAAATGAATGCTAACGAAACCATTGAGATGATTGATTCATTGAATGTGTTAAAATGCATCGTAAATATACCTCATCGTCAGGGTAGTCCAACTCTTCATCAGAGTACTCGAGCTCGGAGCTTTCACTGGCGGTATCGGACAAAAGTTCGTCATCCTCATCACCATCGTCTCCACTACCACCTTCATCTTCGTCTTCGTCTTCACCAGTACCTCTTTCAACCCCGTCGTCATCACGACCTTCTTCATCACCGTCCTCCTCAGCATAGCTGCCAAGACTGTGAGAGCGAGGGTGCGAACGAGTTCGAGCGCCAGGAAGAGTCTTGCCGGATACACTCGGGCGGATACGCATTTCGAGACAAGAAGGCATCTCTTCATCATCATCCTCCTCCTCTGCTTCCCCATCATTCTCAGAGTCGGCATTCATATCGCAGTCACTCTCATCCACACCCAGGTCCTCATCACCATTGCCCATTACCGTGCCACAGGATAATGGAGACGACAAGGAGGAGTTTGGGGTGCCGACAGCCGTGACATAGGCAGCCTCAGCATCGGTTTCGACATCGACGTCGATATTTTCGGGGTCAAGACAGGGCTGGAAGGGACCGGACTGAGTTGAAGACAACGACACCGAGGAGACAGTAGCGCGCCAAGAAGAAGGAGTTGACTTTTCATGGGGGGTGGCAGCTTGCTCGGTCTTTGCTTGCTCGACCTTGGCTCGGATGGCCTTGAAAGTAGCCGCACGAGTAGACGAAATAGCTGACTTCCCGGGGTCAGCTTGAATGGGCTTTGCTTGAGTAATCTTGGCTTGGGTGGTCTTGAGCATGGCAGAACGAGAAGGAGAAGTAGTTGACTTCCCGTGGGCAGCTTGGGTAGCATTGGCTTGAACAGCCTTGGCTTGAACGGCCTTGGCTCGATTGAGTGTCTGGACCTGGGCAGAAGGGGGGTTTCGGCGCTTGGCCCGTTGTTGATGCTTCGACTCGTTCTCCTTCTCTTGCAACGCTTTGGCAGCTTCGGCGGCCTTGGTGGCTTCTCGATCGCGGATGCGGGCAGATTTGCGAGGCCAGGACTCGAACTGGTCGTCGTCATCCATTGACAGAAAGAAAGGGTGGTGGTTTGAAAGAATATGAGGAAAATTTGAGTCAAATAGGTTTGACACCTGCACGATGGTCGTGAAGAAGGGAGGTTGGGGTGAGCGAGAAGAGGTAAGGGTCAAAAGAAAGAGAATGAGAAGAGGAAGAGCATAGGATCGAGGAATAAACAAGCGTTTTATACCATAGCAAAGCGGAGCAATTTTTTTTTTCAATGATCCTTGTATCGTTCCTGACTCCGCAGCATGAAGAAAAGAGCTTGTTTTTCTCTGCTTGCTTGACAAGAAGGAGTCTTCTTTCAAGCCGTTGTTCAATGCAAAGAGGCAATGTAGAAATGATGAGTCGGATATCATGCAGTAATTATATAGTAATAAAAACACGTGGCATCAGAAAGCATAGAAAACACAAATAGCCTAGGTACTCGAAACCTTGACATAAGCCTTTTACTGGAAAGCAAAGATATTGCAAGGGGAAGAGGACCCTGATGCAAGATAGGACGAGGTGCATGGGGAAAATAGCGGAATAAAGCAATCGCGGTGTGGTAATTGGCGCCTATTAGGCTATTCACCAGTGACCACGTAGGACTTGGCTCAAAATAACGCGAGAGTCATTGTCGTAGGATACATGGCGAGAAAGTAGAAAAGGGTGTTAGGATCTAGCTTTGTTTATGTGTCCTTCCGCAACGTTTTGTGCCTGGCAACCTGAAACGCGACAAAGGAAAATCACCAGGGATTAAGGGGTATACAAAGTCGATCCTCTTTTTGTTCACGGATGAAGTATTTGACACCAATGCCGCGCTACACGGGGCAACGAGATCGCAACAACCGCACGAGGAAAGGAGAATTACGGTGGCGGCGAAAATGGATCGGCCTGGCAGGACACAACCGCAAAGGAACTTCGTGTCTACCTCGGAATCGGCATTACATAGAGTGTCTTTCCACAAAGCTATGTCGAGGAGTTCTGGAACACATGGTCCTACTGACCCAGACGCAGATTCGTGTCTGAGATGTCTTTGCCTAGGTTCAAGCAGATCAGGAGGTACTTTCATATCTCCGATCCCAACTCAGCTCTGTGGCCATTGGTATTTCAAAGCTGGAACCTCTCTCGACGAACCTGGAACTCTCTTACAGGCGGTACTATGTCTCTTCGACCAACGTCTCTATCAATGAGGTGTCGCTGCGATGCGGTTATTAGGCTGCTCCGTCTATTGTTAACGACTACAAAAACGCTATGGGCGACATTGACACCAGTGACCTGAAGCGAACGTTTTATTACCAGGTTCTCTTTGTTGCCCAGACAGGGATGCCTCTGTTCCTATGGCGAGTGGGTTCAGCCTTTCTGGATATGCATGTGTTGTCGAGGGTACAGGGCTACAACAAACCACCCACCGATTTCCGGCGAGAAATTGACTGGGAGATGATCTCTGGAGACAAGTAAGCGGAGGTTAACCGAATTGACACCGATTCACATAGCGGCGATGCACTTTTCTCGGACGACACCGATGGCGAAGCTACCCACTTGTCGATGATGCAGCTCCACATGATGATAATGCAGCTCCACATGACGCCCATGGTGAAACCCGTGCCATTCCGATGACGACCACGGCGCGTAGGAAGACGGAAATGAAGACGATTACAGCGACAGAGGGGGCGAGAGCGGCAGAGACGGAGACATTATCAAAGAGGATGGCAGCGACGGAAAAGAAGAGGAGGCAGACAGAGCAAGGGATGCGGAGTGTCCACCGCTGAAAAAGACTCTTTGTATTTTAAAAGCATGACCAGTCTACCAGCGGCACAAAATGATCCAGTTTTGAATCTCCCAGCGTTCCTGGAGGAGACTTTACGGCCAAATGCTTTGCCGATTCAAGCATTCATCCCTGAAGCTGAATGGGTGCCGGCTCAGAACGTTTACAGCCGTTTATTGTAGCCACCACAATGTCCCACTGTGCTTTGTGCCAAGCAAAAATCCTCGCAAATGCTTCGCAGACTGTCATGTTCTTGACATCTTTGATTCATAAAAAACCTTTACTCTTTTTACTCTATTTTCACGAGCTCTCGATGTATGGTATGAATGTCCTAATGGCCCTTCAGGCGACGTTACTTGACAACTGCGATGTTGACCTGATTTGTCAATAAATCGACCTTGTTAACTCTGACTTCCGATGTCCTTCCAAACTGACACGCCCCTAATTATTCGTATCTCGTCCCGCTCACTCCACACTTCCCGAGGCAAGCGAATCAGTCGCAAGTGCAGTATAGAATACACCCTACCGAAAGAGAACTTACAGACCTTCGCCATCGAAAACACCCTTGTTTTTTTGGTTCTCATATTCCGGGGTTGCTTTTTCCTTGGTCTATCCTCGTGTTCTGAAGGGTTGATTTTTGTGTCCCTGTAAGACCACAGGCAAATGCCACCCGCGAGTTATTTTCTCTTTTCTCTTTTTCCTTGCTGGGATGTGAATGGAGTGAATGCATGTTTATCTTTGTGTACGTGTGGGAATTGTCCACCCATACGTCTATGCCAAGCCCATAACAAGCCCATGACTGCGATGGAAGAAGGAGGTGGTGTGTGTGTATTCTATCAAACCGCATTAATACAAAGGGGTAGGTCATTGAAGGTTCTTCTTTCTTTTTGTGGACTGTGAGTGCATACCACCATTCAGCACATGAAAAACGTGGCGAAGAAGGGTAATACAGTGACCCGGTCCGTCTGTCAACATTCATGCGTTTTTCCATCAGAGAGAAGAGAGCAGTACGAGGTCGGCGAGAATAAGGAAAGGCCAGGCCAGACCTAATTTAAGTTCACGCAACACAGCATGCTTGAGCAATGGGCGAACCAAAGCACACATGATAGAGGGGAAGAACTAATGAGCATATCATGCAGTAGAAGGAAAGTATGAGTTACTCTGGAAAGAAAAACAGGTGTTCTACTCCACACTCACATACTTTCTGATTTACATTGCGTTCTTTCAGGAAGTATTAGGGTCTGAGTGAAAAAGGGAAAAAGGGGAAAAGGAGGTCGAGAAGGGCTGAGAACAGTAAGGGAGACCGCCCGTCCTTGCACGCCTAAACCCTTACATATGTGCGAGGAGAGGTCTGTTTATTCTGTGCGACAAAGAAAAAGAACAAACATTGTGGTATATCCCATTTTGGGGTATTGTCTGCTCGTTTTGTCGGTCCATGGTCTGTATGGGTGTTATCAGCCAGCATTGAAAATTTTACCGCAGGACGGGAATGTGGTTTGGGAAAAGAGCGGAAAAAGGGTGGAGGCGAATGGGTGAAGCTAACTGGGTAAACTGACGCGTCAAATCCACATACTATGTGAGAAAAATAGAAACTGCGAAAACGCAACTGACAAACGAACAACCGATTGTCGTTTTTTTTCGTACACAATCGAAGTTCCCTGACCAGCCCGTCTGTGGCATTGGGTCAAGAACCATCCATGATGTTCAACATATATATATCAGCCGCCTGACGACGGCAACGACAAAAAATCCGGCCTTGGTTTCATTGGCTTGCTGTAGAGTCATCTATCGCTATTAAGCATTCATAAGCGAGAATACAAAGAAAGAGGAAGTGAGGACGCGTCTATGGTCACGCTGATGTTGGAGTCGAAAGAGTAAGAGAAGAAGAAAGAGAGAGTAAGTTCTGTCTGTCAAAGGATGGGTAGGAAGGCATGACGAAGCTATCTCAGGCAACTGCTCTTAGACACGGAGGGCGAAGGCGAGGCGCAGAGGAAGCATTAAGCGGTAGCCTGGTGATCAAATGTGAAGATCAATTGGTATACTTTAATCGTGTAAGTCATCGGTGGTTGAAAAAGTAATAATAAAAAGTAATATTGAAGTGGCACTTGAGCCAGACCGGGGAAGGGAGCAAGACTGCCTCCGACTGGCTTTCCTGCATGGGGCATCGGAATCGACTTGCTCATTCTCCCATTGCCATGTTAGCCAGATCGAGATATAGCAAGGGAGACACGATAGGGTGCAGACACCAGGCGGATCGACTGGATTGGCACAACAGTTTGGACAGCGGAACAAAAAACAAAGGCTTTCCGGTGCAGGGTCATGGTCATGGATGAAATGGACGAATGATGATGAAGGGAAACAGAGACATACACCTCACTGCCATTGCCAATTGATTGTAAACAAAAAAATCGGGGAACCTGCTACATCCTCCTCACTGCCATAAAAGCGTCTTTGTGGTCACCATTTTCCTTTTTTTTCTCATTTCGTTTTCTGTACAACTATTCCTAACACAAGAACAGACACACACACATCCCTATACTCTAACTCCCCTCTCTCTCTACGTCGCACAACAGCCACTGATACACCACATTGAAATTCTACCCACCTTACTTTTTACACACAAATACCATCCCGTTTTCCTTCCACCAGCAAATTCATTCAACCTCCCTGCCCACCTTCTCCTCTCACTCCCAAGGACAAAAGCGCCCTCCATCACTGCCATGAACCAGCACCCGAGCAATCCCTTGGTTTTTCAAGACTCCTTCAACCGCGACGGGTTTCATGACGGAGGAAACAGCTCTGCCAACGGTGGCAAGGATGAGAACAGCACCGGCAATTCATTTTTTGAGAATGAAATGTCATTCAACTCGGACAGGTTTCTTTGCGTCAACTTTTCCGACGATCTCTTCTCTTCGACTCCAATCTTCTCCAGCCTCCCCCAGGTCACTGAGCACATGTGTTTTGCCCAGCAAGAGCAGCAACAGCTTCAGCAACACACCGAGCATCAAGTTCATTTCCCGTCATCCCTGGCCGATTCCTCGACCTTCGCCTTTCCCCTCGAGCACACTTTTACTCAGCAGCAACAGTCACAAGGGCATGCCGCGCAAGTTCTGTCGATGCCGCAGTTTTCCACCGTCCAATATGTCCCGGAGTCGCAACAGACCCACCAAGACACCACTACCCTTGATTCGCAGCAGCAACTACTACATCATCAGACCCCCACCATCCCATCTCAACCCCAACAGTACTGCGACTCTTCCGTCCTAAACGCCTTCCGACAACACTTACCCTCTCCTTCCCCTTCGTTGGACGCAAGCACTGCCGCATCTGTGGCGATCATTGCCACCGCTACCTCTGCTGACACTCATCACCAGCAGAACCCTAACTATTACAATAACGTCCTTCTGAACCAGACCTCTTCCACCCAACGGATCCCTATGGGCTTTACTCAATTCCGCTCACCCGCACTGGATCAATTCTCCCTCGCCAGTCCTAATGAGGACTCATTGTCACCGGCCACGGAGCATGGGTATTTTGATAGGACTGAAGAGTCCTCATCGTCTTCGCCATTTTACCATCCTTTGTCGTCGGCTTATTTGAATTACAGCGGCGCCGAGTACTTGACAAGTTCCTTGCAAGACTTTGCACTGTCTGCCGGCAACGGTCTCTTCCCCCTCCTCACATCTGCCTCAAGCTCAAGCCCGGTCTCCAGCTCCGTCATGGTCATTCCCTTCAACAACGTCCTGCCTTCGCCGACATCCTCTCCTACGGATCTTCTAACAGTCCTAGTTCCACCGTCTGTTATCAGTCGAGCGGTCCGCAAGACCGCATCCCAGCAGCAACTGTCTACCTCCGGTCATCACCAGTATCATCAAGATTCCTTTTTGTCGTCGCCAGCGTCCTCTACCTGCGACACTCTTGTTAGTTACTCTCCTACCTTGTCGAACTCGTCGGCTTCGCCTTTGTTCGGTTCTACGGTTCCCGCTTTGTCTTCTCCCCTCAAGCAACAGTTCAAACGCGTCGCATTCTCGGACGGTGACGATTCCGATATCCCCAATGAAGAAGAGGAGAACAAGCGCAACCCCAAGCGCAGAAAGCGTGTCCGCAAAGCCGCTCCCAAGCCTGTCAACAAGCCCAAGGGACCCCGGATTACCCTCTACGTAAGTCTTTTTTTTTTTGTGGGGATTTGTTATTGAAAAAATGTGTTATTTCCTCTCCCTCATGTGGACCAACACAAAGCCATGTGTTTAATCCATTGTTTACGCGTTTCGCGTTTCGCGTTTGTGTAAATTTTATTAATGCATCTTTTGTTTTGATTGCTTCATTTAGTGCCAGTACCCGGGTTGCAAAGTAACCTGCTCCAGCCACCCCTCCATGGTCCGCCATGCTGAAGCCCACAAATGGCGAGGCCTTTACTCCCCCGTCCGGTGCGAGGCTTGCCAGAGCTCGCTCTCGAACGAGTTCTCGGTCCAGCGACATATCCTCCGCTCGGCCGAGACATCGCGGTGCCGCAAGATGAGGACCTACAGCATCATGAGGTCCGAGAACGAGATCGACAGCACGGTCAAGTTCTGCCCGAGGCGTCCTCATGGCAAGAAGACTGTTCCGGTTGATCTGGCGAAGATGAAGGCAAAGTACATTGAGGGGTGGCAGGGAACGATGGATGACTTGGTTGGTCAGTGTAAAGGTAAAGAGGAACGAGTGGTGATTGGGCGGTGTGGAGTTGAGACGGTGGTAATGAGTCATAGAGGGCCGTGATATACTTTTCTTTGCTCTTTACTTTTTTTCATTTAACAACACATATACTTATATATAGATGTACCAAAAACCACCACGAAAACCAATGTAGACATTGTGTACAGTAGCATAAACAATAGGTCAATGAATTAACCCATATAACCATTGCTGGATCGATAACGGAATGGGAAGGATGCCAATGGGGGTTGCACTAAAGGAGGTTCGGTTCTTCAAAAATGTTATTCACGTTTCGCGACAAGCAAAAAAGAAAGCCAATGGAAAAAGAGTGGGTGATGAGGGGAAGGGGGGTTGAGGTCGTTTATTATTAGAGCGAGTAGAAATATAATACGCGTTTTGCTGTTTGCATTAGCATGTGCCCTTCTCGTTTTCCCTCTTCTTTAACCTCGCCTTCTATTCCTTCTCCTTCTTCATCCATCATGCTTGTTTTCATCCTCGTTTTCATCCCTGCCCTTATTTTTCTCCATCTGGCCTCACACGCATCCAATTGATGAAAAGTACTCTTCACCCTCATCCTAATTCAAAAAAAAGTTACTCCGTCTGTCTGTGTCTCTGTCTCACAAAAGAACGAGGATGAAGCATTCCTCCTTCCTGACGTCGTTTGCATTAACTCAAAGAGGTTTCGTTCTCGCCTAGTCTTTCTGTTCTTCGTCATTTTTTCCTTTTATTTTGCATGGAAGGAAGAAATAGGGATGATGACGATGTGCGTACATGGATATCAAACATCAACATCAAAAATCAACCCTCTCCACGAGGGTTTGCATGACATGCATAAAAAAAAGGAGGGGGGATGTTGGTGGAGGAAAAAGAAAGGTGTTGGATGAGGATGAGACGTCAGAGTAAAAGAAGTAAACTGAGAGAGATCGCACCATTTCTTCAAAGAACAAGTGTGAGATCGCAGCAGGAGAGTAAAGCGTACATGCGACAAAACAAACAAACAAACAAACAAACAAACGCTGCCGACTGACGAAAGAAAACGTCAAAAAAAATCGGTTGACAACAACAACAAGTTCAAGCATAGACACATGCCTATGCATTGCATGGGCAATGGTTGGGCATTGTCGACATTAGAGGAGTGCAATGTTGTTTGGACGAGGTAGTGGAACTTTTTGTATTTTGTAACTTTTTTTAGTAGAACTATCTTTTAGGGGGGTGGGGGATGTGTGAAATAATACAAGAGAAAAAACTAGAGGGTATAGTAAGGTATATGGAGGAAAGGGGAGAGGAATAGGCTATTACATCTTCTTCTTGCGACCCGAAAGAGCCTCGTCGACGACCATAGAAGGACGACGACGCTTCTTGGTCAACTCATCCTCCGTCATGTCATCGTGCTCCTGAGGCATTTCAATGTCTTCCATCATCATCGCCTGATACTGGTGTTGATATGAGTGATACTGTCGGCTGTGCTGCTGCTGCTGTTGTTGCTGTTGAAGCAGCTGTTGCTGTTGTTGGAGGGCGGCAGTCTTGGATCGATCAATCTCATTGCGAAGAGTGGTCGAGATCTTCTTGCCCATGCGGTTCATAACCTCGTCCAGAGGTTTGGCCCGGTAGGAGCTGATCTCGTAATGGACCTCAGCGCCGTTTGAGGTCTTGATCTGGCCGATGGTTCCGACTGCACGGCAGATAGAGTCCATGGGTGACAAGTTGATGTGGCGTGTCACGGCGTCGCGACGAGAGAGGTTGGACTTGCAGCCGACACAGTTCCAGAGCAACTTGTCGTGGATCGACTCGATGTGGCGGACCAAGACTGCGGGCCCTGCGAACCGTTGGCCACACTTGGGGCATTGGTGCGTTCCTGTGGAAGCGGAAGTGGTAGGAGCGGAGGTGCTGCAGCCACTGTGGTTGGCAGTGGCAGGAGAAGAGGGGGTCAGGGCAGACCCACGGAGGGTTGAAGCGCGTCGCTGGGAGGCCATAGAAGAGTTCGATGAAGTTGAGGACTTGCGTGAGCGAATGATGAGGTTGGAGCACTCGCTGTTCCTGCGCTTGATGCGACGTTCGTTAGCCAAAAAGTTCTCATAGAGGGACGAGGGAGTAATGGAGGGCGAGGCAGCGCGGGAGGACTGGCAGGAGGAGTTGGCGGCCATGTCGGAGTGGGCATAGGATGACGAGGGCGAAGCAAAGAGCGGTGTTGATGATCCAGAGGAGAAAGATGATTCGACGGGGGATGAGACAAATCCCCAGGGATAGTTGCTCTGCTGCTGTGACTGCTGCTGTTGGTATTGGCCGGCACGTACAATGTTGTTGGCGGCTGACATTGAGGGCGAGGCAGCCAGGGGGGTGACAGAGGAGGATTCCCAAGGGCCAGACATGGGCGATATGGAGCTATTGAACACCATTGCTTGCCGCTCGGACTCGGTCGAGGTCATGATCTGGAGCATGGGCTTGCGCTGGCGAGGATGCTGGATCTGACCCTGTCTTGGGTGGTACTGAATTGGCGACAACAATGTTGGCTGCTGCTGGTGTTGTTGAGACTGCATCATCGAGAAGTCGGTGTTCCAAGTGGAGGCCGTGCAAGGAGAGGAAGGGGAGGAATGAGCATCGCCGACCACAGCGGCAACAGTCGCTGCTACTGATCCTTGAATGTGTTGTTGCTGTTGTTGTTGAACCTGAAGGAACTGGCGCTGCTCGTTGATGAGAGGATATTCGATCCCAAAGGACATGGAAGTGACGACTGGTGTAGCAGAGGAGGAGTTGGTGTTGTTGATGGCAGCAGTAGAAGGTGAAGAAGAAGGTGAGGAGGATGAAAGAGATGTCGGTGTAGAAAGGAAGAATGAGGGGCTACTATTGTCGTTGTTGATGATCTCGCTAGACATCATGGATGATTGGAGTGCTGCAGTCGCCTGCAGAGTGTGAAGCACCCCCTTGAAATCTTCTTGGTCCTGGTTGTTGTTCGACGCCATAATACCTAATGACAGCTCGTCAAGCGAGGGAGCGAAGCCAGAGTCGCGGCGGATGCTGATGAGGCTTGGAGGGCAGATGCTGCTGTTGTTGGTGGTGCAGTTGGAAGAGGTGTCCTGGGGCATGGACATCCCGATGCCCTGGAAGTAGGTTCGCTCACAGTCGAGATCGATAGGGGCGGTGTTGTAGCCCTGAATGGAGGAGGCCATGCTAAACATCACTGGCACTTGCAGATTGTTATAGGCCACAGCAGGATGTTGTGGCTGCTCGTATTGTGGTTGCTGCTGCTGTTGTTGTTGATATGATGTGGAGTTGTTGTTGTACATTTGTGGATGCTGTTGTTGTTGGAAGTGGTGTTGTTGTTGTTGGTACTGGTGGTGATAGTGTGACATTCTACGATATGGAAATTAAAAGGGTATCTGGGGGAAACAAGGAATGAATGCAAAAAAAGCGGAGGGTCCGAGATAAAAAATGGTGTTGTCCTTTTGGTTACGTTTAAAGAAGGAGGTAAGGAGAGGAATGGAGGAGGAGGAAAGAGCTGTCGACTATGATTATGGATACACTATGAATCACTGAAGGGAGGACAAACGGTATTCCCTTTTTATATGTATATGTACGAATGCGATGGTTAGCAAAGAGGGAAATTATTAGAAAGCAATTGATGAAGAAGAGGAACGAAGGTGAAGTGTAGCGATAAAGAGACGATAAGGTATAATCGATGAAGGATATCGATGAATGAGAATAGAGAAGATAGAGAGGGATTGAAGACTGAAGAAGTGAAGAAAAAAAAAGGACAAAAGGAGATGTCGAGGGTATTATATAAACAAAAAATTGTCTATGTGATCGTCGACGAAAGAGAGATGTGAGGGTATGAGAGCGAAGTAGACGAGGGGGGATAGTATTGTTCTGTCTGGTGGTGAACGTGTGAGTGAGCTTGAGAGAAAAGCAAGCGAGAAGGACATGGTGTGTTTAATAGTGCTCGAGTTCGAGAGGGTGGGTCAGTGGGCTCGCCGAGGGGCGATATAACAAATTTCTGGTGTTGTTACTCTATCCAATTCAATCGGAATCTCGCCCTGCTCGTCCATGCATGCCATTCGACATCGATAACCCAATGCATATGCATGTTAGTTGTATGTATGTGTGCGACGCTTCCTTTTCTTTTGTTGATGTTGCGCCTCGACATCCATCAACTCTTTTTTGTTTTTCTTTTCTCTCAAACTTGCAGATATGTTTTGATTCTTTGTATAGTAAGGTGGTGTCTATGGACCATTGGCATGCAAAGCATGCATCATAAACAACAGTAGCATTGTTGACAAGCAAGGGAAAACAATGATTTGCTTATTCATTTCATTTCATTCGTTCATTTTTCGCCAATTTCATCCGTCGACTCCATTGTTCAATTGAAGATACTACTACATCTTCTCGTAGACTTGGACCCATCAACATCAAACATCCGTGAAGAAAGCATTGACCATAGAAGCACATAACCATCTACTCAATCGCCATCTTTCGTCTTAACTACAAACAGGCCATGGTCATGCTTGTTTCCCTCTCCGTTCGCTCGCTCTTCTCCATGATCCATCCACCGCTTTGTTAACAATTTTCCCTTCAATGAAAACCGCGTCGTTGTCCTACAAGTATTGCGAGCCGAAGAGAAAGGTCCTCCAAAGAAAAAATAATATTGAGGGGACAACAGGAATGAGATGAGGAAGTTCAATGAACACAATACCTTTCGCCTATCCAACTCTATTCCTTTCACGAATTCATTCTCGTGTTCGGTGTGCCTAGTGTCTGCTGTTCATTTTTTTGTGGTGTCGTTCTTGTTATTGTTACCATTCACAATGCCAATCCAAATCACCGTCCGCCACTCAGTCAGTCATTCATTCAGTTGGTCAGGCATTGAAGAGACACACGGACAGCAATTGAGGCAACCACCGGAAAAAAAAAGAAATTTCAACACTTCCAGAGGCAGGGCCCACCACCGCCCAAAAGGGGACGGTGTTGTATGTAATCCACAAAACATGTTACCCTTGCACAAAGGGGGAAAAGGGTGTTTGTAGTGTGTAATGTATGTGTGGGCTCCGCATGCGAAGAGGGGAAGGCACAGTCATTACACACGCACTATTACATACAATCAAGTCCTTCTTTTTCTGTGTGTTTCTGAGTGTATGTGCGTTTCTCGTGACATTCTTCCAGGCCTGTGGTTCCAAAGGGTTTTTTGTCCCACAAAAAAAAGAAAGAAAACCTGCATGGAAGGAATGTAGGGTGGATGGGGGAGAGGGAAGGTCTAGGTGTCGGAACACAAAGAAATAAATGCACGCTTGAGTATTCCTTTACTCTAGAACTACATTACAATCGACAGGTAGATGAAGAATGGACCCTACCTTGTTTGTTTGTTGCATGACCCATTTTTAAACAGGAGATAGAAGGAAGGAGGGAAACGGAAGGAAAGGGAGATGGAAAAGGAGAAGGGTACCGTTGCCTGGTACCTTTCATCCTTTGGGTTAACGCACGTCAGACTGACAGCAAATGTTAGATGAAGGGGACAGAAGGGCAATACAAACCAAGGGCGAAGAATGAAGTGTGGTGAGGATAAAGAAGGGAGATAGAGCGACAGAATGAACGTCAATGCACGTTCCGCGGGGTGTAGGAGACAGGAAGGGTCGAGCCCGTCTTTCCGTCAATGCATTCGTCAGACGGACCAGTAAGGTAACCGAGAAGGCTACCAAAGAACGAAAAATGACAGACAAACAAACAGGGAGAGAGAGGGAACCAGAAGAGACTGAAAAGTGGCGCGGTAAAATAATTTTTTGGTCATTTGGTTGTAAGATACGACCAGAAGAATTAAAAAGAAAAAGTTCGCGCCAAGGGTGATCGTGGTGAGAAATGTCCAATGGTCAATGCTCTTGAATGAGTGGGCTGCATCATTTGAATGAATGCATCATTAAAAAAATGAAAAAGTGATGGTCCTTTGGGGCACCTTCTGTCCCCTTCTCTTCGCCCCCTTCCTTGACTCCTTCCCTCCCTTCTTCTTCCCTTTTCTCCCCTCTTTCACTGTCCCTGCTCCTCCTCCTTCTCACCCTCCTTCCTTCATTGTTCCCCTCTTTGTCGCTCTTTTGAATTTTCACTATTCATCCATGTTCCAATTTTGTCAATGCAATGTCAATGCTGGACGTCCAATCGACTCGACCCAAAAGACCCAAAGAAAAAAAAAGGCAAGGAGACGGAAGTTAGGGTTGTGAGAGATGGACACATTTGTTTCTGTGGGTTCGAGCCTTTAGCTGTTTTGGTCTAGCCACAGCATTATCATCTCTTCATATCTCGTCTATCCATCTCTGGTATGAAAAAAGAGAAAGCTGCAATTTTTATTGCCACTGGCTATCCTAGCTGCTCTCTCGCAGGGCATTGAACTGAACAGGCACACAACAAAAGGGGTGTGTTCATCTCGTGCCTCTGAACGAGAGGGCCACCCACAGATTGAGAGGCACAAGAAATGTAAATATTTAACTCGACAGAAGAAAAGAACGCAAAAAATGGATCGTGAATCACCTGCAACTATTTTGGACGGGTTTAACATCGGTTGTTAGGCACGAGATTGGTTGTTGGCCTATGAGAGATACAACACCAAAGAGGAGAGTATATCTGATAACGGAACAAAACCTATACCATCTCTTCTTTCCCTTGCACTGGCTCGAAAGAGAGAGAGAGAGAGAAAAGGAGGAGGAGAGAGAGAAAGGGCGAGAGTACGAGGATGACATCCATCTGGTGTTTAATAGTTAGTTCGAGTGGGTGAATGAGTAGATCCCCATTTCAAAAAGTGGTGTTGTGGTACAAACGGAGTTCCTTGTCCTTTCTCCTAACCCTTTTTTTCTCTCTCTTTCTCTCTTGTCCCGTTTGTTCGTTGTTGTTGTTTTGTTGTTGTTGTTATCGATTTTGTTGTGTGTTCGGTCATCGTCAAATAGGGAGAGCAGGGAGAGGATGAGGAGAGGGGAGACAGTGAAAAGACGAACTCTTGTTCATACTCGGGTTGTTGTTGATGTCAATGTTGTTTGCCGCTCTGTGGATCTCTCATCATACCACTTCGTGTTCTTTCCCCCTCCTTGTCCAATGGGGCTTGAGGTATTTGGCATGTCATCCTGGAGAGCACTAAGAGAAACTCATTAGCCCTTGTGTCCATTGTTTGCGCTTTGCCTTTCCTTCTCTCTTATGGTTTTACCTTGTTTTTCTTGCTTCCCTCATCAAGTGTGCAAAAATAAAAAGTGTATTCCAATTGACACCATTCTCGACAATAGGGCAAGACAAGCTCAGGCGTGATCAAACTTCAATCCAGCCTCTTACCTTCTCTATTCTCGACAAACCCGTAGTAGCTATCATCGTCGTCAGCAGTAGTAGCAGTAGTAGCAAGACACCATTGAGCAAGCAACAACAACAACTAAAAAGCAACAAGAAAATAAAAATACGCGTCGGGAGGGATCAAGATACCAGATGATGATGGTACAACCTCACCCCCTGGCTGTAAAAAAAATCTAATGGCCTCTCGGACATACTTACACACGCACACATACTCTCTCCCTTCTGTTTCTCTTCACCTCGCTATCTGGTCCCTCAACACCATCCCCATCATCATCCACCCTCATCGTCATTCATTGCACTTTCTTCTCGTCCGTCTTCTGTCTCCCTCATAGCATTTCTACCCATCTACTCTTCCTCTCCCTCCTTCCCTCCTCCCCTTTTTGCATCTCCTCCTGCCCCTTGGAGCGTCTCAAAAGTCGTTGGGTAACAAAAAAAAATAGGCTCATTTCTTTGGTTTCCTCCTCGAGGGACCATTCGAGAATCTGGCGAGAAACGTGATGGTGTTTAATGGTATTTGGGCTGAACTGGGCTGATTAAGGAATGAGGGAGAGATATGTAGTAAATCGATGAACAGAAAAAGAAAAAAAAAACCCGAAAATAAGTTTGGACGGTCCATGTCCCGAATATCGTAGTCTGATTTTCTTCTTATGGAGAGAGAGTGATAGGGAGGGAAGGAAGGAAAGGGAAAGGGTGAGATTTTCTTGCCGCACCCCCTAAATAACCCTTTATGCTTGTCCTTTCTTTTTTTTTCTCCATTACATCTCTCCGTCCATCGCCCAATCCAAAGGAGGTTGAAAGTAGTCAGGGGTGATGGAGAGAAGACGAAGAGAGAGGAAGGAAGGGAGGGAGGGAAGGAGGGAAAAATAAGCGGATTGGAGAAATAAACAAACAAGCTTACAAGCTTTCTTGGGCGCACGCAAAAGTGACAACATTGTGGCATGCTTTGGGATGGTCAGATGTATAGAAGGGAGAAGGAGAAGGGAGGAGAGAGACGGGTGTGGGAACCGCCAGAAGGAATTTGTAAGGAGAGCGGGACTATACAAGGAATAGGAGAGAGAGAACGAGAGAGGGTTGATTTGGATACTTGGGTGACCGAACCCACATGTCCGAGACATAATAAAATAAAAAAAACGGACAACGACTACATGAACGATGAACGGGCAAGGGAAAGAGACAAGGAATTTTTTTTTCCATTAAACATTCCATTGCTATCACAAGATTCTTTCTTTGATACATCTACTCTTTTTTCATAGAGGGAAATAAAAACCAAGGGTGTGTTCGCCACATCCATGAATGGGCGATCCTTCATTCCAAAAGTGCGAGTGCAAAATGTAAAGAAAAACAGGGATATGCAGATTTCGTATGTTGTTTGCTTTGTCTCTCTCTTTTTTAGTCTTTCCTCCTGTTCTTGTTCTTTGTACGCTCCTACCTTGAATGTATTTTTTGAAAGATGGGTCCAGATCAAAGCATTGTCGTTTATTTTGAGAACGAGGACAAAACAAGGAAGGAAGCAAGGAAGCAAGGAAGGAGGCGCGTGTGTGAGTGAGTGGTAGAAAGGAGACAGGTAATTACTCCATCGTTTGTTTTGCATGGGTCTCTTAGCAATTGAGTCGCTTTTGTCAAAAGGGGAATGGTGATTGCTAACGTTGTGGCCCGTTTGTCGCTAGCTATATCTTTCTTACCCCTTTGCCACGAGATAACAGGCCCTCTCCTAGCACCAACTAACCAACCCAACGCCACCTCCTCCTTGTTCGTTCTTTTTAGTTTGTCTACGTACTGGAGTTGCATCATGGAGACCATTTTTTATGCAACCATCAGGAGACCACAAATTTAGATACACGTTTTCCAAAGGGTCAACCTCAATTCTACCTGACTTAGAACGAGTTCCTCAAAGGCGAATGCAACATACCGCAGAAAGGAAAAAGTACGACATACGAGCGAGAAAGAGTAATCGATTCTTGGATCGATCGATCGATCAATGTCCATCCCCATTGGAGACGCGCGCGCGATCCTCTATCAAGTATGCACCCCCTCCTTCCTTCCCTTCCTTCCCTTTACCTCCATTTCTCGTCATTTCGCACTTTCAACAGTATCGCAAGACAGAATTCATTGATTTGCTTCTTTTCCCTTGATTACTTCTGCGCGACGAACATCGGCGAAAGAAGAACGAGCTAACAAAGAAACAAAAAGGAATCGCGCTTTTTCTCCTACATATGTTGCCTCAGCACAACATACTTGCTTTTAACATGAAATCATTATTCTGTGAATAATGCAAACAAGAAAAAAGAGATGGAATTCTTCCGCCTCCTGCGTGGAGATGCGTGATGAAGCTGGTCACTAGATGGCTTGAGTGTTCAACCAAAAAAAAAAAAAAAAAAAAAAAAAAAAGCCAGAAAGATCTCTTTGCTTTTTTGTTTTGCTTCTTACGAACTTTGCATTAATGCAGCCCCACCCCTTCCTCCACTCTTTTTGCTAACCCTCCTCCTTCAGTCCCCTTCCTCTCCTCTTTTTCTTTCTCCTGTTCTCTTCCTCCTTGTCCCTCCTTGCTCCATTTTTTGCCCTTTATCTCCTTATACCTCATCGCCTCCTTTCACACAAAAACAAAAGACCAATAAAGGACCGACAGAGAGGCAAGATGGGTCATTTTGAACAAATAATTTTCCTTCCCTATCTCGCTGTCTGTCTCCTAGCAACAGTAACATAACTCGCAAGGGTTTCTTAAGCTTTATTCCCCTCGTCAGCCAGATACGAGAGCGATAGAGTAAGGAATGTTGAAAAGTACTATAGATGGATATGTTTTTTCATGACTTGAAGAAAGAGATAGAGAGGAGGATGATAACTTGATGAAGGAGTCAATGCGATGGACGGAGGATGGGATAGTTGAACGGAGACAAGGAGAGGGTTTGCTTTGACTTTTTACTAGGTTATTTCGATAACTACAGTGGCATGACACCATAACGCGTTCTACAAAACACAGTTGAAAATCTTTTTCCCATATATTTCAAACGGGAGGGCGAAGGCGCCGCGTCTTCATTGGCGTTGTTCCAGGAACTGATCAGGAATACATTCAAGGTGATCAACACTTTCGTCTTTCAGGTACCATGGGTGTTTTGTAGTTGACATCTACCAATATCTGACAAACATGTCGTTCTCCGTAGTAGATGAGCCCTACTACGGTACAGGGAGGAAAAAAAATGGATTGTACATTGCGGTGTTGTCGTACATCTATCAAAACCAAAACATTACCTCAGCACTCCCTATTTTTCTTTTCCTTCCTTCACTTTCCCTTAGGCGCTACCATGAGTCAGTTGTAATAGCGCTGGCTCAACGCTTCAGTTTTTTTCAACACGAGCGACACCATGTGCGAAAAAAAGGCGCTACGATATGCAAGGTGCGATTCTTTTGGACCGAGCTATTGTTTTTTTCGCTTACCTCCCTATTCCACTTTATGCCTTGTTCCTTTTTTTGGGTTTTGTGTGATACCCCTGAGTGTGCGTGTGTCAATGCCCATGCTCAGTGCATAGGAGCAAGTATCATAGGGGGCGAGCGAGAAAGAAATGAAGTGAAGCGAAGAGAAATGAAAAGGAGATGGTGCAACATACTCCATCTCTTGCTCCTCTCCTTTTCTTCCCTCCCCCCTATTCTCCCATGTCTGAGGAAGATGACGAAACGGAACACATGGATGGTGTATGTTGTTGTTATCAAAAACAATCAACCCGAATCCCATCCCTTTTTTTCATTTCACCTTTGTATTCTTGCACGCGAAAAATAAGTTGTGCAACGTCAGGTCGACATATGTTCTTCATTTCACGAAGCAGTGAGATGAAGGGAAGGACGATTAAAGGTCATAAGACCCTCTCTTCATTGATAACAAAAGAAAACAGCAAGAGCAAAGAAACGTGCTGGACCAGAAAGAAGAAGTCCTTTCATTCATGTGTTCAGATATAAAAATTAAAAAACTAAACATCCCCTGTATCAGGCTTTTATGAGTACGCAAGAAATGAAGTGCAAAGAAAAAGCAACAACAGACGTATAGAAGATGATCGCAGTATTATTCTCAACTGCCCTTTTTTTTCGGACCTGACCGTGAGAAACGCATTTCGTCCTTTATCTCTAGGCTCAATGATGACAGCCAACAACAGGATCACGCCGCCAAACCGTTTTGCGTTTCAACTTTTATGGGTTTTTTTTGTTGCTCAATGACAGTTCTAGTTCTACTAAGATCCACCTACGAGATCATTGCCATGCGCAAGTTGGATAAAATCGTACACAATCGTCGATCCAATAGCCAACACCAGGATCGTCAACGAGCTCCATGCAACCTTAGTACTCGACAGGGGGAACCAATCAGGGATGGCGTGAAGACTCCACCGAGCATCGAATCCGATAGAGTACAGCGGAAGGTGAAAATTGGACTCGTGCAGTCGTCCCTCAGCCCTCTCGAACTCGGCCACTGCTGAAGCGTCTGCAACAGTCGTGCCGGTACTCGTCGTACCCATTGCTGTGGCGTTGTGTGCTGCAATGGTCAACGACCCCATCGTCGTCGAATCAGGAAAATAGTGGTCCTCTGACCGTTTTTCAGCACCTGCAACTCCGCTAGCTCCCAGACCGACACCTAGTCCCCCTGTTGTTGTCAGTTCCGATGGTGTTGGTAAAGGCGAAGGCGGGATCGAGCTTGCAGAATGGGGCATCCCGAAGCTGGCCATGGTCGATCGACTCGGGTTTCGGGAATGAGGCCGGCGACTGAACCATGACGAGCCTAACCCTTGCGCTGAGGTGGGTGCCTGGTCAAGAACACTGTTGCTTCCAGGACTTGGTGGGTGCTGTGGACTCGTCTGAGGATGAGGGTTGAATCTAGGAATCGAATAATTGTTGCCGCCTTGGAATGGAGCCGTGACACTATGACGGTGGCTGTTCCTGCCATTGAAGCTATTTCGGTGGTGGAGTGGAGACCGTGGTTGGGGTGATGGTTGGGGTGATGATTGTCCCGCTGGAGAAGCTAAAGGTGTCACGCTATCCCGGGCTTCATCAGAATGTGGATTTGTTGCCTCGAATTGTGCATTCGGAAGGAGCGAAGGCGAAGGAGGAGTAAGGTGGATCGACAGACTGTTGGCAGATTCTGGTGCAGCGAGTCGGTCCTGCTTTTGGTGAATCTCCTTGAGGGACTGGGTCGACTGAGTCCTGAATGCGGACCGTTGAGACCTAGGCGACCGATCTAGTATTTCCGCCGAAGCCGACACAGTCCTTCCATGTGATCGTTTTCCAGCTGCCTGTCCGGACAAGGATGTTGGTGGTCTTGAAGGAGAGAGTGATGGCGCCGAAACATTGTGCTTTGCCCCTCCTTGAGTGGGCTTCAATCCCAGTGACCGATCAACAGTGTCCTGGGTTGTAATCGTCAATGTTGGTACTTGAACACTCGTTGCGTGTCTTTCCTCGCCCGCCTTGCCAGAGACCAAGGATGACCCTATAGGTGCAGTCAGGATGGAAAATGCTCCCGGTTGTGCGACAAACGCAGCTGCCATTCGACCTAACGACCCTCGCCTTGCCTCGCTCCTCTGCCCATCAGAGTCCGATCCTGATCCAGGTGTTGATCCTGAACTAGGCGTCTGGCTCTGCTCCGTCTTGGCCAGGGACAACTCAGGTCCTAGAGTCTCGTCACGAAGATCGATCTCGTCCTCCCGTTCGTTTTCGTCGATTTCCTCGTGGTTTTCCAAAAGAGGCGCCTTCCAGTCATGAAAGGGAACCCTCGCGTCCCTAGATCCCGGACTAGTACCCGGGCCCGTACCGGAACGTCCTGATCCGCCTAAGAAAGTTGATACCAAGGTCCTGCCAGAGCGTCTTGATTCATCGCCAAACGACGCCTTCCTCTGGAGTTCCGTTGGAGAAACGACTGTTCTTGACTCGTCTGAGAATGACACCCGCCTTTCCAGAGAATGAACGCTCCCTGATGAATCTGGGGTCGATGGAGATGGAGAGTGGTGAAGCTGCAGGTTGAACGCCGAGGCAAGTCCTCCGCTTGATGAAGTCGATCCAGCTCCAGGGTTCAGTCGAGTCGTATCCGTGAAAGTCACGTCTGGTTCCTTGTTGCTTCCAAAACCAGGCGAAGAAGTGCGCCTTGACATTGGTGCTTCCTGACCGCCTCTTGGGCTGTACCGTCCTGGAGAACTGGATGGCGAAAGTCTGAGGGCTGAACGCGGACTTGACGGTGATCTTGGCGGACTGAATGTTGGTGATGGCTCCAATGTATGCTGCTCAGACCTCTCGAGAAGTTGGATGATTGGCCTCGAGTCGCTTCGGATCTCCATCATTGGCGGTGTGAGTCGGATGGGTGGCGATAAAGGTGGTAGTGTGAGTGTTGAGCGGCCAGTGGGTTGCTGATTTGCTGTTATGATGGAACTCTTCCTGTTCAGTTTCTTAAGCGCTGCCGACAAGTTGCTGTTGGCTTCCGATATATCATTGGCTTCGCCTGTGTAATCCCTTTCGCTGTATTTTTCGGACTCATAGGACTCGTTCTCTAGCGAGTAGAGCCCAAGGTCGATGGAGGAAGATTGGTCGTCGTCCTCTGGCTCAGGTGCGGTACTCTGACTGAGAAGAATCATAGGTGGCACCGGCTTGATGCTCTGCTCGTCCTGAATCATCTTTGTCTGCTTCTCCACTGCCCGTTTGTGCCTGTCAGAGATCATGGAGAGAATCTTGTCCTTATGTGAAACACGCCGAGGTAGGACCTTCCGCTGCGCTCGCTCAGTTCCTGGATCGTGAAGAATGACGGTCGATCCTGATGGTCGATGCATGCTGGATGCCGACTGCGATCGGGGGTTGGATGGTTCGAGGATGTGTCCCGAGGATGATTCACGCTCAAAAACTTCGCCGTCTCGATAGAACGAAAAGTATGGCCCGCTGACAACCTCTCCAATGTCGTTGGCGCTGCTCGGTCCAAATCCCATATTCTGGTGACTGTGATATCGACGCCGAGATCCATGCCGCGTTGACTCGCCATTCAGGTTCTCCTCCGAGACGCTGTGGTGAATGACACCACTGCCACCAATCCCGACAGACAAAGGAATGATGGTAGCCGCGGCGATTCCTGTGGTTGGGCCGATTGCCAGGTCAAGTTGAGGCTGCGTTCCGGATTGAAGGCTCGATCCTGTAAAACGCCTTCGAATAGATCCGGACACACTGACGTTGCGCCTTGAATGCCCAGAGATTGAGCTCCTTGACAACTCCCGCGAGAGCCGTGCTTGCTGCTCCATCTCGATAATCGGCAGTTTGTTGAGTTTTTCCCGATGCCGTTTGGAGTAGATGTACAAGATGAAAGGGATGATAAAGTTGGCGGTAGAAACGAGGAAGAGAGAGCTCCAGTTGATGATGGTTGTAAGTCCTGCCCCTGTCATACAAGGAATGGCTACAAGCCAAGGAAGAACTCCCGCGAGAATGTTGGACCACACGTAGCTGCACGCGCCAGACTGGATGAGGTTGTAGCGAATAACGATAATGTTGATAGGGATCGATGTGATCAGGGCAGCGATGGGGAAAGTGTATCCAGTGATCTGAGAGAGGATGGTGACATCGGGCGAGGAGCTAATAGCTTGGATCAAACTCGAGTTGTTTGGGATCTGGAAGGCCATTCCTCCGAGGATGGCCACAAGGATGTAGATGATGGTTGTGATGGTCACGCTCCAGCCGACCGTCTTGTGTATCGAGACATTGGGTTGTTTGGCGTTAGCCCAGGAGGGTATTGTTGTAATGAAGGCGTAATTGAAGAGGATGGTTCCAAAGGTCTGGGAAATATCGTCGCCAATGACGGGGACCAAGGCAGTGTCGAGGCCGTGAATGAAAAAGGTGACGATCCACTGAGTGACGATGAGGAGAATAAGGATGAAGGAAGCGAGCTGCAGCCAAATGTTTTCGCTCAGCTTAAGGAGAGCGAGGGGTAGGATCATTGAGAGGGCGAGGAGAACACCTGCAGTCATGATCATGACGCCCGAGAACGGACTGGCAGAGGCCAATTGCTCGGTCACGCAGACAAAGGCGGCGTGTGGGATGATTTGGATGCCGCATGTGCGGTGGAAGATTTGGATAAGGAGGTTGTCGAAGAGCTGGGCCGAGATGGCGATGGAAGCGATGTTGGTGGTCTGCATAGCGAGAAAGCAGATGATCTGGACGAGGAGGTGATAGCGTCGGCCAAAGAAGCACTCGACCAAGTTATTGAACTCGACCTATATATTCATTTGCATTATTGGTGCATAGCATAGCATAGCATAGAAAGAATAGGAATAGCATAGCATTGGAGACATTAGATTGATGTTAGCAATAGGCCATGGTATGCTTCATTGACTGAATCGACAGTCGGGGTCAGACCAAGTCACATTCATGAATTAAAGAGTGCATTCATATCACACAGTCGTGGTGGTCCATGCAATTTGCAGTTTAAGGTTGTCTTACGTTTGACTGAAAGTGTTCGTTTCCTGGCACCTGGGTCATGGCCTCGCAGATAAAAAGACTGCTGAGCGAGCTGAGGAGACTGACAACGCCGAACGCGACAAGGGTTGGCAACCAGCCCGCCGATTGGGCGACGATGGGTAGTGTCACCAGACCAGGTCCAGTCATGTTGGAAATGAGCAGAGCCAAACCACCCCAGAATGAGATGTCCTTGATGGGATCGGGGTCGAATCGGACATTCTGGAAAGTAGAGACATGACTTTTGATGGAGGTTGCACTGCGTTGAGAGGCGATGGATGAACGGACTGAGGCTGAGTGTGAGAGGACAGAGAGGCGGTTGTTGCTGTTGTTACTGCTATAGCGAGAGTGTGTGTTGCTCCCAGAGTCGGTGGCAGAGGAAGAGGCTGTCAGGGGTGAGGGGGAGGGAGCGGAAGGAGAAAAACCGGTGCCCAGGGAAGCAGGCACAGAGAGGCGCTCAAGCTCTTTGACGCCGGCCATGAGGCGATGAGTTGGGGACCAAAGGGTGAACTGAGAATCAAGCCGCTTGACGGGAGTGCTTGAGACTCCGTCTCAAAAGGTGGCCTGGCAACTTTGAAAGATGGTCAAAGAGCTGAGTAGTAATAGAGCTATGGATGAGGAAAGGAGGACGAAGAGGAGAGAGGCGTGGCGAAGTGGGTGTAGGTGAGGAGGCGTGAGCGAGAAAGAGAACGATAGGAGAGGGAGGTGTAGTGTGTGTATGTGCCCGTTTAGTTGGTACTGAAAGAGGCTAAAACAAAAGGAAAGTGAAGGATTGGGAATGAGTTGCTGTCGTAAGTGTGGGTGTTAAGAAGAGAGTAGGAAAAGGTTAATGGAGGTGGAGTTGAATGAGGGTTGTCATGGGAGGGAAGGAGGAGAAGGAAGTGATGAAAGAGAGTGTGGGTGGTAAGAGTGGCAAGTGGAGGCGGACAAAGAGAGGGGAGTTGGAGTGAAAAAGAGAGGGCGATAGCGGTGGCAAGGGGGCCGATCAAGAGAGAGTGATCAAGAGAGAAATGAGGGGGGGGAAAGAAGGTAGAAGAGCGAAGAGAGTGAAGAAGAAAAGAGCTACCTCTCTCTCGCCCTCTCTCGCCCTTTTGCTTCAAGTGCAACTGGCGAATGAGAGGAAAGAGGGGGGGAAGACAAAAAGACAGATAGACAGCCCACGATGGCACCCCATGGCACTCTGTGTGCGTGTCATTTGAGAGTTGTTCGCTCAGCAGTGCCATAAAAGGCAGACTTGTCCTGCTGGACTAGCTCTGGGCCACTTCCTCCCTCATTGGACAGATGCCCTGGATGATATCATGCCCTATTTTTCTCCGTTCTTCCAGCCGGATGAACTATCGTCTTCTCCTCCACCACTGTCTGCTCACCTTTTCCTGCATTGTTTCTCACCCCCTACAACCCAAAGCCAGCCCTTCTCTTCCCTCTCTTTCTTGACCATCCTCTCATCAATTCATCCAGGTTGTTGACACTCCTACACAAAAACATACAAACAAGCACACTTGAAGGACTGATAAGTCAGGAGCTGTGTACTCCTGGTTCTCCCCTTCTCAGTGGATAAGGAATGGTCTCCCTTTAATCCTATTAGCAATTATAATTGCAATAATATAATCTCCTTCTCCTGGATTCCACGCGCCCCACGAGAAAGAAGAGAGAGGACAAGCAAGAAGAGAAAGAGAAAGAGAGGGTAAAGGGGGTGATGAAAAGAGTTGCCCGATGCAAACAATAGCAATAGCAATAGCCAACTTACATCTCAGGGCAAGCGGACGGTACCTTTTTTTTGTGCCGAAATTATCGAGGGTGTTAGAAGGAAAGGGGAGAAAAAGCAGGCGAACGGAACTGAAGAAGAAAGGTAAAAGGAGGACTGAGACGAGAACAGAAAGAAGAGGTCGAAGAAAGGAAGGAAGGAAATGGAGAGAACACAAAGAGAGGTCATGAAAGTTGTGGCATTCCGGATCAAGGTTTTTGCAAAAGCCTCCACACAATAAGTGAGAGCAACGGAATATTGTGCTTCCCCTGGGGGCGATCTGTTATGGTCCGCCCTTACTCAGGTTGTCCCGCCCTCCCATAATACTCTCTCTCCCACCTTCTTCCCATGTTATCCCTTTTCCCTGAGCATGGCTCTTGCTTTCGTGTTTCGTACGCCCAGTTCTCACTATGGTATTTGCGTCCTTTCCGAGGTATTGGTGAAAAAGGAATAGGAAATAAAAAGACTGAGGTATGTATTGTGAGATCGAAAGTAGCCTGTAAACTTAGATGTACTGGGACATCCAAAGGAAACCTATTGGTGGGTAACGGCACATTTTAAGTATCGTTAGTCATTGAACAGTAACAAAAAAAACATACATACATAAACAGCAGCGCGTCAAACATATCTCGTAGACTCACCATCACCGTATCCCTGCTTCATGACAACAGAGCACATAAAGACCTCGATGGGGCGCATGTCTTTCAATGGGACCTTGCCCTTGCCGGTGGTCTGGATCAATCCAAGAGCAGAGCGGAGCTCTTCCTCGGAAACGGCGCCAGGGGCGTCAATCTTATTTCCGAGGATCAAGAAGGGAACACGCTCCAATTGCTGAATAGCAAGCAGAGCCTAATGATTCGATAGTAAGATCGCGGAGGAACGACACAGGTTAAGTATTTGCTCGCATTGTTCACGTTTTCCCGTTACAACATCGTGTCCATCATTGAACTTACATCCAACTCGGCCTTGGACTCCAAGAAGCGCTCACGGTCCTGGCAATCCACCAAGAAGACAATTCCGTTGACCTCAGCAAAGTAATCCTTCCAGATGCGGCGGGCTATAAGGAATATGTACCATCAAATGAAAAATTGCTGTCAGTAATTAATTGATGGGCTAGGTGGTCTGGCATATTGTCAGCCCCAAGATGCATCATTTGATCCAGAGTCGTCATCATCAAACATGTTCTCAAAATCTGGCCTCCATTCCATACCTTGCTGATGGCCGCCCAAGTCGAATGTAGTGAACTTGACATTGGCGATGGAGAGCTCCTCGGATGCTAAAATACGCCAGCAGAAGAGGGGGTAAAAAATAAACATGGGGTGTCCATAAGTGCCAACGACAAGACCAATGTTGCAATATCACGATCCGGTTGAACAATTGCACATGCCAAGCAGTTTTTGCTCTCAATCGCTGTCCGAAGAGTGTGATATGAATGAAAACCCAGCAAACATCCAGATATGAATGAAAAAAATGAGCACTTCTTACTGGGGTGAAGAGTAGGCTGGAGCGTGGCCAAGCGATCGTTCTTCAACATATGAAGCAATGTGGTCTTTCCGGCGTTATCAAGACCAAGAAAGAGGATCTTGGCGTTCTTGTTGAACAGACCTAACCATCGTTACGAGATAAGACAGAGACGTATGCATCAACGTTAGCTAGCTATCCACGATCGCATTTACGAACACACCAGTAGAATTGGGATCCTCTCTGTCCATCTCACTCCTCGCGATATTGACTTTTCCAAGTGGTGCGTCCTATTACTACTCTCGCTCTCTTCAAGGTCATCCTACGATGTGTCTGGTGTCATCTATAGCATCCTGAATGGTGAATAAAAAATAGAGTCGAGTGATTGTCGCTGCGTAAGTTGTCGACGAGTGTAGTCGCTGAGAACATTGCTGTTCGGGCTGCCGGCCGACGTTTTGAGTTGACGCTTGAAAGTGAATTGTTTCTTTTGTCCACGTAATGGCATGTGAGTTGACTGTTGTAAAGGGGGTGTGAAGTTTGCAATGACAGTAGGTTGGATGCCATAGATAGAATGAAGCCCTTTTTTGGTGTGTGAAGTAGGTGGCTCGAAAGAGTAGGCTGACACTCACCCAAGCTGGAGAGGACGTCGCGGAACCATTCGACAATGAACATGGTGTATGTGTGTGTATGTGGTTGTGGGTGTGTAGGTGCAAAAGGTGGACAGGGGAAGAAGAAGAAGGGGGTGCAAAGACAAGTGGAGTCTTTGACCGCCACTATGGCAAGTATTACACGTGACTGTTGACTGCTTTCTGTCGCGTCCATTAGCTCAAATTTCGTGGCAAAACACACACAAACCTGCGAACCGTTGTCGTTTGTTGATTCTCTTCTTTTCCTCCGCACTCCAACTGTCGACCATCTCTCATCACTCATCCTCTTGACTCCTCACCCCTCCCACCTGTGCAAAAACAACAACAACAACAACAACAAAATTCATCCTTAATATTTCATCAGCGTGCTTGCTACTACAACGACAGCAGAAACAATAACGCTCCTTCCATCTGCATTGTCGACATGTCCGATAACGAGTCTGACAACTTTTCAATGTCGCAGGATGACAGCGACGGCTTCGAGCCAGACGCCCCCAAAATGGTACCGTCCTCTCGTTTATAACGAAAAAACTGCAAACCTGCAAAAGTCACTGTAACAAAGGCTGTGAATGTTTTTTTTTTTTTTCTTTATTATTATTTCGACCGCCGTTCCTGACTGACACTGGACTTTGCTTGTTCTACAGGCAGCCAAGTCAAAGGCCGCCTCTAAAAAGAGCGCTGGCGCTACCAGCAAACCAAAGACTGCAAAGACGACAGCTGCAAAGCCTGCAGCAGCCTCTAAAAAGCGTAAGCTCGACAGTCCATCTGACCGCGACGATGATGATACTCCTCCACCGCCACCAAAATCCTCCAAAAAGCACACCGACTACAACGAGAACAAAACCATCGAGGAGATCTACCAGCGCAAGACCCCTCTCGAGCACATTCTCTTGCGTCCTGACACCTACATTGGTACAACAGAGATGAACCAGCAGTCTCTTTGGGTTCTCGATCCAGACTCGACAAAGTTTGTAAACCGCCCTGTCAGTGTTGTTCCTGGTCTCTATAAGATTGTGGACGAGATTCTTGTCAACGCAGCAGATAACAAGGTATATATTTCATCTGCATCGCGATTCTTTGTGTGAACATTTGGAACATTATAATTACTTCATGCATATATTAGTTCGCGAATTAACAGCAAGCCCATTTTATACTTACGCGATAGATCCGTGACTCTACAATGGACACGATCAAGATCGAGATCGACAAGGAGAACGGAATGATCTCGGTTTACAACAACGGCAAAGGAATCCCAGTCGAGATGCACAAGGCGGAGAACTGTTACGTTCCCGAGCTTATTTTCGGTCACCTTTTGACGTCGTCCAACTACGACGACTCGCAAAAGAAGGTCACAGGAGGACGTAACGGATACGGAGCCAAGCTTTGCAACATCTTCAGTACAGAGTTCATTGTCGAGACCGCAGACAAGAGCAACAACCTTACCTACAAGCAGGTCTTCACAAAGAACATGTCGGTCACAGGAAAGCCAAAGATCGCGCAGATGAAGAAGAAGGAGGAGTTCACCAAGATCTCGTTCAAGCCCGACTTTGCCAGGTTCAATATGAACTCCATCGACGACGATCTGGAAGCCCTCCTCAAGAAGCGCGCGTACGATTTGGCTGGATGTGTCAAAGGCATCAAGGTTTTCCTCAACGGCGAGCGGATCAAGATCAGGAACTTCAAGGATTATGTCGAGATGTACATTCCAGAGGCATCCGAAAGCGATGACAAGGTCAAGCTGATATACGATACTCCTCACGATCGGTGGGAGGTTGCTTGCATTCCGAGTGAGGGTCAGTTCCAGCATGTCAGTTTCGTGAATGGTATCTGCACGTCCAAAGGAGGAGTCCACGTGGATTACGTCTCCAACATGATCGTCAAGGAGCTCGTCGATGTCGTCAAGAAGAAGTCAAAGTCTACCAACGTCAAGCCCTTTCACATCAAGAGTCACATGTGGGTGTTTGTGAACTGTCTGATCGAGAACCCGGCCTTCGACTCCCAAACCAAGGAGACTATGACCCTCAAGCAATCCGCTTTCGGCTCCAAGTTCGACCTGAGTGAAAAGTTCATCAAAGATGTCATCAAGTCGCCCATTGTCGAGGGTGTCATCAATTGGGCTGCTGTCAAGGACACCTTGGCTCTCAAGAAGACGGATGGATCTTCGAGCCGAAAACGCCTCGCAATCAACAAGCTGGAGGATGCTCACAGGGCCGGTCGATATGGCAAGGACTGTACCCTCATTCTGACAGAGGGAGACTCGGCCAAGACGCTGGTCATGGCTGGATTCAGTGTCATTGGACGTGACAACTTTGGTGTCTTCCCTCTCCGTGGAAAACTGCTGAACGTCCGTGATATGGCCTCAAGTGCCGTCGCCACCAACGCCGAGATCTCCAACATCAAGCAGATTCTTGGACTCAAGCAGGGCATGGTGTACAACAGCGCGCAGGATCTTCGATACGGCCATCTCATGATCATGACGGATCAGGATCATGACGGATCCCATATCAAGGGTCTTGTCATCAACTTTCTCGAGCATTACTTCCCTTCCCTCCTCAAGATCCCCGGTTTCTTGGTCGAGTTCATTACTCCCATCATCAAGGCTACCAAGGGAAGAGAAAAGAAGGCCTTCTATACGCTCCCGGAGTTTGAGGCTTGGAAGGAGTCGGAGGATGGTGCACGAGGCTGGAGGATCAAGTACTATAAGGGTCTGGGAACATCCACAAAGGAGGACGCCAAGGACTACTTTTCTCAGATGGACAAGCATAAGAAGGAGTTCTCTCCCATCACCGACGACGCACGAGCCCTGGTCGACATGGCGTTCAACAAGAAGAAGGCAGACGAGCGCAAGGAATGGCTGGCCAACTTTGAGGTTCGTTGCTTTCGATAAAATCATCGTGAGTGTAAGATGATTGTCTGTGTGATTTCGCTCGCTAACGTCTGTACATTTAACTTTGCTGCCTTAGCCTGGAACTTTCCTCGACACGCGCATCTCCAAGATTCCGATTGAGGACTTTATCAACAAAGAGCTAATTCTGTTCTCGCTCGCTGACAACGTCCGTTCGATTCCTTCTATGGTCGATGGTCTCAAGCCTGGTCAAAGAAAGGTCATCTTTGGAGCCTTCAAGAAAAAGATGGTCAACGAATTGAAGGTACGGTAGCTGGCGTTTCTTGGTTACTCTTTGTCGCTCAGAAATAATTGCATGTTACGTGTTGTTCATTACGAAACTCACCCTGCAACCGCTACTCTCATCTTTTAGGTCGCTCAATTGGCAGGATATGTGTCGGAAAAGTCTGCGTACCATCATGGTGAGCAGAGTTTGACCATGACGATTGTCGGTTTGGCACAGGATTACGTCGGAAGCAACAACGTCAACCTGTTGATGCCCAACGGACAGTTCGGTAGTAGAATGCAAGGAGGCAAGGATGCTGCCAGCGCTCGTTATATTTTCACCGCCCTTTCGCCTATCACCCGACGCGTTTTCCACCCTCACGATGACCCTCTTCTCAATTATCTCAACGATGATGGTGATTCGATCGAACCTCAATGGTACATCCCTGTGCTGCCCATGGTTCTGGTCAACGGATCTGAGGGTATCGGTACTGGCTGGAGTTCAAGCATTCCCAACTACAACCCCGAGGATATCATTGCCAACATCCGTCGCCTGATGAATGGGGAGGAGCAGGTCCCCCTAGTCCCTTGGTACCGTGGCTTTGTCGGAACCATCGAAAAGGAGAAAGAGCACCGCTACAGGGTGTCAGGAGCGTGTCACGAGTTGGACGACACGACTGTACAAATTACGGAGCTTCCTATCAAGACCTGGACCACTCCCTACAAGGAGCAGATCGACACCTGGATTGCTGGAAACGACAAGGCGCCGGCATGGATCAAGGACTATCGCGATGATGGAACGTTGTCAAGGATCGATCTGACCATCACCTTAACTGAGGATCAAATGCGCCGTGCCCGCCAAGAAGGCCTCGAGTCCAAGCTCAAGTTGACAACCACGGTGGCAACGTCGAACATGGTCTGCTTTGATCCCGAGGGCCGTATCAAGAAATACAACAGCACGGAGGAGATTGTTCAGGAGTTTTTTGACCTTCGTCTGCAGTTCTACAGACGCCGCAAGGTAAAACACAAATTTCTCCTCATCCTCTTTGATCAGGCTGTCCCTTAGGAAAGATGGCGTGAAGAGCTTATATTTACATTTTTTTTCTTTATAGGACTACCTCATCGATGTGTACACCAAGCAGTGGACGCGTCTTGATAACAAGGTCCGGTTTATTCTCATGATCATCTCGGGAGAACTCGTTGTCCAGAACCGCAAGAAGGCCATTATTGTCGAGGACATGCACACCAAGAACTTCGTCACCGTTGGCGAGTTGGATTTGGAGATCGACGTCGGGGAGGTTCCTGATGATGCTGTGAAGGTCAAGGTGGAGAGGGGAAACGAGTATGACTACTTGCTGAAGATGCCTATTTGGAACATGACTCACGAGAAGGTCGAAGAGTTGAAGAGGGAGCGTGATGCCAAGAACTCGGAGCTCAGGATTTTGATTGACAAGTCCGCTCACGATCTGTGGAACGAGGACCTGGAAGACTTCCTGGTTGCGTGGAACGAGCTCCTTCAGCGGGATATCGATGAGGCGAACTACATGGGCAGTGGAAACAAGAAGAAGGCGGGGGCGGCGAGTGCACGCGGCAGGATTCTTGCCAACAAGGTCGTGGTCAAGAAGATTAAGGATGAAGATGACTTTGAGGATACCAAGCCTCAACGGGCGGCACCCGTCAAGAAGGCGGCACCGGTAGTGAAGAAGGAGTCAGCGGCACCACGAGTCAAGTCTGAGATCAAGGAGGAGCCCAAGATCTCCAGCTTCTTCACCAAACCCTCGGCTTCATCCACCACAGCAGCAGCCCCAGCATCGACGTCGTCGGCACCCAAGAAGCAGCAGTCCATTATGGATATGATGAAGAAGAAGGAAAGCGACATCTCTTCGACGTCGTCATCGTTGAACGGAACAAGCAAGCCGTCATCAAGCAAGGAGACAAAGGCGAGTAACGGTCGCTCCAAGAAGATCATTACGGATTCTGACGAGGACGACGAGGATATCTTTGTTGCACCCCGTGGTGGAAAGAGGGGCAAGGGAAGTGATGATGATGACGACGATGTGGAGATGGAGGATTTGGAGGTTGCCCCGAGAGAGCGTTCGACTCGGGCCCCGCGTGCCGCTCGGGCCAAGAGGACCGTCATTGTTGACGAATACTCCTCGGCGGAAGACTCGGATGATCTTTTGCCAGTTGTCTCCAAGAAACCCAGCCGGAGCATTTCGTCCAGCCGCAAGCTTTCCAAGAGCTTCGAACCCGAGGAAGCGTACAAGGCTGAGGCGTCTGCAAAGTCTGATTTGAACGGTCTGGATGAAGACGACGATGAGCCAGTCAAGAGCAAGGCCAAGAGCAATGCTAAGGGCAAGTCATCGTCAACCTACAAGTCCAAGACTAGGACCATTATGTCGGATTCTGAGGATGGCGTCGATGAGGATATCTTTGCAGAATCTATGATTGTGGATAATGACGATGATGATGAGGACGACTATGAGCCTGAGGTCCAGAAGAAGAAGAAGGCTGCACCTGCCAAGGCACCCAAGCCCGAGAAGGCCAATCGGTCAGAAGATGTAGCCGCGAGTCTGACCGCGGCTGCCTCGGCGGCCAAGAAGATGTTTTCGTTGTCGGCGGGAGGCGACGAGGATGTCTCGATGGACGAGGTTAATGGAGATGGGGATGATGATGAGGACGAGGACGACTATTCGCCATCCAAGGGCAAGAAGCTGGTTCACGGATATGCTGGCAAGGCGTTCCCTCCTGTGCTGGTGGACGATGCGGACGAGGATCTGATGTTCAACATCACGGCGCCGTCTAAGGTCACGCAGGCCAAGAAGCGGGGGCCGGCTACCACTGGCCGATCGAGCAAGTCTGGAAGTCTGGCCACTGAAGACGGGGAGGGAGGTCTGGAGCAGCACCATTCAGCCGCGGCGTCTCCTGGCGCGAGCACGATAAAGACATCCTCTTCTGCAGCTGCTGCGGCGGCGAACCTGAAGAAGTACGGCAGTGGGGGAGGAAGTGGTGATGGCAGCAGCGGAGGTGGTGGTGGTGGAAGTTTGGGCAATGGACTTAAGCAGTCATCGTCGTCGAGTTCGTTGATATCGACATCTGCAACCTCTGCGACGTCGACGGGAGCAGTGGCGGGCAAAAAGATCCTGGACTCGCTGTCGTCCAAGCAACCGAGCAAGGTGCTGTCGTCGATAGGAAGTAATCTGTTCACGGATCTGGACGATGTCTCGCTGTTGGTCTCGCGCACTGCCCGTGAGCGTGCTACGGTCAAAAAGCCCAAGTATATCGACATTAGCGACGAAGACGACTAAAGCGAGTCTCTCCTCCTCCTTTTTACACACTTATTTTCGCTTACTTTGCTTTAACATACCACACACACAAAAAATTTAATACGTGCTTCACAAAAATAAATACAAATATATCGCTTTTTTATTCGAAATGGTCATGAAAAATGCTGCAGAGGTAAGGTATGGTTATGTCGTTAAATAAGAAAGACATCATTGCTGCTTATGCGTTCATGCTGCGCTTGGTCCAGTGGTAGTAGTACAGAAGCGCACAGGCAGGCTGTCCAAGGATAGTAAACGAGACCCAAAAGATCATGTTTCCAAGTCCTGAACCAGTTCCACGCCACTTCTCCAATGGAGCCGTCATGGCGATCAGAGGAATCTGGAAGAACATTCCTGCAAAGGCGTATCCGTAAATCATCTTTGTAGGGATACCAATCAGGACCTCGTGGAGGAGAGCCGAGATGGTGAAGATGACGACCGACGCTGTGTGGGCCGAGTGACCTGAGGTGATCATGGGCAGGTAGACGTGGCGTTTGAAGAACGTATAAACGGGCGAGTTCCAGGTCTTCCAGTACATGCCCACAGACGTAGCGTTCCACCAGGAGAGGTAGAAGCGGCGGTCGCCGAAATAGAGGACCTCGGCGAGGGCGTTGAAGAATGCGTGGAAGAAGGTGTAGAACATGAGGAGCCAGATGATGACGGATGTGGTTGAGAGTTTGAGGACACGTTCGAGGAGGCGACCAAAGGCCAGTTCGTCAAAAGCACGGACAGAGTTCTGGAGGGTTGGGGTGGCGTATTGTTCGACGAGGAAGTACATCATTCCGAGGCAGGTGACAATCTCGAGGACGCGCTTGAAGAAGAACGTGGGGCGGAAGACGGTCGAACGTGGGTAAGAGGGTTGGTAGCAGAGGGTAGGGGCGAGGTAGAAGTATCCAATGTTTCCCAGGGTGATGTTTCGAGGGTAGTGGACTTCATACTGATAAGCGCCTCCGAGTTTCTCAGCATCCTTCTTGACGGTGATGGTCTTGACGACAGTAGTAGTTGTGGTCAAGGTTGTGGTGGTGGTGGCGCCGTCAGAGGTAGTGTTGGTAGTTGAGGTGGTATCGTTATGGACCTTTGTCAGGTGGGGTGACGACTGTTCAGTCGCAGGGGTATCATGGATGTATGCATAGCGGAGATCCTGGTTAACGAGGGCAAAGGAGACCATCTTGAGGAAGAGGATCAAACTGGTCATCAGACAACCCATCGCCAGGAAGGGGTGCTGGATCACAAAGTACGACATGAACGACGGCCAACCGAGAATCAACGAGACGTTCGCAAAGTGGAGCCAGCCCACAATCTTTCGTTCCTCCTTGATCTGTTCCTCCAGTGTGAGGGCTTTCTTATCCTTCTTACTGCCTCGGACTCTGTCTCCTGCTGGGACCGCCTTCTTGTCCTCGTCGTCTTTGGTGGTAGGGTTCTCCTTTTGGTCAGCGAGACGCTTACGGAATCCATTGGCCTTGCGCGAAGCCCACTGTTCCAGCTGGTAGGCGATGATGACATGGAGGGGGAGGATTGCATGGGCCAGGCCGGCAAGGATCCAGTCCTGCTTTGATACGTTTGATCCAGGAATCGACAGCAAGAATCCGTACTTTTGATAGTTTTCGATAATCAGACGGATGTTGTTTCCGAACAGCAGCAGCACTAATTATTTGGCGATTGGAGGAGAAGTAAGATAAGCGTTAGCAAATGAATGAATGAATGAATTGATGCAGATAGGTAATGTGGACGATAAAGAACCCCCTTGTAAGAACAGAGGACAAAGCACAACAACCCACGACCAAGAGGAGAGGAAGAATAGAAATATCGCTTGGGCCACTTGGCCAATCACAAGGGAGACCTAGGGGGTCATGTCCTCTTGCCCCTCTTGCTGTTCTCTTTGTTGTGTTTGCGTGTCAACACTGTTGTCTTTGTTATCTCCGTCCGGTTCGTGCGCCCATGCCATTTTCATTAGTCCTAATTGTGTTTGTTCTTAAACGATGGTAGGTTGTTCTTGGCAGACTGGAATGGAGGTGTGTCCTGCTTTGTTTTGTTTGTTTTTTTTCATTTCCGGATCGGATCGTTTTCCTCTTTCCTTGCGTGCTTTTGCTCTGCCTTTGTTGCTCCTTCATCATGTTGTACACGTTCGGACAAACCCAGTGATCACACAAAACACCAATGAAAGAAGGAAGGAAAAAAAACTTACTGCCAAGGTTGACAAAGCCGCGGTAGCTCTCAGGGGGGGCCTCCTTAGACAACGGGCTGGGGAGGGACTTGGTGTGGACTGGGAACGTGTGGCGATAGGTCGATCTCTTCTTCTTTGATGACAACGACTTTACGTCCTCAACCTGTGGTGGCACAGCCGAGAGGATGTTAGTTGTGCTGTCATGACGCTTCTCGGTGCTGTCGCTGTGTGATGTTGTGATGGAGTCTCCTTGTGACATCCTGTTTTGCTTTTTTTGCTTGTGTGTTGGATGAGATGGTGTCTAGCATGAGAGAAGGGAATGAATGCAGGGAAGGTGGGTTAGCGATGCAACGAGAAAGTAGATGTTTGATGGATAGTGCGCTTTGTTCTCTTTTTCAATGCCTCTGTGAGTGAGAAAAGCGGGGTGAGTGCGCCTTTTCTCTTTCAGTTTCGTCTGTTTGTCACGGAGCGAACAAGCGTGAGCTGTATGCAGGAGTAGGTTGTTTTTACCTGCAGAAGTAAATCGAACGTGGATGAAGAGCAAAAAGGAGGGAAGGAGAGCGATTGTTGTTGGAGAATGAAAAGGGAGTTGCGGGCGTGAAGAAGAAGAAAGAAGGAAGTAAAAGAAGAAGGAGGTGAAGAAAGAGAAAACAGAAGGAAAAATAAAAAAAAAACGGCAAAGGACGAGATAGTGGAGTGCTTATGTACTCGTGGGCTTTTTTTCTCGTTCTGGATCTAGGCATATGAAAGAGCTACACGAGGATAAGGAAAATGACATGGTAGAAACCATTCATGCTGACCAACTCATTTACAACTCCTCCCTCCTCTTCCCCTTCAGCCTGCCTAAAGAATAGAAACCAGCTCAGCTTTCCCCTTTTTCCCTTCCAACCTATATTTCCTCCACGCTCAGACCTTTCTTTCTTTCTTTGTTATTCCTGGCCCTTATTTCCCCTATCATCCAATTCCGGTGGACACAGCAACAGCAGCAGTAAACTGGATGATGGACATGAGGACAAAAAAAGGGCTCTCAGGGGCATGTAAAAATAATAAAGAAGGCCGAAGGAAATCTGAGCATGTGGGAAAACACCATTTCATCGTCTAATCCAACCCCTTGTGAGAGCCAAAGGACAACGAGTCCGATCATCCTCTCTTTTTTTCTTCTTCCTGCTTCATGATGCCTTCCTTCTTTCTCGAGCGTTATTGAAAGGAAGGGTTTGAAATGCAATCTATGCACTTGTGTGGGTGAATGAAAAGAAGGCCAAAGAGGGCGTGTCAAGCAGGGCATGGAAAGGCATGCATGGGCGAAATTATATGGAACAAGAGACATAGGCGTGCATACCATGGTGCATAAATGTACAGTGGACGTGGTATCTTTTGGCTCATGTTTGAAGCAAAGGGTTGCTAATGCCTCGATTGTTTCCAGGGGTAAGCAAGAAAGAAAACGAAAAGCAAAGTTTCCTCGTTCATTTTCGATATTGTCTATTTTCTGGCAAGGAGGACAACAAAAAGCAAGCATGTGAGAGCACCAAAAGTCCGACAACCATTGGAATCATGTTTTCCCCTCCGCCTGTTTGCTCCCCCTTCTCCAGAACGTGATTCCAAGGCCCTCACAACGTTTATTCGTCGGGCTTACGCTGTCTTACGACTCCTTTTGACTCCTCCCCCCTCCTTTGCATGTGGGGGTGTTGGTGTTAGCCCAATGTCGTTATCGTCTGTGCCTCGCTCACTCGCACGTCCGTTCCTCGTGAAAAGAACACCAAGATAACCAAATGTTTCCAAGGACCATCACATCGCCCACTTTGTTTATGTTTTGCTTCTTGAATGTTCTTAATGCCTATCAACGTCCATACCCATCTGAAAGGCCGATGCGCACGCTACGTTACTTTGCAGTTTTTTATTTATTAAATTTTGCGCGTGCGCACGAACTAGAAACAAAAACCTATGACTATGGAACAAGACAAGTGGGAGGGGGCCAAAAAACAACACCAATGACTGAGCAATTGCGTACGCATGGAGTATGTGGAGGAAAATGGAGGGAAGTGAAGAAAGGAGAACAACAAGAAAGAATATTCGAGTAGTGTCTGCGCAAAGTCTCGGGACAGCGTATGCGTGTGTATGCATAGGAACCAACCCCGACAGTACAAGATTGGGGGAGAATTTGAGCAACTTAGTAGTATGTATAGTAGACGACTTAGTCGAGTACGAGCCAGCCGACGACATAGTTGGCAATGAAGATTCCAAGGAGGAGCAACATCTCGAGGGTTCCCAGGATCAGGTCAATCACACGACTCTCGATCAGCATCATCAGTCCTGCCCAGAACAACGCGATCGCCAGCTATTTCGGACGAGGGGAATGATGAAAAATTAAGGATATTAGCGTCAGCGTCTGGGGGATGGAAAAAAAAATTAGCGTCAATGGAACACTACTGCAACCAGAACAGAAGTGTTACGCGACTTACGTAGATCCATGCGAGAATCAGGACCGGCGTACCCGAGCCAAGACCTAGTTGGAGTAGTGATCGTGATTCGTTAGATGCCTCTTGGTCTTCTTTCACTTAACCATCATACCAATTGTCAATGTAAACAAGAACCAGCGTTATAAACCTTACCAAAAGTGTTGAGGGTGACGACGAGGAAGAGCATCAAGGTCAAGTCCCGAATGAGCTTGTAGGTCCGATCGATTCTATCCCTCTGCATGACCACAGACGTGTAAAATAAAAGGGGTTGACGTTGATGCGCGTCAGAGTGTCGTGCCATGCCATCATTACATTCTCACCTATCACTAAGAACAACTGAAACACAATAGAGTAGCACTTACGACATCATCAACAGCACGCGAAAAGAATCCACCATGTCGACCGGCACCTCCGTGGTGGCCGCTAACGCCAGTGGTAGCAGTACCATTACCGGCAACTTCGCGGTGGCCGCTAACGCCAGTGGTAGCAGTACCGTTACCAGCGCCTCCGCCAGGCATCGGGGTCAACCCATCCTGGACATCGTAGGGTCCCTGTTCGGCACTTACCGGGGCGTTGGTCGCGGCCACTCGCTCGCCTCTCGGGGCGTTAAAGACTCGTGTCGACCTGAACGCCTGCCTAGCCACACTGAATGATTGAAATGCACAGGAAAAGGAGAGTGGAGAGGTAAATATGCCCCTCTGGGTAGTACAAAATAAATGACGGAGGAAAACTTAGCACACGCCTGTAGTCAAAACACAAAGGACAGGAAAGGCATCGCTACTGAGAAGAAAAGTGACTTACAAGAGCATAGCCCAAATGATCCAGAGGACGGAGACAGCGATCCAGGTATCGCGGACCGAGCGGCGTCCGAGGAAGGCGGCTGTGTTACCGATGGTATCGCCATAGCCAGGGAGTGGACCCCCGTCTTGGCCGATGAAGTAACCGCCTGGGCCTCTGGGAGTGAAGTTGGTTGCTGGGGAAGGTGTCATTTTTGGGTTATTTTTGTCAGTGTGTTTGTTTAAGTGTGTTAGATTGTGAAGTGTAGATGGAGGATGGAGGATGGAGGATGGAGTTGTTAGGGTGTGTGTCTGTGTGCTGAAAGGAAGCGGAAGGAACTGTTGAGAGAAAAGAGTGGAGGGAAGAAGACGAAGGAGAAGAATGGCGACTGCGTGAAAATAAATAGTCACCAAAGAAACACAGCTAGAATATGGCATGTCATAGCCTCTGATGGACATGATGGAGCAGCGGTCAATCTTGGTGCTGGGAGGACAAGCGGTATGGTATTCAGGATCAGTAGCCAGTCGCATCACTCAGACGCGTATCACTTCACTGACCAGGATCAGTTCTTTCGGGTCAGCCGCCTTGTTTTTGGTTCAACCGACATGGTCCTTGGTTCTAGTCATTCTTTGTTGTTTTATTCATTTTAGCTTGCTTTGCTTTCTTGGAGTATTCAGCATCTATACTCCTCCTTCTTCTTCTAATCCATCGCTCAGTGCCTGATTCTCTTGGACCGTCGCAACGGGGCCTCATCTTCATCTTCCTCCTCCTCTTCCTCCTCTTCCTCCTCTTCATTCTCATCCTCATCTTCTTTCTCTTCTTCATCCTCAACAACCGTGTACGCGTACGACACCTTGCCCCGCGATCGCAGTGTTCGTCCTCCCACAACCGCCGACGCAGCCTATCATACAAAAAAACACAACATACCCCCTACAATTAGTATCATATCGCTAAAACAACTCGAGCCCCATCAAAAATCCTACAAAAAATGAACCCGTTCACTCACCTGCTGGCGCGGCTTGCGTTGACGGCTACGGCGATCATGGTTATCGCCATCGTCCTCTTCGTCCTGCCGACCATCGTCTTCGCCCTTGTCATCACCCGCATCCTCTCCTTCGTCGTCGTCATGGTCTTGCTCCTCCTCTTCCTCCTCGCCTTCATCGTCATCCTCATGGTCATGGTCTTCACCATCGTCCGCATCGTGGTCCTTCTCCCGACGTCCGTCCAGATCTTCCTCGTCTTCATCATTCTCATCGGCATCATAGACAACATTGGCGACTAGGCGGGTACAGGCATCGACCCACGCATGGAGGGCTCCAAAGGTCTTGACGTCCTTCAGCATTGTGTCAACGTGATGGTTCTTGAGCCAATTCAATAGACCTGCGTTCACCGGGACACTAATCGAGAACAGAGGCGTTTCCTTTTCCGCAGTCGTTGTCGTAGTTGTAGGCGACGCCTTGGGTTCGTCCTGTTCCATTGATGCATCCTTCGCGCCTTCCTTCAGCTCTGGAGAATCGGTCTTCTCACCTTCCTCCTGACCCTCACCTCCCTGCATATCTTCCTCGGCAAATTCGGGCTCGTCCATAGCCTCCAAGCAGTCCTCCAGAACCTTGACAGTGGCCAGAACTTGGTTATCTTGACCGCCATCCATGGTCGACTGGAACTCCCGGACAGCATTCAAAATGGCATCCTTGTCGCCATCACAGATCGCGCCTGACAGTTCCCGGACCTTCTCCTCCGCGATCCGGACAACATTCTCAAAGTATTCTGTCGATGTAAGGCTAGAGTCCGAGGAGGCGACTAAAGTCAGGAACCCATTCTTCGCGGCATCTTCAGCTTCCTCCTTGTCATCCTGCTCCTTGTGCTCGTCCCCGGTGGTCTCATGGTCGTCTTCGTCCGAGTGATCCTCTGCCATGTCGACATCCATGTGGGACGACTCGTCAGCCGATCCGACACCTCCATCCACCTCCATGACCTTGTCTTCATCACCAGCAGTAGCGAGGTCGTGTTCGTGTTGAGTGGCTGCAATGTCGGCCAGCTCCTGTCGACTCTTCCTGCCGCGCTTCTTCAACAATAGCTGGAAGTCCTGCTCACTCAACGGTTGACCGACGGCGCCGAGGATTGAAACCAATTGCTCCTTCTTGCCAGCATACTCTCGTCCAGCCCAGGTCTTGATCAAATCGAAGCTGGCCTCAATCTGCTTGCGCATCGTCATCAGAGAGGCCTTCAGGACACGTTCGCGGAGACCCTTTCCGTTCAGGGCGCGAGTCAGGGATGCGAGCTCCTTGCTGGTCGAGATCAAGCTCCAGGTCTGGATAGGTCCATAGTCAAGGATGTCCTTTTCAGGGAGAGCCTTGAGCGATTCCGAGATTGTTTGGCCAAAGGTGGATGGGCTTGTTACCTCGGGTGTGTGGTTACCAGTCAAGAGATTGTCGATCGACATGGCGTCCTTGGTGGATCGGAACTTTTCGCCGGCGAGATCAGGCTCGGCCATGGTCTTCATGAGCTGGGTGACATCGTGCAACGAGGTATCTTCTACGGTGGTATCGTGTTTGGTCTCCGCATCATCAGCGGTCGCTCCTGCATCTTGTCCTTCTGAGGCGGTTGTCGCGGGTGTCGCTGTTTCTGTCGGTGTTGATGTTGAGGTCGAGGCGTTGCTCAAATCGGGCCCAACTTGCTCGCGGTCCTCAATGATGACGCCACCAAACTCCTTCCAGAACCAGTACTTGCGACCCCATCGATCGCTTCCAAGACAAACGACGCGCAAGTTCTCGTCCCCGTTGACAGGATTGCCTCCGCGCAACTGTGTCAGAGGCACATTGTGGTCCTTTTGTATCTCCGTGTCATCCAGCACAATATTATCGAGTTCTTCCTTCTTGGTCTCCCAAAGCGACTCCTTGGCCTTGAGGTCTTGTGCAAGCGCCTTCTGCTGATTGAGAAGGTCGTTGGCTTTGTTGCGTGCGTCCTTGGCTTGAGCCAGACGCTGCTGTCGCGACAACGTCCGCCCACCTTCGTTCTCTTCCTCGACTGGTCCACCCTCACGCTCTGAGTTCAAGATTTCCTGTCGTTGCTTCTCCAGCTCAGCCGCCTCATGCTCAATGGCCTTCATTTCCCGCTCCAAATCGTGCGCCAGAGTCTCGATCTCCTTGCGGGCTTCGGTGCGTTTCCTCTTGTGTCGCTTCAAAGAGGTGATGTTCTCCTCAACTTCATCCCTCATAAACCGATGGAAACGGGGAGAGGATGTGATGTCGTGCAGGGCCTTAACCAGGGCCTCGATCCGGTCGGCAACGGTGTAGACAGAATACTCGATCGCACCAAGACGGTTCATAGGAGGGATCCTTTTCTTGGAGGCTGTCGTCAATGCCCATTTGTTCTTCTTGATGTCCTTTCGTTCCTTGCGAGCCACTACCGCCTCTGGACCAGCGGCGAGAAAGTAGGGAAAGTTGAACTGGGTGATCTCGGGTGACTCATCCTCCTCGTAGGCTGCCATGACCATCTTACAGCTGAGATCAACAAGACGGCTGTCGATCCTGGGGCTCCTGATCATAGACAGTAGAAGGTCTATAATGCGCAATAAACATGGATGTAAATAAATATGTTATCCAGACTGTGCTTGAAACAGCATATGTAGCTTTGAAAAAACCTTGTGGCGGATCACTTACCAAATTTGATCCATTCGCCAGAATCCTTAGTCAATCCCAGAGGTGTGCCAAATGTGTTCAAGAACTCGTGAACCATCTTGACATCTGCCAGCATGTCCATGTCCAGCTCTGGATGGTGCAGATCCAATTTGTTGAGAGTAGGCAGTTTGGAGCTCCTCAAAAGCAATCCGCTCATGAGATCCTCGTACGGCGCGCGTCCCGTCAGCTTTGGAAGCTCCTTCATAAACCCTCCAACACGCCTATCATCCACCGAAACCGCCATGTTGACATAGTTTCCTGCCTTGGAGGGATCTAGCACGTCGAACGACAAACACGATTGCTTGAATCCCTAGAAAATGTTTAATAAATTGAAATCCGGTTAGAGCCATAGAGAGCCAACGCCTTGACGTCATATCCACCAAATGAAGAGCGATATTCCTTACCAATTTCGATGGCGATGACACAGTCATTGATGATTCTCCCCGATGGTCCTATGAAACAAAAAATATCGGGTCTAGTCAGCTATCACAACCAATTAGCGTTGCCATCACTGATGGTTAATGGTTTTATCGTCGCAGCCTTTTTTTTTATATGTTGTTTTTACCTCACTTATAGTATCGCCAGAAGTCTTGGCAATCGATTCCGCTTTCGACCTGTCAAAAAAGCTGAGAATCGATCGTTCAGGCTTGGCTCCCGAATTGGCCCCGCCGTCGCCATTGTCATTCTTCTTGGGCTTCTTCTGCTTGGGTTCCTTTGGTGGCTTGGGCTCTTTAATCTTCTTCTCCTTGGGCTCCTTTGGTGGTTTGGGCTCTTTGGGGATCTTGGTCTTCTTTTCTTTAGCAGCGTTGGCTCCAGTGGTGTCCTCATCTTCATCAGACTTTGCGGCTTTGGGCTTTCTACCTTTGCGCTTCAGGGGGATTTCGGAAAAGGTCCACCCTTGAGGGGGTGGAGGGTGAGGACCGGGAGTGGTGGCGTCAATGGGCGAAGCAGCTGGAAAGTGCCCCTGTGGAGGGTGACGCTGATAACGCGGCGGGTGTGCAGATTGAGGGTGAGGGTGAGGGTAAGGGGCGCGATCGACATCCATTCTCTCGTCGCCTCGACGACCATAGTCCAGGCCATAGCTTCCCATTGGTGGATGGTCGCGGTGGAAGCGAGGGTCGTTCCATTGACTAATGTGAACAGGCAAAGGTCCCGAGGGAGGTCCAGTGGCTAAATGACTGCCTGGAGGAGGAGGAAGATTTCTATCATAACGAGGATCGATTGGATTGGCGGGACCTGGATGATATTGTCGTACGGGTGGTGGATGGGGGGGAGGGTGGCTGCTGTAGGCGCCAGAATTGCTACTGGAGCCTGTGAGCCAAGAAGAGAGGAGAGAACTACCCTTGGGACGGGGTTGTGAATGTGGAGCCTGATGAGGGTTGGGGTGGTGCTGTGGGTCTGTGGGTTGCATCTGTGAAGTAGGGCGAAAGTATGAAGGGTTGGTATTGGTGGCGGTGGGTGGGTGCTGCTGTTGTTGTTGGTGTTGTTTTGGTACGGGAGTGTTAGGGTTTAGCGTGTCCATGGGCACGGTCATGGTTGTTTATTCAGCAGTGAGGGATCGGACAGGGATGCAATGGCGAGCACACTAGGTTAAAGGAAGATGTCGTGGGTGTTGTGTTGAGGAAGGAAACAAACAAAACTGGGTGTTCACTTTTTCATGTTTTTGAGGATTCGCGGTTCATAAATAGAGTCACGTGGAATGCATGCAATTAGGGATCTGTAGACACGCGTTTTCACCTCTCCTTTCTCTCTCTAATTGACCATCGCCATCTCGGAGTGGCTTGGGCACTCAAAAAATGCCGGCCGTCAGTTGAGCTGCCTCCTTCAAGTTTCCCGCTCTGGCTGTTCAAACTTTCACACACATAAAAACTCAACCATGCTGTCAACCTTAGGATTGCGTGCCTCCGTAGTTGGAGCAGGTATATACATACACAATGCCCTCGATCGACCTATACAGCATCACCTGTTGGGACCATGAGCATCAACACCATACCGACAAACCTGATCAGGGATCGAGGATAAGATCAGGCCGGGACAAGACAGTTTCACTCGTGATGACCTACACTCCGTGAAAACGCGCCCGTCGTCAGGAGAAATGTCCGAGTCCTCAAATCACTCACTCACAACTTATTCCGCAATCCTACCCTCCACCCGTAGCTGCCCGTGCTACTCTCAAGCCCGCTGCCGCACAGCAGATTCGCCACTTTGGCCTGATCTCCGAGAAGGACGAGCAAGGTAAGGGACAGGAGGAATGCAAGATTTCCGGAATGGACATTTTCCGAGGGTCCCTATACTACGTCGGTACAAACACGCCTAACAAACTTGTCTCTTTTTTCTTTGGTGCTACCCTCCTATATTAGCCAATGCTCCCGTTCAGAGCCGCGCCATGTCGACTGCCGTTGCAAAGTCATACCCCGGACCTATCAGCCAGCCCGCCAACGCCGTCGGTACGATAAAAATTCACCCCTTCTTCCAGTACACCTCAGTCGCTTCACCGGCAAGCAACTACAACAATACCTAGTCAGGAAACTTAGTCTTCCGACCATTGGGCACGATGATCAACATTTCCTAACCCCCTTTCACTTTCAATCCTCGTAGAGTACGCATTGTCGACTGTCGATAAGATTATTAACTGGGGTCGTGAGGGTTCGATCTGGCCCATGACTTTCGGTCTCGCCTGCTGTGCCGTCGAGATGATGCACATGGCTGCTGGACGTTACGATCAGGATCGTCTCGGAATTGTCTTCCGTGCTTCGCCCCGTCAGTCCGATGTCATGATCGTTGCCGGTACCTTGACTAACAAGATGGCTCCTGCCCTCCGCAAGGTCTACGATCAGGTAAAGGAGCAGGATTCAGGAGCCTTTTTTCAACATTATTGCAGGCATCCATGACAAAGGAAATATTGACAGATTGCAACATGACTGACAATTATTGATTTAATATATGATCACAATGTGATGTTTAGATGCCCGAGCCTCGCTGGGTCATTTCTATGGGATCGTGCGCTAACGGAGGAGGGTACTACCACTACTCTTACTCGGTTGTCCGTGGATGCGATCGCATCGTCCCCGTCGATATCTACGTTCCTGGATGCCCACCGACATCTGAGGTAACCTACACGGAGCATTGCATGCATTTCAGGAATACTCGCTGCATTCGGTCTCAATGCGAAGGATCTTTAAAGCATAGGCACTAACTTCAATTCTTCATGATACTTCATTTCAATATAGGCTTTGTTGTACGGAGTGCTCCAGCTCCAGAAGAAGATGCGCAGGAGCCGTGTCACTACCATGTGGTACAGAAAGTAAACACAATAACACGACGATTCGCCATACCTATATACAAGTTTTAGCAGCAACCCCCCTCTCCCCCCCTTTCCCCTATCTTTTCCATTTCTTCTTCTCTCTACTCCAACGAACACCACCAAACAATAGAATATTTTCACTTTATTCATGTGTTTATCGGAATCTATGTCTAGTTTTGTTGGTATGTGTCATTTTTTTAATCGAGTGGATCTGAAAGCTATTAAGCGTAAGTGGAGGGGGGAGATAAAAGTCTATGGGTACAGGGTACAAGGTGCATTTGTGCGGTCGGGGGAGAGAAAAGGTAGTGTTGTCTATGTGAGTTGAGTGTATCTATTGACATGCTGGGGAGTTGACAAAAAATGCAATGCTAAATAAATGGGATAAGGAAGGGAAATAGGTAAAGGGAGTAAAGTCATCAGAGTATGAATGCCAAAAAAAAAGGGAGGGGGGGGAGAGGGCGCCCAGGCTTAGTAAAGGGCTTCGTTGCTGGCGGTAGAGGGGAGAGGGAGAGAGAGCGACCTCATGTCGTCGGAATCATGGATGATGCTGACCGATCGGACAAAGTCAAAGATCACAAAGTTAAGAGCGCCTCCAGGAACCGCCAAGATGGCTCTGGGCTTAGTGCCCGAGAAGAACTTCATGAACCCTTCCTTCTTCCAGATCTCCATAAAGACGTCTATCCATTTAAGTGACGGCAGGGGTAACTTGACGCCGGTGCCATTGGTGGGCTGAAGTCGCTGCTCGGTTTGGATACGGGTTTTGACCATGTCGCTCGGGGACGAGATCATGACTCCTGCAAGTGAGGCGCAACATCCTGCGAGGGCTGAGATGATCAATTGATGGAGCTCTGGTGGAGGGAAGGGCGTCTCCTTGTCCTTATTGAAATCCATGGTCCGCATATAGTTGATCCCGTCCTTGACCCAGACCCTGGAGTATTCATATGCAGGGAAGTAGGCCGCAAAGAAGGGGATTGTCGACATCAGTGTTGCACAATATCCCCGGAATAAAAACCGGAACCCTTCCTGTTTGAACTGTAGCTTGAGTGATTCAGAGATGGGCATGGGTTGTGGTGGTTGGAGAGGTTCAAAGGACCCTGCGACGTAGATGGGGAGTTTTGATTTGACTGCTGTTGAAGAGGGTGAGGGTGTTGTGGGTGTTAATGGTGGTGCCACCGATGCGGCTGTTGTTGGTAGTGCTGCTGCGCTGGCTAAGCTGCCGTCGGCTCCAGCCTTGGCAATTGTGATCTGTTGGGAGACCTAGAGAAAGATTGCATCGGTTGAAAGTAGAGTGCATATAAAATTAGCAAAGCAATTGAGATAAAAATATGAAAATATGTATCGATGATGACACGAGGACTCTGAGTTTTCCCACCCGAGCAAAGGAAGAGAAGGAAGAATTAAAATATGCGCAGGCTTTTGAGGCACGGGCATTCATTGCGGCTAAGCTGTTCCCTCCCTTTCGTAATTGCCAAAATGGTTGGTAATATGTTGTGTCCTCTCCCCTCTCTCCTTCCCTCCTTCCGCATTCGTCCTTCCGTTGCGAAAGATGTATCTTAGCAGCAACACCCAAGAAGAAAAGAAACGGGATGATCAAAGGAACCCTAAAAAAATGCCCTCTTGACCCTGCCTCGTTCCGTTTCTGAGCAATTGAAAGCATCCAAAGAGTCATAATAGAAACATATCTCCCCCCTCATTCTCCCAGCCCGTGCATTGCCCTGTTTCTTATTTACCATGTCAAAAGGTACTACAAAGAAAGTAGTGATCACGGCGGAGAAAGTGCCAAGGACTCCACTCAGGACACTGGGGCTCTTCAGAACCTCAATCTCAAAGTAGTCGTTCTCCTTGGTCTTCTGTGACAAAAAGTCGTACGTCGCAAACTGAAGGATCTTTGTCGTAGTGAGACCGAGACTGAAAACGGTGGCACCGGCAAAGAGGGCTCGAGTTCCGTTTTTTTGTTGGACGTCCCTGATGACTTTAAAGATGGAGGACGAGACCGGAACGGAGGACTTGCGTTGCTGGAGGAGACGGACGGTCCTCATGGGGTACATGAGCAGGATGGGAGGGACATTGAGAATTGTGCCGTAGAAGTAGTACTTTTGGAAGTCGATTTTTGACCTGTTAAGGTCTGCTGGTGGCATGGTTGTTGTGATGAGTTTTGTTGGAAGTTGGTCGTTGGAGTCGGAGCGAAGGTGAGGAAGGAGAGTGTTGTGTGCTGTTCGTTGATGCTGTTGGGAGGGAATGGGCCGGGAAGTGAAGGCGGTCAGGAGTGGTGGTCCTACAAGTTGTATAAGTGAGATGTGTGAAGAAGCGGAGAGAAGAGAGAGGGAAAGGAAAGGGAATGCAACGAAGAAGAAGGTGTTGATCGGGTGCGAAGTAGGAAACGTCCACCTCTCAAGGCAGGGCAGGGTGTGAGGCTCCACTTTCTACACTCATACAATGATAAAACGACTCTGATCAATTCAATTCAGGAACGAGGAGCACCCCTTAAAGTTCAATGGCGCCTGTCGTTCTTCACACTCAGAAGGCTGTCTCTCTTACTTCCTCTTCGCGTTCGCCTCTTTCTTAATCTTTGCATGCAACACGCCCAGCTAAACCTAGTCCAACGCCATCATCTTTCAACTCCTCATCCTTAAAAGAGCACGACATCAAGGAACACTCGGACACACGGACACACAACATGGCATCTACAGTCCGACAGACCCACCATCGCATCCTTGACTGGGATGCGATAGCACCCCTCACAGAGTTGCAACGACAAGGCGTGCAAGAGCTCAAGGACGCCTGCTCAGAACTGCCCCTCCCTGCGAATGCAAGTAGATATACATACCTCTGCAGTTGCGTATATGCTCCATTCTTCTAAAGCGACAGCAATCGAAAGGGAATCAACTCATTCTTGCTGACATTCTTTCTTTGTCTCCATGAATAGTTGGCTGCCGAGGCTGGAGCCTTCGCGCTCGGAAGGAATAGCGCTTCATCAACAGACTTGTCCTCGCTAGCCAACGCTACTCCTACAGGAACCAAACAGTCAGTACTTCTCTCAGCACCTTCACCTTCACAGCTTTCAAATCTCCTTTCACCCCGATCATATACTGGCAAGGAAGCTGGCACCCTCCCCAGGTCGAGACTTGGAAGTGTCGCCAACATTGAGGGCATCCAAGTAGACGACCAGGATGCAGAGCAAATGGCACCTATCGAAACGACTCAGCAGTTCTTGGATTGGTTCTCGGGAATTGAAGGAAAGATGGAACGGGACCAGGAAGACGTTTACAGGTATGCTTGCTGTTGCAACACCTCTTTTAATTCCCAGGGTAATGCACGTGCGTGTACCAACTGCCCATTGTACCAATTCAACTTTGTCTAGAAACTACCTGGCCGTTGTGGTAATGTACAAGGAGGCGTGTCAGGGATTCTTGACGCAGATCGACGAGACTTCGGAGTGCTTCAAGAGCCTGGAAGGTCATTATGAGTTCGTAGAGGAAAAGACAAGGGCCCTTCAGCTGGCGTGTGAAAAATTGCTTCAGGAGCAGGTATGGAAACAAACGCTCTATGATGACATGGCTGCAACACAAGGATTCTGGGTTAGCCATGTATTAACAGAATGCTCTTTGCCTTGCTCAAACGTTATAGACCAATCTTCAAACGCTTGCGGATCTAATGGCGTCCAAGCTTTCATATTTTCATCAGTTGGAGGCAGTTACAAAGTTGTTCAATGCACCAGGCGACGACGTCTGCCTGCGCCCAGAGTTTGCACCAATGTTGAACAAGTTGGACGAGTGCCTGGACTATGTTGAACAAAACGTAAGCTGGAACATCTATACGGACAAAACTACTCAAGGGAGAACTACAGATCTTCAGGACATGAACTGACTAACCGTTCATCGACGAACTTTTACATGTCAACTATAGCTCAAGTACAAGGACTCGGAGTTATATCAGATGAGGTTTCGGCAATGTATGACTCGTGGAATGACGCTGATCAAGATGCACCTTATCACGAAGTTGCGTGCCCTAAGCGCCGAAGTCATGTCCAAGAAGCCCGTACTTGCAAAAGGAGAATCGATAAAACCAGCAATGGCCACAGCCCTGTTCTACGTCAAATTCAGGACTATCGCACCACCCTTGCGTTCATTGGTCGCCGAACTCGAAAAGAGATGTGTCTCGCACAGGGAGTAAGTTTATTCGTCAAAGATGCCACCACGGAATGCCAGAAGCAACGTAGAATGGACGGCAATCGTTTCTAACCCTATTGCGCATTATTTTTTTGACCAACAGGTACAACTCTTTGTTGAACGACTGCTACAACTGCTATTTCTCTGTTCGTCAACAACACCTTGCCCCAATGATTGTCTCAAAGATTCAGGAGATGGGACCAAGCCAACAGGACAAGCTGAAGTTTGTATGTTCTGGAACCAATATGGAATCTAAAGACAGTGCCATTTGATCGATGCGGGTGAAATTGAAGCTGACAACAAAGCTCTTTACGTTTTGTTAGGCTCGGAGCGGACTTGCATACTTGACATCTGTCTGCATGGAAGAGTACTCGCTCTTTTACAACTTCTTCAACACTGGCGAAAGCGAGCTCTAGTAAGTACCTGGCTTGCAAGTTAGATCTTTGTCAAAGTAGGCGAGACAGTAGTTGACGATGACCTAGAACTAACAATAACATACCATCATATTGCATAGTGGGTACTTAGACACGCTTATTGGATATCTTTACGACTACCTGCGCCCCAGGATCATCCACGAGAACAAGATCGATATTCTTTCAGAGCTTTGCGTTGTCATGAACATCCAACAGTCTGACATCCCTAGTATGTTCTCGTCCGTCGTTGCAGTCTCGAAAGCGAACGAGCACGACTGGATCGCAAGTGTGTACTGACCCGTGTAACTGCTTTTCCTGTGATAAAAATAGTCGACGAAAACTCTCGCCTTGCGTTCGGATACTTGATCCGCAATATGCTCCAGGATGCCCAACATCGCCTCGTCTACAGGGCGCAGGCGTTCATTCGAGCTGAGATTCAAAATTTCAAGCCAACTCCCAACATATTGGACTACCCTGCACGTCTCAAAGGTAACCTTTTGACCACTCTGAATGCAATTGCGAGTCATCTTCATTCTAGTTTTACCAGTACTGACGCGAATTTCGAATTGGCATTTTGCAGCTGCACCACCACTTCCACCAGGCTCAGAAACACCCACGAGGATTGCATCTTCACCACACGCTCATAGACCCTCAGACGTCGAGAGCATTGCCGAGTCTATATCAGAGGTTTCCTCACCCACCCCATCCTTGGCTGGAAGCTTCACCGGCGGTTACTTTTCCTCACCCACACTTCAACAGTTCAACGAATCGGCAGAGATGTATCAAGGATGGTATCCTACTTTGCAAAGGACACTTTGGCTTCTAACCAAGATTTACAAATGTGTCGATCAGTCCATCTTCGACGACCTCTCTCAGGAAGTTCTTTCCACGTGCCTAGCCTCCCTCACCCAGGCCTCTGCGACCATCAAGGAGACCAAGGAAGTTGTGGACGGACACTTGTTCTTGATCAAACATCTTCTCATCCTCAAGGAACAGATCGCGCCCTTTGAGGGCAACTTTGTGCATTCGAGCAAGGAGGTTGACTTTTCGAGGATGACAGACGCCATCACCACCCTATTCCGCGATCGAACCAACCTGCTTAGTTTCGGATCCTGGTTCGGTGCTGTTTCACAGACGATTACGCCTACGTTGATCGACAGTCACTTGGACGCACGACAGGAGATTGACCGAGACTTGAAGTTGGTTTGTGAGACGTTTATCTTGGAGATGGGCAAGGCCGCAGTGCACTCGTTGACAGAGTTCATGAACAAGGTTGCTGGGTTCAGGATCCGTGCCGATGTTGAGGCAGCTCAGAGGGAACGGGACCCTTCGGCTGGAGCAGGCATCATGAGGAGACCCCCGATGTTGCTGAAGGACAAGCCGTTTGCGAGACCTGAGGAGCTGCAGAGGATCATGGTTGCTTTCAAGGACAGTGTGCCTCCATGGATTCAATGGACTGTCAGGAAGCTGTCGACCTACTTGAATGACCCTAACACCGAGATGATTTTGATGCGTCCTATCCAGGTGAGTCTGCCGTCCTTATGCAGTTGAAGAGATATCTTTATAATTTATGGAGATTATTAACATCGCGTTGTGTTTGCTCTCAAAATTATGTAGTCGTTCATTATCGAGTCGTACCAATCGTTCTATGACACGATCCTGTACGAGTACGATCCAGCATTGACGTTGAAGGCATCGCAGGCGGGACACCGCAAGATCCAGCATGCAGGCATGAAGGACTTGGACCCCGTTGAGAACATTGTCAGTTGGGTCAGCGGCCTTGTTCGCTCCGAGCTCAAGAAGAACAACCCCGATTTTGTCATCGACGCCTAGAGAGATAGCCCTCGTTCATAGCCAATGAAATCATTTAGACGCACGTGATCTAACTCTAGCCTCCATTAGCCCAAGGCCGCTCTTTTCCCCTTGTCTTCCCTTTTCCCCTTAGTCAACTTTGCTTTCTCTTATCTTGCACATACCCCTTCCACGGCCATTACACACTTCAACCCCTGTCAGCAGCTGTCATCTCATAAACATGGACAGCGTTGCTGAGACTGGATGGCTGAAGCCTGCAGAGGCTGACCCTTCAATGGAAGACTTGATGGACAACAGCCAGGTTTCTGACTTTTCAAGCAGTCTCCTTGCATCCTCCATGGCAGCAACAGATGGCATGGATGACCAGGACTACGACACCTTGGAGAACCTTGACAATACCAGAGACCCCTTTACCCCCAACAACCCTACTGGTAACACCGAGGGACATTCTATTGATGTAGAAGGCTGCCCTCATCGCAGCTTACGACCTTTATCGTCCCTTTCCCCCTCTTCCTCCTCTTCCTCTTCTACGACTTCTCAGCAACATTCCTTCACACCTGCAACATCGACGTCGACGGGGACACCCTTACAGCGACCATTCCCGACTGGAACCAACAATGCCAACAATGCTAATGGTAACGGGAACGGAGGCATTAGGCCGTGGATCCTGATATTGGTCTTCTCGGTCTTTCAGTTTCTCATAACATCACCCTCGCCCTCGAACGGCGTCAATGCCTCATCACACCAAGCAGGTTCCAATGCAGCAGCGGCAGGATCGAGCAACGGCGGGAGCGGCAATAGTGCCCAGGGAGGGCAGCGAGCAGGTGGCAGTGCAGGACTTTACAATCAACAATACTTTCGCCAGCTGCCCCCCATAACCGATCCATCACAGGGACCAGGCAAAATCGTTACTGAGCGTATGACCGAGACTCGGAGACTGGCGCTCCGTGAGGACTCTAAAGAGATGTTTATGCACGGATACCACGGCTACCTCAACTTTGCGTTTCCCAAGGATGAGCTCAACCCCGTGGCATGTATCGGTCGGGGGCCAGACAAGCGGAACCCCAAGAATATCCATGTCAATGATGTTCTGGGCGATTTCTCGTTGACGCTGATCGATGCTCTTGATACTCTGGCGGCGATGCGGGAACCGGAGATGTTTCGACAAGCGATCGAGATGGTGAAGCGGCATGTGGGGAACTTCAACATTGACAGTCGAGTGCAGGTGTTTGAGGTCAACATCCGAGTCTTGGGCGCTCTGCTGTCGGGTCATTTATATGCTTCTGATCCGGCGTTCAAGAGTCAGGTCAAGGGTTATAAGGGCGAGCTGTTGGTGATGGCTGAGGACTTGGGCAAGCGGTTGATGAAAGCCTTTGAGAACTCACCGACGGGGATTCCTTATGCCAGAGTAAACTTGCGGAAAGGCGTCCTGCGTGGGGAGACAGGCGAGACATGCGTAGCAGGTGCAGGAAGTTTACTACTGGAATTCGGAGTCTTGAGTCGACTTACCGGCGATGGCTCGTATGAGGTACGAAGGGGGAAACGCTTAGCACCAAAACCTGTGTTTTGTTGTCAGTGCATGATTGGAAATCAAAAAATGCATTAGGCTGGTTTTTTTATGGCAGACTGACCGCTAACATTCTATTTCTTGATTATTTTTTTAGGCGGCGGCAAAGAAGGCACTTATGGAGCTGTGGAAGAGGAGATCCAAGATTGGCTTGATGGGCAACACAATCGATATGACGACTGGGAACTGGATGTCGATGATGACAGGAATCGGTGCTGGCACGGATTCCTATTATGAGTACCTCCTCAAGTCGTATGTTCTCTTTGGAGATGACGAGTATCTGGACATGTATGAGACCGCCCAGGAGTCGATCCGGAGGAACTTGTTGCATGATTCCAAATACTTTTATAAACATGTGCATCTGGAGGATGGAAGTCTCATGGCAACTTGGGTCGACAGTCTCTCGGCTTTTATGCCTGGAGTTCAGGTATCGTCCTTGTTTTTCTCGGTTTGTCCTTTTTGGCCCATAACATTGTGCCATGGCCTGTCTGTGAATCTTAACAGAGATTTTGTTATCGTGTTGTTTATAGGTGGTGGGAGGCGATCTGGAAAGCGCTATCAAGAACCATTTGTACTATTATAACATCTGGCGCAAGTATCAGGCGATCCCTGAGCGATTCAACTTTGTCTCTCAAAGCGTTGATATTGCCAACTATCCCTTGCGCCCAGAGTTTATCGAGTCCAACTACTTTCTCTACCGAGTAAGTTATTCGTCGAGTGTGCTTGTTTACTGCTCTAGATACATATGACGATTTTATTCGATAGTCTAACAAATGCATCCGCTTTTAATTTCATAGGCGACCAAAGACCCGTTCTACTTGCAGGTCGGCGAGATGATTCTGCGGGACCTTCAGGAGCTGACAAAGACAAAGTGCGGTTGGGCATCTCTCAAGAGCGTCGTCGACAGGAAGCTGGAAGACAGGATGGAGAGTTTTGCACTCTCAGAGACGTTCAAGTACCTATTCCTGCTCTTTGACGAGGAGAATATATTGCATCAGGAACTCAAGGATTCCAACTTTGTGTTCACGACTGAAGGACACGTCCTGGCGCTGGCGAACAAGTACTTGGATCTGTCGAGGAAAAACAGTACCGCCACCGTCACCGATGCGGGCGAGCATATTCATAACATTGGACATGATGACGATTGGTCGGCGGCGCGGCACGAGTACCCAAAGCACCAACCACAACAGCAAGTCATGGACAGCCGCCACCACCATAATTCAAAGCATCACCGGAACCAAGGTGGAAAGAAGGCGCGACGGTGGCCCATGTGCCAGGCGTACAAGGCACCAGAGACGTTCTTGAAGAGTATACCCTACCGACCGGACGCGGATTTTGCGAGACAGATGGTTGGTAACCGCGAAGACCCTCGAGATCTGGTGGAGCTGGACCCCAAAGGATACTGCGAGAGGCCGACATTGGAGATGGAGAGGGTCGTTGTGGAGTTTTCTGGACCGCCAAGGAAGACTGTCTATCGTGATGACCCTTCTACTACTGGATCTTCGGCGTCGGCGTCGGCGTCGTCGTCTTCGTCATCGACATCATCATCAGGCGCTCGTGGTGCTAGAGGTGAATCTGCGGAGGCTCAGAAGTTGAAGGAATTGATGGTGATTCCAGTCAAGAAGGGCGTGTTTGTGAATCGGATCGTGGGTGTCAAGATGCAGCTGCAGTATGATGAGACCTACAATGGATATCGTGCCGTCAAAGGTAAACCTTCATTTTCGTTGCTATGGTCTTCATGCTGCCTTGCTTTTTTGACGCGTAGAATATTGAATTACTGTGTTCTGAATTTATTTATTTTTTTGCCTGTTGTCCATTTGAAACAGTGGGAAGCCACCCGTTGAGCCTGAACTGCAACATATACGTTGACCATTCATCCATGCAGCCCCTCTGGGATTCGTACCAGCGCGCTCAGGACGCCCATCTCAGGGTCCAAAAGACCACCACTACTACAACAACCACATCCACAACAGGAACAACGGCGAACTCTGTCAATACTGCAAAGGTGGAAAAGGACTTTTTGGTCACCCCCGCAGATTTTGGGTACTGGCGTCCGAGTGTTGTCGACTACCGTGCCGACTCTACAGTTCCCCAAACCACCTACGAGACCATCCTCGTCGACCCCGACCTCATCACCAATACTCAGCATTCTCAACCATCTTCAGCAACACCGGGACTGGTCCGCATCAAGGAGAACGAAAAAGGATGCCGCCCCTTCACAACCTCCCATTCTACACAGATCCGGGATAACATCTTGGTTGTCGACAGAGGAGGATGTCTCTTCATCCTGAAGGCGTTCTATGCCCAGGCCGCTGGAGCACAGGGGATTGTGGTGATTAATTGGGATGATACGTCGTTTGCGATGACGGGGCCTAGTGCTGATGAAGTCGCTGCTACCACTGCCACACCTACTACTACAGAAGCGGGCTCAGCGGAGGCGAAGAAGGGGGCGACGCCGCAGATGGGTGAGGGGATCCCGGAGGACGCGATTGATATCCATTCGGTGATGATCAGTCGTTCTGAGGGATTAGTGTTGTTGGATTGGATCCGTGAAGCCGCCGAGGCCGAGACGCAGTCCAAGGACACTGATGCCGACGCGACCGACTCTTCTTCCTCTTCTTCTTCTTCTTCATCCAACGCCTCAGGATCAGGAACCGAAGGAACCACCACAACTACTACCACAATGAAGTTTACAGGACTGGTGGCGCGATTCGTACAGCGGAAACTGACAAAGGAGCAACTTGCCAATGCGCGGTTATCGTATAATAGTCTTCCGATTGTCAACATTCATTCCATCTCTGTCCCTATAGCCACCTTTGGATAGTGGGGAATACAATTACAAGTGCTCTTGTTTGGTTCTGAGTTTTTATTTCAAAGGGTATTCTTGTTTCGAATTTCTGGTATTTTTCTGAGGTGGCATGATTTTCAAAGCAAAAGAAGCAAGGGGAAGAAGGTGAGATAATGTACAATGTAGATATGGTAAATGCCAAGACTCAAGTCACTTTAGATGAAAAGAAAAAAAGGAAGAAAAAAAACGGGCTGAGACAGAGTAGCACGCTATGCACAGTGGAAGAAGCGCTCCTGGACGAGGGACGAGGATCCTGTCACGTTGGAGTACGATACCCCCCCCCCCCCTTCGCTGGAAGAGCTGCTGACTGACATTATTGTCCCTGTGTGATGACATTATTGTCCCTGTGTGAGCCTGCAGAAAAAATAAAACATCAAATAATGTCGCGTTTGGTATTGTCCGCATGCACATGGTTTGTGAACGAACAAGAAACGAGACAATAGGGCATTGCTGGCAAGAACAAAAAGGTGAGGAGGGAAGTGAGCGAAGCGAAGTGAAAAAGGCCTGATAAAAACAAACTCGCCAAGGCTTTGTATTCACACAGCGCACAAGACACTCTACCAGCGCATTACATATTCTATTCCTCAAGGAAATAAACTCTTTTATTTAAAAGAAGGGCCATTGTCGGATAAAACAATTGCGAGCGCCTATCATTCCAGACAAGCCATTAAACACTTCGCCCGTTCAATGGTGGCGTATTCGGAACTTATGACGCTGAGAGTGCGAGTTCGAGGTTCTGGACGCTGGAGTGGATTCGCTATGAAATATAGAATGAAAAGAACCTGCATAAGTAAATGAGCCATATACACAGAGCATACGAGAGAACAAGGAGAAGAAGGGCAAAAACTTACGACAAGACGTTGCTCCTGATGAAGGTCCTGTCCTGCAAATTCAATAATCTTGCTCAGAAGACGCACCACAAACTGCACATAGATCAACCCGATACCGCCTGTTCCAGACGCCATGGCTCCACCGCCTGCAAAAGTTGTCAATGACGTGATGGCTGCAGCTGCTCGCGCTGACGAGCTCATAGAAGAGAATAATGGAGCTGGCCCTTGCGACAATGCAGAAGTACCACTCGACGCGGACGAAGCACCAGGGCTCGGACTTGCCCTTGACGTCCCAAAAGCCGGGGAAAAGTTGGATCCGAAGCCAAAGCCGCCCGACATCCCCGAAGGCAGCGTTGGTGTCGGGATTGCCAGGGATGGACTGAACGCTGTCGGAGCGTGTCCACTTCCCAGCGTCTCCGCCATGGATTCACAGAGATCAAGACCAGTCTCGACCAGTACTGCCGCGAGAGACTCCTTGGCTGCCCACCGCTGAAGTGATAATGGGTCTATAGGCATTCGCTGTAGTTGGTGAAGGCCGCCTCGGGGAGGACGTTGGTGAGACGCCGGCTGATGAGGTTGATGGTATTGGTCAAAATGCTGATCGAAGGGGTGTGAGGTTGTCGACGTCGGAGCTCCAATATCCATGGAATCATCCTGATCACTCGAAGCTGCGCTGGCGCCATGAAAAACGCTCGAATCGTCATCGTCAAACATCTCTCCCTCGATCCCGAGGCCTTCTCCTCGATTCTGTTCCTCCTCCCTCATCTCCATGACACATTGCAACAGCCGACTGAAATTCTCAAAGAGCTCCATCGTCTTCAAGAATACACCTCGGCTCACTCCTGAAGGATGGTGCTGCCTCTGAACGTCTGCCAAGTCCGTGCTTTGTTGCATGCTTGGAAATAGGTGTCCTAAACCTGCAAGTCTCTTGGCTGAAGCTGACGCGGATGACTTGCATGCCTTGAGAACAAGCTCTCTCCGTTTCGCAAGAGCATAGGAACAGTATTGGCTTGCTAGCTCCATCCAAGATGTCACTAGCATGGGACACTGCTTTCCTGCCAGTCCCAAACACGACTCCGTCAACAATGCGCCCTGAATCACCAAGTCCATGACATCAGCCAACGGCCGACCCACCATAGCTATTCCGTCCTCGTCATCCATCATATCCATCCCCGGAGAATCCGTTGCCGATCGGTGCCCGCTAGTATTTTCCAGACTAAGGCTGACCTCTGCTCGGATCTTGACCGTCAGTGTCTTGGCCATGTTCAATATCCAGTCCTGTGTGCCTTGAATAAGGTCCTCCATGGGAGGCAACCCCAGAACTCGCCACTCCAGTCCATGATTCCTGAGGGTCTCTCCAAAGAGCGTCCGCTGATAGTCGATCACCTCCTGGGACCTCGTCAGATCCTCCGCCAAGTCCTCTGGGTGCTGGAAACGACCAGAGAGTGTTTCTCGCATGCTCTCAACCACTTGGACGTAATGCACGAACTTCTCGGCCGACCTCTCGTGCGTTGGCCACTCGGAGCATATCCTGTTGATTCCCATCTCGAACTCTGGTCCGCAGAGCCATTGAGCGTTCTCGAGAATGGCGTCGATCGTTCTCTGGATGGTGTTGTAGATTGAGAATTCCTGCTGTTGGCTGAATGAATGCCGTACTGCCTGCTGGAAAACGTCACTAAAGGACATGAGGGCTTCCGCTAGCACGTGTGAGTGCTTCGCCAACTCTGCCTCGAATGCCTGACGGTCTTGGAACCCTCGCTTGGATGTCTGCTCCATGATCCACTCATCCTTGTCCTTCATCTGTGCCGGCGCAGATTTTGTCGTAGAAACAATCCTGTGCATTAGGGCCAGTCGAGTAGCCATGGCGAGATGATGGTGTGCAGGGCCACGTAAAAGTTGCTGGTTTGACCGACTTTCGCGTCTCATCAGTAGTCCGCTAGCTCTTCCGGCTCGCCTGGGGTCAGGAAATATGTTAGATGAAGTAGTGTTCCGTGCGAATGACTCGTAAGCCATTCCTGCAAGGGATGATCCAGGAAAGGGGCTTGAAGCTGGTGAATTGGACGAGAATATGTCATCTCCGTTCGGTTGAAAGAAGGGCCCGGGGCTGGGTGGGTGGCTGCTGACTGGCGTTGTTGAGTTGGAGCGATTTCTGACTGCCTTTCTGTACTTGCGCGGCTCCGATGGAGCAGCATCGGAAGAGATGCGTTGGTGGAATGGCTGCTGGTGTTGATATTGTTGCTGATATTGCGATTGCTGCAGTTGCGGTTGGTGACTGCCGTGACTGAGACCAGCATCAAATGATCCAGGGGTAGCTGGTTCTCCATTCTCTAGTTGAATTCGATGAAATCCGCGAGAGCCTTCAAGTCCTGTCTGGTTTGTCGGGGTGGCATAATGGCTGCTTTCTGCCGACGAGCTAACATGAAGACTGGATGCAAGTCGTGCTGTCAGATGGTCGGTGAGGCGTTGTGACTTTGTATTTCGGTCTGAGGGTGGCAGGGGATCCTTTTTGCGTTTAAGGGGAGGTGAGAATGTAGGGTCGTGAGAGCTCGGTAATGTCGGCGTCAAAGGCGCGAGGTCTAGTTGTATACAGTCAATGCGAAGTGTATGAGTATCTCAGCTGCTACTTCAATTGCAGAATAATTCGCTGTTGTAAAAATGACTCTGTAGACTTACTTCTCCGCTTGGCGTCATGGCTATGGTGTTCGCGAGGCCAGAGTGGTTGGAGATCCTCGTCCAGCAGGATGCTCTCTAAAAATGATGATAAACATTAGCATGCGTGAAGCGGACGGAATAGACGTCATAATGGCACTCATTTTTGAATCCTTACCTATTGCGCTCAATAGTGTGTTGACGGCATTACTCCAGACCTTGTCAGATCCAATGTCTCTGCTGCATTTTGCATACCCTTCCATGATCCTGGTATGGTTGATAAGAGCCGCGCCTCGTATGTCAGATGGGGTAAAAAACTGCGCAAGGGCAATTGTCGCGACTTTTTTTTGCGTTATTGTGGTTGTTGTTGTGCTGTCGTTGCCGCCGGACGCTTTTCTTAGGAGGTGGTGTTATCGAGTAAGGCTATTAAACGTTGAGCCGGTCAAAGTCCGCAGGATCTTCCCACCGTTGGTTGTTGTCGTCTCCGAAGTCGTCGTCGTCGTCGTCCCAGATCACTTCAAAGTCGAAATCGAAGAGGATAAAGGCGACGACAGCGATGAGGACGAGAGGTAGCGGACGGAAGAGACCCTTAGCGAAGGACTGATAGAGTGCCTGGTAGGTGAAGCGGACAGGCTCGACGGAGAAGACCTTGAATAGACCAAAGAAAGGTGTTGTGGTTGTTGTGGTTGTGGCCGATGAGACTTGTCCTGTTCCAAGACCAAGAAGACCAAGCATTGCCTCTGTCTTGCTGTTAACGTTTTTTTTTTGTTTTCTTGTTTGGATGGGGTGTTGTTTCTGTGAGAAAGGAGGACTTTGTCTTAGAGTTGTGATGGTGGCAATGGAGAGAACAGAAAAAAAAAAGAAAAAAGCGAACAACGAACCTTGCTTTAAGGACAGTGCAGAGGAAATGAAAAAGCCTCACCATGATGTTGCAGTCACATTTTCCGCGGATTTTTTATGTCCACTAAAGGCATTCATGTCGAATGACATGCCTGATCTGATCACGAACGGCCATGAGGACAAACATCGCCAAATCAGCAGTCAGCCTCAGACAAGACTACCTCCAACAGTACTTGAAGCAGTTCCTGCGCCGCGTTCACCCGGATCTGTTTCAACACCATCCCAAGGAACAACTCCAGAACGGCGCCTCCCTCCAAGAGCTCTTACCGATTGTTAGTCACGACAAGAACAAAAGCTCCTCTCTTCCACCAAACCATACCTCCTCGCCCATTGAGACTACCAAGAAACTCGCCTTTTATTACAGAACCAAGGATGCAGGACATAAGAACAACAGCAGCTCTGTGGGATCAACTGGAAGGTCGGAAGGATTGACGTTAGTGGAGCACACGTTGCCTCTGGCAATTGACCCGCGGATACCTACTTCGTCCACGACCGACTCTGGCTCCAGCTCAAAGCAGGATCTACTCGAACGCGAGGTCAAGTCATGGGAGATGGTACAGTCGTTTATGGATTTATGTCGAAAAGTGGGTGTACCTGTCAAGGCGCCCGACCAAATTGATATTTCCAGCCATCTTGAAGAGTCGATCGCAAATGCCAAGACTGTAAAGCGTGCCAACCAGCAAAGGCGCGCAGCTCCCCAAAAGCCAGTGTCAGAGGTCTTTCAAGAGGAACTTCAGAGTTCGTTTTCTGGATCTTCAGGACAAGTCGGATCTGCGCCCTTGTCATCGTCTTCATTGACAATCGGATCAGATATCCATGTCAAGTCAGGATCTTCACTCGACACTATCAGCGATTCGCATCTGGGCAAAATTGGCGGGACTGCACCCGCTTTGGATGCTCAATTGATGATCCAGTCGAACCCTCTGTTGTTCAAGAGTCCGGCGCTGTCGTCGGCAAAGTTGAGCAAGACCATCCGGACATGGATTCATTGGCATGACGAGGATCAATATTTGCACCAGGGCATCAACAACTCTTCCTCTGCGTTTGAGGCAAGTGTACAAAAGCCTTTTCGACTGGGTGACTGGTGGAGAAAAGTGCCGATTATGGTTCTGAGTTCTAAGGAAGAACGTACAGAGATGCTGAAAGCGGCGACGGCGGATCCTGCTGGCAAGGACGCGAACGGCCAGTCTGGCAAGGGCATGCTCATTGTGGATCAGGACATGTCCAAACAAGGTTAGTTCACACGACTTATGTTGCTATTGTCGTTCTATGTATGTTATGAAAACGACTTGTTCGTTCACGATTTCTGATGCGGTTGCCTACAATTAGAAATCGCGGACTATTTGGACAAGAACTTGTACAGGATACAACAAGAGTACAAGGAGTTGGTGCAGGAGACGTCGCCTGCAGCAGAAAAGGCGAGTGTCTCGGCGGAGGCAGCGTCGTATGTCGAGCGAATGAGGACTTGTACACAATACAAGAACAACCGTCGGATGAATAAACGATGGTAGTGAATAATGAGAAGTGAAGGATTTCGTTCTGGAGGATCCTGGTGACACGATCAATGAAAAAAATGCCGGTTTCACAAAAAAAAACGAGAAAAAAGAAAATCTTTCAGACAGAACACTTGACACCCCCTTTTGGCGAGAGACAAATAGGAAAGACTCTCGTTAGTTCCTGCTAGGGCCGGGAACGAGTGGGGATTTGCCTGGAGAAATGATCATAGTTACACATAATTACAAATGACACGAAGGCCATTCCGCATTCTACAATTTCTTTCTTGCAAGATAAAGCCGATATGAATTATTTGTTTTTTTTGGGTGCATTGTTGACCACCCATGGCGTCCTCGTCTATTAGGATTGGAGGTACTGACAGCTACCGCTGGTGATCTAATCAAGACCCTACATTCCCTGTACCCCGCCACCCTTGCACCCACCCACCAAAGATCAAAAAAAGAGGATCAGAGACGAAACCATCAGTCCAGGGAGAACAGAAACCTTCTCCCTCTTCTTTTTCTTCTCTCTTGACCAAATCCCCGGTTTTTGATTCCTTCATTCTCACTCTCATTCCTATACTCGTTCTCATTCACTCAACTCGCTCTTCATTCATTCCACCCCACTTTACTCTTTTTTCCTCATTCACACTACTCGCATTGCTCCTTCTCTCTATCTTCTTCGAATATTCCCACACACCAACTACACAACGTCAACCAACACACACTCAAAACACCTTTCCATAGCCGTTCTTGGTCTGAATGGCGCAAAACAACACCCCTCCCCAGGGAGAAGGGCAACCGTCCCACTACTTAACAGACCAACAACCCATATCACCCATGTCAGAGGAGGCACCACGGCACCTCTTATTCGCCTCGCCTGATCACAAAAGCAATCATCCCCTCGTCGATGTCCCTGACCATACTCCGACAAACCCTGAGGGTTACTCCATCTACTCCAATATCAAGGACGGAAAAGTAAGGTGCTTTACTTATCTCCAAAACGGATATATCGTCCATTCATCAACCGTGCTGACCGTTCTCTTTTACTTGTTCCTTTTCCCTATCGTAACCATGTCATCTTTTGCTCATCGGAGGCCAGTATAGAGCACCAGATCGAAATCAATGGCAAGTTGTTTGTTATTGAAAACTATAAATCGCTGACAGCAAAAAAAAAAAGGATGGGCGAAGCATGTACATGTGTCCCTGTATCCTAACGGCCTCTACTTTCATTTTTCTATCCATTACTGTGCTATATACAGTCGTGGATCTGTTCGATGTGCAGAGCAACAAGGAAATCTCTCTCGAGGAGGTCATGGATGGATTGCGGTATGTGATGGAGTATCGCATCAAAGGTGGCCGCTTCCCCAGTCTCGACTATGACATCATGAAGCGTCTTGCTGACGGCTTGCTTATGAACATGGGCAACTCTGGGAAGAAGAGTCGCTTCGGCGGTGGTGCCATCTTCACAGAGGAGGCAGATGTCGCCTTTCAACTCTTTGGAGAGTTCATGCTCGAAGGTACGTTATCGTTGCTGTGTATTTGAAGCCACTGACTGTGATCGCAGCGTACAATCTCTAACCATATATATATTCCTCGCTCTTCGTACAACAGTGCAGGAGTTCCGTCAGGCAGTGGGAGAAAAGTCAGTGTCGGATCTTCGTCATGCGCTCAAACTGGATGTTCGTTGCGGGTCTGGATCTACTGAGCAGGAGCAGCAAGCGGCCGTCGCCTTGATTGCCCTCTTGACCACCACTTACCCCCAGTTCGCCGACTGGAAAGAGTTGGTCAAGCCTGAAGGGCATGGAAACGTCCAAAAGTGTATGCAAGAGCACGCTGAGTATGTTAGGGCTGAGGCCATGCCAGAAATCGGAGGAGTCATCCTCGCACCCCAAGGTAAGCAGCACGTTTGCATTGTTGGCCTACTTTCGCACTTTGAGGTACCTATTCCTAATCACCGATAACATTCACCCTTTTTATTAGCACTTTGCTTTGATCGCAGGATAAAGCGTGTTCTGAAAATGTACAGGACGTCGCTGCAGTCAGGATTACCCTCAGAGGCCATCCCAGCATTGCAGGAGCACTATGGACGGAACGTTCTCCCAGAACCACCTCGTACGTCCGTCTTCAAGATGCTCTGGACCCAATTTACTGACTTTATGATCCTGCTTCTCTTGGCGGTCGCAGTGCTGATGGCTGCTACTAAAGACTTTATTCCCATGGCGGTCCTGTTGATCGTCGTCGTCCTCAACGCTATTATCGGATTCACTCAAGAGTACAAGGCAGGAAAGGCTCTGGATGCACTAACCAAGCTGTCGGTTCCCAAGGCCCAGGTTCTTCGCGATGGTGTTACCTCCATGATCAACTCGGAAGAGCTGGTCCCCGGCGATATTGTAATCATGGAAGAGGGAGAGTCTGTCCCGGCTGATCTGCGTCTGGCGGAGGTTTCCCAGCTGGAGATCATCGAGTCCATCCTGACAGGAGAGTCTGTTGCTGTTGTCAAGGACCCGAAGGAGATCAGGACCCGGACTCGCAAGTTGCCGATCGGTGACTGCAAAGGAAATGCCTTCATGTCGACCGTGGTCGCCAAGGGTCGTGGTAAGGCTATCGTTGTCCGCACGGGCCGTCTTACAGAGATGGGTAAAATCAGTGCCGCCATTACCGGCCACACCAAAGTCCTGACCCCTGTCCAAAAGAAGCTCGCTCTTCTCGGCAAGCTGCTTGTCGTATTTGCTATTGTCCTCTGCGCTGTCATGGCTGGCATCAAGATTGCATACCACCACCCCACCGGAGAGAGTTTGAAGGTTGCATTGAGGTACAAACATCTTGTCACTTTAGAACCTGCGAGATAACTGATGTATGGCGGCATGAACATGATAGTTGACATTGTATCCCTTCTCCTATCTATCATAGTTTGGCCGTGTCTGTCATTCCTGAGGGTTTGGTGGCGGTCGTGACAGTTACGATGGCCCTCGGAGTTCGTCGCATGGCGGCCAGAAAGGCGATTGTCCGGACTTTACCCGCTGTCGAGACGCTGGGCAGTGTCACCTTTATCTGTTCGGACAAGACTGGTACGCTGACAGAGGGAAAGATGGGTGCTGCCGAACTCTGGACAAGCGATGGTGTGACCTACGGATTCACCGAAAGTACTAGTTTGGACCCCAACAAAGGCCACGTGACTCTCATGGCCGGCTCCGGAGAGATGCCTCAAGTCCTTGGCAAGACCCTGGACCAGGTCCCCGCTCAGATGCTCATTTCACTCATGGTTTCGTCTCTGTGCAATAACTCTTCGGTGGTCCAGAAGGAGAATGACGAACAAGTAGAAATTGATACCCCAGACAAGGACACGAATGTGGAACCCGCCGTAGGCGTGCCTGGTGCTGTCGAGTGGAAAGGAATTGGTGACCCAACTGAAGTCGCTTTGGTGGTTGCTGCTCAAAAGGCCGGCTTCCCTAAGACATTCTTCCATGATCTCGGGTACACTCGCATCTACGAGCAAGCTTTTGATAGTGAGCGCAAAGTCATGAGTGTCGCCTACAAGGCCCCCCTCGATACTGCTTCCCCCTCCGGTGAACACTACGAGTTTGTGCTGGCCAAGGGTGCCCCTGAGGAGATCTTGAACAGGTGTGTCGGATACCTGCCAACCGTCGCACCCGACTCTCTTGCATCCCCCTTGGATCTCCTGAGGCCCAGCCAAGTCGAGCTGACCCAGACTGTTACCGAAGAATTCCACGACCATGTCTCTGATGCGTCTGGTAGAATGGCTGATGGAGGCCTTCGCGTGCTTGGACTGGCTTACAAGAAGGTCTTAATCAACGGTGGTGGCGCTTTGGATACTGGATTGGGCGATGGATTGGACAAGTTCGACAACTTGAAGGACAGGAAGGAGGCTGCACCCGAATCACATAAACCTACCGAAGTGGATCTCTTGACCGCCGCGAACGTGAACGATGGCAATGACGATGACGACGAGGAGGACGTGCCCCCAGGATATGCCGAGAGTGACTTGATCTTCTTGGGACTCATTGGATTGATCGACCCTGCTCGTGCAGGAGTCAAGGAGAGTGTCCGGATATGTAAGGAGGCTGGTATCACCGTGGTCATGATTACCGGAGACCACATCAAGACTGCATCTGCGATCGCCAAGGAGTTGGGTATCCTGGAGGAAGGTGGACGTGCCATCAAGGGTGAGGAGCTGGATCTGTTGTCTGAGCAAGCCATTGCCGAGCTCAAGCCCTTCCCAAACGTCTTTGCCCGGGTCTCGCCAGACAACAAGCTGAAGCTCGTCACTGCTTTGCAGAGTCGTGGCGAATCCGTCGCCATGACAGGAGACGGTGTCAACGGTACGTTGTTGTCTTTTGTTTATAGTTGGTGTTTTTCTTGCTGTCCCAAGTGAAGCCTGTCGTTCTGTAGCTAATTCATGCAATGTTGTGTGCGCTAATAGACGCCCCGGCTATCAAGGCTGCCAATGTCGGTGTGGCGATGGGCATTGCTGGCACGGATATTACCAAACAGGCAGCTGATATTGTGTTGGCCAACGACAATTTCAATACCATTGTCGAGGCTGTCGAGGAGGGTCGTCGAGTGTTTGACAACATTCTCAAGTTCATTGTTTATCTCCTCAGCTGTAACTGTGCCGAGATTTTCCTCTTCCTTCTCTGTGCCATCGTTAACGTCGAACTTCCGTTTACTGTCACCATGATCCTGTGGGCCAATATCATCGGTAAGTTCTTGCTCTACCATTCTTTGTGGTGATGAAGATTATCGGGATGGCTATGAGTACCGCTATTAATCATGACTTCTCTCTCTCTATGCCTTTGCATATCATATTAGCTGATGTGCCGCCTGCGATGGCATTAGGAGTCGAGCCTGCAGAGCCAGGTCTGATGAACCGCCACCCACGCTCCCCTAAGAAAGGTATCCTCACCTACACATCATTCGGAGTGATCATTTTCCAGTCCATGGCGATGACACTTCTTACCTTCGGAGTGTACATGTGGGCAGACAAGTCTGAGGGCCATCTCGACTATGCCCACGCCGAGGCATTCACCTTCCTGACGACCCTCCAGCTCCTCCAGGGATTCCTGTCAAGGACCATGCGGACGTCAGTGTTCAGAGTCAACTTCTTTGGCAACCGGTGGATGATCTTTGGTGTCGTGCTGAGTTTTGTCCTGATGCTGATCGGTATCTATACACCCGGGTTTAATGGTATCTTAAACCTGGTTCCAGTGTATGGTCGGACGTGGGCAAAGGTTATTGTTGGGTGTGTTATCATGGTGTTCTTGAGTGAGATGGAGAAGCTTGTCCTCCGACGAACTGGCTGGACCATGTAGGGACTCACTGCTGTAAATAAAAAAATGTTAAAATTGATACGCCACCATATTTTTTTTTAAGGAAAATGAAACTAATAAATAGCCATTGCTCTCTGCCAGGTTATACTCTTACTTCGCATACCACATCCACACACGAACCATGTCCATGACAGCAACAGAATCAACGACAACGACAACGACAACGCCGGATGCAGCACTGATTAGTACACTTGAGGCACAGGTCCTCCAGCTTGCAGATCACGACGCGTGGCTGGATGCTCAAATTCGGGACCTGGAATGCGCCCTCAGCAATGGTAAACAACATCCATCATAAAGCAAAATGTGGCGAATTACTTTTTCAGTTGCAATGGACCCGACAAAAGGGGGAGGTTACTGTACCTAACCAAAAGTCCTATGGAAACTTTTTACCCACCCCCTTTGTTTGTCACTTAGATACGGCGGAATCGACGGAGGAAGAGAAAGACTTGCCGGCTGGGGAGGCCAAGTTTTCGTTGGAAAAGCGGATTGATATCTTGAAGCAGGACCTGGCCACCGCTGCTACAGTAGAGACTGTTCGGGATAGGGTCATCCTCAGGTATTGTATTGCTGCTAAACAGTGACGGACGCGGTTGACTGTTTTTTTTATATTTAGATATGGCTCAACCATCTTACGGACAACAAGGAGACATAAAGAGAAAACGCGTGAAGAACTAATTGTTTTGTTATCTTTTGACGGAAATAGTGCACACTCAGTCCCTGTAGTGTTGAGAGGTATATTCAGAGCAAACCAGGACGAGGAAGCAAAGTAAGGCCACTACATGTCGTTTTCTACATCGAATCCACAGTTCAGCATCTACAAAGGAGATGGTTAATACCCATAGAGTCCGTGTTTGCTGACAACTATTCGGGAACTTTGTTCTATTTGCTTGATGTTCAGGATCATGTCAGATGCAATCGATAAGCGTGATGCAGCGGTCGAGGAGTACCTGAGTATCCACAAAGACTTACAGACTGCAAGACAGGACCTTGTAAAAGCCCAGGGGACAGTTATAGGTAAAGGGAACGAAAATCCTGTAGCAAATTAATTCTGCATGTTTATTTGTTACTCCGTTTTATTGAATTGGACAAAGGGTAAACTTGTGCAAGTTGCTAACTGACCCCTTTGTCCATCTTACGTCTTTTTGTCGTGTTCTAGACCTCCAGGACGAGAACCGTAGACTCGCTCAGGCGTTAGCGCGCGAGACTGCGGCAATTAAAGAAGGGGCCACATCACAAGAGGCAGTCAGCAATCGTAGGATGGCTCAAAGGTAAACTTCAACACACGGACTCCCTGCATTCAGTCATATGTTTTCAATCTTGTTCTTTTTTTCTGCCCGACTACTTTTCGATGATGGTAGTGAGTCAGAGAGAGAAGGAGTGTGCGAAAGAAAAAAAATGATCCGAATGACCATAGCGTTAGTTGTTAACGGCCCCATTTGTCATTATTTTTTGTTCGTCTCGCTTAGAATTGAAGAAGAGCTGAAGACGATTACTATAAAGTACAACGTCGTGTCGAATGTGTTACAGGTAATAGCATCATGTCATCCTCCACTTCTACCCCCCAATCCCCTTTCATCTTACGTCTTGGCGTGTGCGTGTTTTCTTTTCATTTCTTTTTTTTATCGCTATCCGAAAAAAGACTGCCGAAGATGTGTGTATGTGTGGGATATGAGGCAATTTCTTTTTAGCATCTCCTTGGTGTTCTTGTTCTGTGTTCTTGTGTCCAGGATGGAAGAAAAAAAAATAGGTTTATTAACCTAAAAATGGCCCATGTGGTGGACCTGCCCGGGTCGGTCCGTCGGTCCGTCGCGCACTTTTGTTTTGCATTCATTCATTTCTTTTTAACTCCTTGCATGCTGGCGCTTTTTTTATTAATGATAGGGGCTGTTGTTGGAGAGTGGGGTGGATTGGTCGAACGACCCACACTATCTGGATGTGATGCTCAAGTTAGGGCCTGCCTCTGACTAAACTGTATAGACGACCTGAGACTTTTGGGGTTGAGCAAGAAGAAGAACGGTGCATGTAGATAAATAAAGGGCGACTATACCATTCATAGCAGTGATTTGAAATCAAAAAGGCGAGAACGAGAGCGAAAAGTGAAGAAAAGTGGAGGTTGAACAGGTGGACCATGCTCGATGACCTATGCGATGTTTGGGACATGTCTTGGTTTGATTTAGATGTGCGTGTGTGCTGCTTGCATTGTGCCAGGGGTAGGGATGGTGGGATGGTGGGATAGTAGAAAGATGGGCCAAGAAATTTTTAAAGACCGAATAGGAGCATCTTACTCTCTCTCTCATTGAGGGCTTTCGCCCATCGCATCGGTGGTTTTTTGAAAATCAGCTCAACTGTCCATGCACTGTTCTCGTCCTACCTGCTCGACGTGTAAGGGGAGAGGGGGGAGGAGAAGTGAGGGATGTAAATGGGTGAAATGAGTGCAGGAAGCTGCAGACCTTACCATTCCCATCCTCGTCCTGTTCCTCCCCCTATTTTTTTCCTTGTTGTCCGGCAAACCACAAGAAAAAGACACATCACAAGAAAGCACAGGAACGACACATCACATCACATGTACAACTGACATCCATTTCGGACCTTCATGTGTCGATCGATTGTTTGTGGGTGAGCCAAAAACAAAGCACTGACTGGCTGAGTAGCACTCCTAAGAAGCCCCATCCCATGAGCTAGCTTGAACCTAGCATTTATCGATGGGAAGACACCCTTTGTTTACCGTCATGTGTATCCTCTTGGGACGAAGAAAACACATGAAAGCTAATTTGTGCTTTCCCAGCGACGGGATTTGCGCGTGCTATTTTCGCTCTCTCTCTCTCTCTATCTCTCTTTCTAGAGCTGGGCGATGGAGAAGAATTGGCCCATGCCCACTGCCACCTGTTGGGTTTGCTCTTGGAATAAATTGTCCCATTAAGCGGTGTTGACGACATGCATGCAGGGTAGTTGAGCGGAAGAAGGGAGAGAGAGACGGTAAAGCTGAGTTTCTTCTGCCAAGAGGGCGAAAAAGAAAGGTGACATTGGAAAAGGCTTTTCTATTGGTAAATGGGGGGGGGGGGGGGGGGTAATTGGCATGACACAGAAACAAAACGATGGTGAACAAACAGTCAAAAGGATAGGGGAATCGTAGGGTTTTTGAGATTTCGCTTGTCTTGTTATCGCCGTCGACTGCTGCAGTGCAGTGCAGGCTGGGAAGAAGAGTGGAAGGGTATGTTTCGATGCTTGTGTTTGTGCAATTGCAATTGCAATTGCAATTTTTAGAATCTTGTCCCGCTTTCCCTTTTCCCCTTCCATCCCTTCCGACCTTTCTTACTTTTCCTTGTGGTCTCCTTGTTACCATTTGTTTATCATTCGATCGGACACCTCCTCGGATCCCAGAAGACCTCCGTCAGAGAGGATACTTTTAGCGTGGTCAATTACGATGCAATGTTTGGCAATGGCGAAGGGAAGGGTGGGATGATAATCGAGTTCAAGGGTTGTTTGTTGCTGTGGTTATCTTATGTGATTATTGGCACGGGCATTATGGGATTACGGGCCAGGAGAAAAGTCAGGGGAAGGACGCGGACGGGGAGGAAGAGGTGCGACGTTGGTTGTTGCTGGTAGTCTTTTTCTCAATTTAATATGTGGGCAAGGCCATTGTGAAGGAATTCTACACGCTGATCTGCGCGGTTTCTTTTCGTTTGATCAGCACAGTGCTACCTACCTACCCTACCCTACTCATCAAACCCATCTGATCAGCTCAGGCCCCATCAGTTCAGCCACCATCAGTAGTCGGATATCTTGTTCCTCTTCCTGAGATCACCCCCATCTCACTCTTGATTCCCTAATCGCGACAGTGGCCTTGGTTGATTGGGTGGATAAGGTTGTTTAGGTGTGTGTTGGCTTTTGGTTGTTTGTTTGTTGTCAAGGGACAATAAGGAAAGGAAAGTCAGGATGGTTGTCAGCAGTCAGTTCGTTAGTCCACTCTCTCTTGGTCGCTTTCCTTCGTTGTTGGTCAATTGGGGATGGCTTGTGCTGCTGCCTACAACACCATGTGCCCTTTGTTTTGCCTTCAAGTCGCTGGTTCAAGGCCGACCCCTAATCCTTCGCTCGTTCTTTCTTTCCCTCTCTGTTTCTCTTTCACACCAAGTGTAAAGTTGGATACATCTATCCTCACTCTCCCTTGTGATGATGAAGATAGTCCGCTTCAATTGCTTGGGCCTCCTTCCTGCTAGGTGTGTCTCTCGGTCGACAGAGAGATAGACAACGAACAAATGAAACGAACAAGACAAGAAAAAGGAAGGCCAAGGAACAGGAGAGAATGAAAACCCTAAGTGTTCAGGTGCCGCAAACACTTTATAAGACGAGGCGGTTCCCCCCCGAGGGTTTGCTCATTCTTCTTCCTTCCTCTCTTTTTACCTTTTGTTCTCTTTCTCTCCCTCCCTCTCTTGGCAACCAAAACAACATCAACGCAACAACAATCATATCCACATCTTCCTTGTCACCCCACTCCACCACCTTCACCACTACTACACCACCTCCAACATCCGCCCTTTCTTCTTCCAGGCTCACTCGTGATTCCTTCCACTCGCGACTCTCATCCTTCCTTCCCTCTCTTACTTCTTCTTCCTCTTCTCGTCCGCCTCCACCTTCCGCCCCATCATCCTTCGCCGCCATTTCCCACCCAATTTCATATGTACGTATCCAATACATAACAATCGACCATTGGATTCATTTGCTCATCATTTTCATTTTAGAGACCATCGCTCTCATCCTCTCTTCCTTCCCTCGTGGTCCTCCCTTGTTCCTATTGTTCTTTTTTGCCTATTGCCCATATTGCCCCATTGTCCATTGCCCATTGTCCCACTTTGACACTCGCCTCGTCCCCTGCTTGCCTTCTTGTCGTTATATCTTTTTTACCCGCCCTCTCGCTCAGTCGTTTGCTTCTTTGTTCCTTTTTTCACTTTTCCTCCCTTCCCCAACGAGAAAAGACAACCGCCCCCTTCCACCCCCACCCCTCTCGAGAATACCCAAGAAACGAAATAGCAATACCCACACCACACTCCTCCTCCTCCTCCCTGCAGTCTGTCTACAATAACCACCTTCCCTTCCTCTGTCTTTTTCATCATCCACAATTCGCTCATTTCCACCCCTTTCACCCTTCATCATCCTTCATCACTACCCCTTTTTCTTCTTTTTTGTCTTTTTATTTTAACGACCCAAATAACAACACATAAAAAAAAAGTTATCCTGTCTATCCCTGCATTCTCACTATTTGCCCTCCTTTGCCTTTTGACTGAAGTATTTTACTTTGCCCCCCTGATACCAGCCAAAAAAAAAAAAAAAAAAAAAAAAAGAAAGAACGCACACCCCTTTCCTCAACACCAACCCGCCGTCGTTTGTCTCGCTGTAGGTGTTCAACGTTTTGGCTAAGAAGGGGTCCGACCTCCTCATTTCATTCTTCCAGGCTATTGTTTCTCTGCTTTCTTTCTTCCCTCTTTTTTCTTCGTATCACCCAACTCTTCACGTCTCTGTACAGCGTCAATTCCCCTCTCCCACCTTGTCCTCTCCTCAATCAATCCACTAACATCGCTTGGACATTTTTTTTTGCCCAACCCCTGTCCAAACTTGTAAATAGTAACAGAGCAAAATCCCCTCTCTTCTCCAAAAGCGATATCTACACAAAATGCCTCAGTTGTTGGAATCCACTCGAAACTACCTCAGGTCATCGACCAAGCTCGGTCGGAGGTTGAGCAGCTACAGGGATGACTCGAGAAGTGCCAGCGAGTCCAGTCTTCAAGATACGAACACAGCCACGTCCACCACTCCTTCGAGCGCGGAAAGTCTCAAGCTCAAGCTGCCACAGCAACAGCACCGCCCAACAACACAGAACCGTCTCTCGTCTCTGTTCTCGCTGGAGGGTCGGAACAGGAACTCGATCTCGTCCGAGGATCGCGCAGCAACAGTAGCAGCAGCAACGCCAACGATACTAGCAAATGCTACACCCGTAACTACAGGAGCTAAAGTCGGACCCGATCATGACATCACTCTTCCAAAGAAGCGCAGGAGTTTTCATAGCAGGAAGAGTTCTCAACACCAACAAGAAAAGCATCATCGTCTTTCCAGGCCGGACCTGTACGAGGATGTGCCTCGAGGTCGCTCGCCCACACTCTCCATGTCTCATACCGATCACACCGCCGGTTCGGGATCATCGTCCTATGATGCCCGTCCAAGCGACTACCCCACGCTGAAGCAGTACCAGGCACATGTCTGGAGACGTAACCTGCTGGAAGAAAGCATCATGCACTCGCTCAGGCTCGAATATGGAGAGTCTGGCAACCGTCACCCTCGGTCAAGCTCTCGCCACCGCTCCCGCTCTCGCTCCCTCAAGGGCGGCCGCAGCCGAAAGATGTCCCGTGAGCAGCACTCGGCCATGTTGGTGGCCGCCATGTCCAAGGATCTCCCTCCCTGTCCTAATGGCGATGGCACTACACCCGTCACCGTGGTTTTGTCCCGCTCTGGCCCAGTGCCAACCATGGACGGAAAGAAGTCTGCCAAGAACGGCAACAGCCCCTACCAGATGTTGCTCAACCCTTCGACGACCAATGTCACGCACTCGTTCGCCAGTTTCACTTTGGAGCTTGACGAGCACCAGGTGTCACATGTGATGAACTCGTCTGCTATTCCTGGCCTGTTTACCATCAAGGTTGGGCCTTCAAGACAGCGAGGACGGACTAACTCTACGGCACGCATGATGGCGACGACAGGACATGGCCCAACTACCCGTGTCTTGACCGGCAAGACGACCATCTAATGGTCCTTTCTTTGTTGCTTTTGTGAATTATTTATCCTTTCTCTCGTTCATACCCCTCCACCTTATATTTTTTCTCAACAGACAGACAGCATTTATCACAAAATTAGTACTTCCCCACTTTGTTTCCCCTTCCCCCTATTGCTAATTCTAGGAACCACTCTTCATCTCGATCATTCCACAAAGGATGACTTTCACAACACCTTTTCTTATTAACTTTCAAATAGTTGTGGATTTTTCTTTTTTTTTTTTTTTTGACCCTTAGCTCCCATGCTTTTTTTTTTGCCCCTCGGTGTCCTCGTCAATCTGGACAACCTTCTCGTTTTTTCTTTTTCTTTTTTTATTTTTTTCTTGTTCCCAGCTCCGTTTTTTTGTCCTCTCCCCCCCCTCCCCACCTTTCCCTCCCCCAAAACCCTTTTGTTTGAAGTAGCGTAGCTCCCCTTCCCCCACACTGAAAAATAAAAAAAATACGGCAGAAAAAAAAATTATCATGACACTCTGGAAGGTAGCATGTGATTGGTGGGTGGCACGGTCGAAATCCAGGGGCCGCCAGGGAGGGCCCTGGTGGCGGCGGTGGCGGTGTTTGTGAAACCGGACGCGTTAAAAATCTCGGTTGATTATATCAGTCACATCACCGCCACCAACGCGCTCGCCGCGCTCCCCTCTTTTTTTTATTTTCTTGACTGAAACGTGTCAAACTGCTGAGGAAGTTTTTTTTCTTCTTATAGGGGGCATTTAGCGAAAGACGGAAACGATGGCACTTTTGAGGTTAAGGCACTCAAATGAGGGTTTGACGCTGTTTTGTGGGATGACACTGTACCGGCCACAATACGAGCATTCATTCATTCATAGTTAAGCTGGACATAAGGCATAAGCACATATGAAGCCGAGGATCACGTTATCGATCTCTTCACGAGTAAGGTATATCGACATTCACGCGCACTATCTACAAGTACAAGAAATCGTCAGCAAGGCGCACGCGCTGCTTTGGAGTTAACACAGCCCCCATCCAAAGTGACACCCAGTCTTCTCTCCTCTCCACTGCCAGGGTATGAAGAGATGAGTACTCGTTTTCAAAGCACATACATTGTCGCGTGCCCCGAACGGATTTGTGTCCTCTCACCCATCTCTTTCAACAGAGGACTTCACCATCGACTTCATGCCATTATTTTCCGCACATCCGTCCCAGTCCGACTTCCAGACCCCCCCCCGCCCCCCGCCCCCCCTTTCCTTCCTTCGCAAACAATGTTCAAACACGAGTGAAGTAACCACCTCCCTCTTCCCTCTGGTCAAAGCCAATTACCCGTTTTGATTATCGAAGCAAAGACAAAAACAAAACAAAACAAAAAAACGTGGTCGTCAACTCGGCCCCCCCCCCCCCCCCCCCCCGTCCAAAAGTATAAGCAATCATCTTACCCTCACCAACATCCAAGGTACGGACACGTTTTGTTTTTTTTTTGTTGCGCTCGGAAAAGCGCATTGTCGCGTGTCGCGAACGGACGAGAGAGGGGGGGGGGGAAGTAGACGGATATACAGACGGACAGATAGGGTATCCCTCATTCTCCATCTCTTTCAGCTGATTATCGTCTTTCAACCTGTCGTTTATTTTTCGTATGCTCCGTCCGCGTCTGAGGGTGTGAGAGCCCTTTTCTTCCCATCCATCCAGCGAACGACGGACCCTGTAAATCATGCCGACTCGATTAAAAGCGGACCGGAAAACTCAAATAAAACAAGAAAAAAAAAAAAAAGTGGTCGTGCGGGAAACCGTTGAGTTGATGTTGTCATCACATTCGCAAGAAGCGGGACGGAAAATAAAAAAAAATAAAAAAAGATGGTTAATGCAGATGTACAACACCCGCCCTGCCCGCCTGCCGAGCCTGCTGTTTGTTATTTCGTTAGGGTTTTGGCATGTCAGTGCATGATTATTATTATTTTCACTAAATCGCAGAAAGAAAAGAAGAAAAAAACCAGTAGAACAGCGATCCATGTGAAAGCAGGTGCGAGCGAGTTGGTACAACAGCAGCAACAACAATAACAAGGAAGAGGCCCTAGCCAGGGAGAAAGGAAATGCAAAACAGCGTAGAAAACCCCCCCTCATCTTCACCACACCATCCACACACATCCACCCCCACCCCCCCTCCCCCTTTTTTTTTCTTATCATCATCCAGATCTTCGTGCCTGAAAATAAAAATTACTATACTGTCCCCTTCCTCCCCTCTGATGACCATGTCCACCCACCACTCATCACCCCCACTCCACTGCCCATTTGTTCATCTAAAAAGTGGATTTCGTAGTTTTGTGCTCACATCTTACCTTTTTTTTCCCCACTTTTGTGCTTTTGTATGGCCATGCATGGTGTTGCGCGATTTAACAAACATTTTTTTTTGTAGTTCACTTTGTGGCACACAAATACACAGAGCATCAAAGCATCATCCACGAGACCATTTTTTTTGCTCAACATGTCTTTATTTTTTTTGGGTAAATACAGATTTATGATAGCTTTCTCGGTTGTCAGAGATCAAGGGAGAGAAGGATGAGATCTAACAACAGGAGAAGACAAAGACAATATATAAATCAATGACGTACGTGGCAGAAGAAGAATGGATCGAACGCGGGTAGGCGGGCTTGGCTTGGCAAGAAGCAAGAAAGGTTCGCTCGGCACTCCCAAGCGAAAGGAAGAAAGGAGGATAAAGAAGCAAGTAAGGGGACAAGGAAGAGAATGAAGATGGGCGGGAGCGTAGAGACAGACAAACAAGCAGAGACGGAGAGGAAAGAGAGAGAGAGAGACATAGGATCGTTCATGCAGACTGGTGGACGGGTGAGTGGGGGTCCCTGAAAGTGCAACGAAGGGAAGGATAGGATGTGGTTTGAAACCCACAACTCTTTTGCACAAAATATAGTCGCATTTCTTTGCTGCGAGGGAAGAAAAGGAAGAGAAAAGGGCCGCGAAAGGAGAAAGGGGGAACTGGATCGAAAGGCGAAGGTGCAAGGTTGCACAAAGAAAAAAAGTAAACAAGCGAGAGATGGATGGCGAACAAACAAAGTAACAAGTTGGGACAAGGGAACAACAGAGGTGACAAGCGTCAAATCAGATTATGCATTGGACTTGAAGGAGGGATGCAAACAAGTTTTTTGTGTTTTTGGCAACATTGCCCAAAGAGGGCAACAAGGAGACTATGCTAACAAGTGTAGGATGACATGGGCCGCGTAGTAAAATGGCCAAGTTATGGGGTTGAAGACAAGACCTTTGATACGATGCTATGCAGAGCAGAGGCTAGGCTTGTCCCGTGCGTTGATGTTGGGAGGGCGTTAAGTAAGGAATGGCAGGTGGACAAATCGAAATCGATGGACAGACCGGCAGTCAAGAGGGAGAATGTGAGAGAGTTTCATAATAAGGCGAGTGGGCTGGACTCGACTTCGGCTTGACTTGACTGGAATGGAATGGAGGTGAAGGTTTTGCTCTGGCGGAGTTCGTATGAGCCATCTTGTGTCCGCTTTTTTTTTCAAGGTTCAATAAGTTGAGGACTGACGATGTGGATTGGTCTCTTTGTTTTTCGTGTACTTGCATTGGTCATCGTCATTCATTACTGCCTGCTGCTGCTTTGACCCTTTATTATTGTATATCGTTGGAATATGTGTTGCCTTGCATGTTGTTTATGTCGGCTTTGTTGTGTGCTCTTGTTTGCCGAGGAGTGAGAGTGCGGGGTGGGTGCAATGCAATGCATGCAACCTAGGATATTTTTTTTTTGATAACTCTTATTTTGTTTATTCCCTGCGAATGTTCCTCGTCTATCTCACACTCCTGGAACCTTCGTTCCCTTTTTTTTTTTTTTTTCACTCCACACTTGAGCATGCGTTTCTTTTCCACTTGACCAAAGAGTAATCTGTTAACTTGCAAAGAAATAGGGTTTCAATCAATGGTCAATGAAAGAGAATAAATCTACATGCATAGGGATCTCCTGATGATGTGTATTTCAATGAGAGATGTGAGGGTGCTTTCAATGAATGCTAGAATGAGACTTTCTTCTCATGAAGGATCGTTTATCTTGCATACATCCTGCCTACCACGCCCTTCCTTCTGCTTCTTTGATGCTCGTCTTTACTGTCCCCCTGCCTCTCTTTACACTCTACTGCGAATGCATCTTCTTTTGATTTCGCACTCTTTTTTGTGGTGGATGTTGTCACTGCATGCTTGACACTCCCCTGTGCAGTCTAAGTCTAGGGTGATTGGAAATCTCGTCTTTTTTTCCTTCTGTTCTTTGTACTCCCTAATTTCTTCCGTTCTCTCTTTGATCTGTCTGTTTGTGAAAAACGTGTGAGTCAAATTCAACGCTCGGAGCCTCCTTAGTCCCCACCAACTCCTCTTTCCCTTCCCCTCTGTCTCTTGTTTGTTTTGTGTTTGTGTTCAGGTTTGAAAGCAAAGACAAACAAAGGGGGGGTGGGGTTTTGCTCGATCGTTGGGGCGTTGAGGTAAATCTGTTGAGGGAAAAGGTGGGTTGTGTTTTCGCGTTTCAGAATTTGAACTCGCGTATTTTTTTTTTTATATTCTCACCGCCTTTATTTTGTATGTGTTCATGGCTCTTGTTGACAGAGAATCATCCGAGGAGAAAAAGGAGCCTTACCCTAGTCCTCTCCAAGTTTGTTTTTTTTGCGCCCATTTCTTTATGGAGGAGGACGACTAGAATGGTGAGTGGAGGGGATTGAATTGAGGAGAGGAAAGGAAGGAGGGAAGAGGAGATGGGAGAGTCCAGGTGTCAGTCCGAATACATGGAGGATGATCAATGCCACACACACAGGTGGAAACTATAAACCGTTTATTAGGAGTAGACAGATCGGTCGAGAAGAGAGAAGGAGAGAGAGAGAGAGGGGGGAGAGATTTGAAGCAAACAGCTCTTCAGCAAACACCCACCTCTTGTTCCGTCCGCCCGCTTCCTGCTGGTCGCGTCCTTGACTCTTGTCTCGACTCGTTCACTAATGGACGGATCCCCTTCTTCAGAGGACCC